GAGAGAGAGAGAGAGAGAGAGAGAGAGAGAGAGAGAGAAGAGAGAGGAAGGAGAGAATCTCGTTAAAATTACTGCATGCTCTGTGCAGCAATTTTAATGAGATGTCTTCAGATTTGGTCGAATCAGTCAGTCTTCGAGCTTCGTCGAATCAGAGCGGTGTGGTCGCGCGAATTTCGTGGAACAAAGCAAATTTATTCGACGACTAGAGTTAACTCGACAGTGATAAGGATAGAGATCAACAGCATTCCTCGATATTACACACTTAATTACCCGGCAGACACGTGCTAATTGCTGAATGGCAAGCGCGAAACGCAGCGTAAGCCAAAACGTGTCGGCGATATTTCGTAATTACACGTTGTTGCGCGCAGATTCGCGCGGATTTTCATACAAGATCCCGCGATTATCGCGAGAATCGCACGCGCGCGCGCGCGTATATCGCCGAAATACTCAGCATCGAGTGAATATGCGGGACGCGGATTACTCAAAGCCCGACACAAAACGCGCGTTCATTCGTTCATTCGTTCGTCCGCTGGCTGGCTGTTTCGTTCATGCATCCGCGGTACACACCCGAGCGTGCAATTATCATCGACTATGCGATGGGATTAACACACGCGCCGCTAACTTTATCGGAACGAAGTTCGCCGTCCGATCCGTCACACCCCGTGTGCATCTGGAACTCCGCGGAACCGTGAAGTATCGGATTTTAACGGAGCCGCGGGCGCCCTGTTACGTTTACAAATGCAAATGGGGTAATGCCGGGGTGTGCGCTAAGCCATTTACATAGGAGACTGCACACTCCCGCTACGCGGATATTTACCGTGACGCGCAATTCGCGACGCTGATGCGTTTACGAAGAGAGAAAGGTGCGAAAGATGAAAGAAGCGATACATACGCGGAGAGCCGGGCGATAAGCGTCGTCGAGCTACGCCGAGCGGATAGAGTGATAAATGTGCGGAGAGACTCGTGTCGTTACTTTCACGCTGTTCTGTAGAAAACAAGTCTGCATGTCGGCGGGATCTTTGGAAACGATCACTTTGTGTTAACCGTTAAAACTCTATTAATTCTTCTTGCAACGGGACTCGCGACTCGAATTTCTCAACAGAATATATCTCGAGTGTTGAAATCCACTCTTCATCGGATTTCGTTATTATCTCGAAACGAATCTGTATAAATGTTTCTGATTAAATTAAAAGTGAAAGGAGTATACATCTCAATAATCAGTGAGTATATAGTGATTGGAAACTTTTCCGCTTTAAACTGCTCCTCGTCTTATTTCAATAGAAGTAAGATTTCATTACAAAATCCTCTCGAAAGTTACAAGTAAATGCGTTAGATAAAATTTATCTATGCTTAGAGTTTATATATATAATGTAGGATTTGAAGAGCGAACTGAGGATAGCGTGGCGCCGTATTGACAAAACAACAATAATATATAATAAGAATGTTGGGATAAGGAGCTTGGGTAGCTCAGTAGAGAGAGAAATCGCCCGGCAAGCGAAAGAGTGTATGAAGTTGGCACACCACTTTTTGAAATTTATAATTTTGAAAGTTGTTCCAGATTGTTCTGACTTTGTACCACATTGTTCCAAAGTGATATTGCTTCATTCGAAACGGTTTTCGAATAAAACAAAAAAAAATGATTTTTTAAGCTGGCACCCCACTTTTCGAAAATCGAACATTCTGATACCGCAATAGATTGTTCTAGTTGTTCCAAACAATGTTCCAAAAAGACAAATCCGTAAGTTGAATTATAAGTCCAAAAAATGAAAAAAATGTTTTTGACCTGGCACCCCATTTTTTGAAAATAAAGCATTTCGATACCGATATAGATTGTTCCAAACATTGTTCCAAAAGCACAAATCAATAAGTTTAATTATAAGCCCGAAAAATTAAAAAAAAGTTTTTTGACAAACAGTCTATCGGACCAAGAGTAAACTTATACTATCTTTCTTGTTCCAACCGAGATCTTTTTGTTCTGAGTTGTTCTAGGCTTAAGAATTATAGTTCTAGAGTATGAGACTTAAAGGGGTCACCGTGCAAATGGCGTTAGTAAAAAACATAATGCAAACAGAGGGTTAAAAATATTTGTTGTATATCATGAGCAAAACTTCGAAACGTCAGTTGGCCATTACACTGCGTATGTACGTAATGGTACCAATTGGGTTGAATATGACGATTTGTTGCGTAAGCCAAAAAAACTTTCCGTTCAAGCTAAAAGCAATGTAAATATATGTATTTATGTAGAAACATAAAATATTTTTAACCCTCCGTTTGCATTACGTACATACGCAGTGTAATGGCCAACTGACGTTTCGAAGTTTTGCTCATGATATACAACAAATATTTTTAACCCTCCGTTTGCATTACGTACATACGCAGTGTAATGGCCAACTGACGTTTCGAAGTTTTGCTCATGATATACAACAAATATTTTTAACCCTCCGTTTGCATTACGTACATACGCAGTGTAATGGCCAACTGACGTTTCGAAGTTTTGCTCATGATATACAACAAATATTTTTAACCCTCCGTTTGCATTACGTACATACGCAGTGTAATGGCCAACTGACGTTTCGAAGTTTTGCTCATGATATACAACAAATATTTTTAACCCTCCGTTTGCATTATGTTTTTTACTAACGCCATTTGCACGGTGACCCCTTTAAGTCCTGTAACATTTTTTTGTTAAACTCATCTAAAAAATCTGAAAAAATTCTGAAAAAAGTTCTATATACTGATTTAAAAAAATATAATTATTTTGATGATTGAAAATAAGGATGATTGAAATATATTTCTGAGGTGACAAAAATTCAAGAAAAAGATGATTTCTTACAAACATTAATCTTTATTATAGGAAAATTGGCGGAAATAATTACAAAATGTCATAACAAAATAAAGTGAAATTGCTTCGTCGTTTAAGCCTAGCACAACTCAGAACAAAAAGATCTCGGTTGGAACAAGAAAGGAAGCATGTGTTTACTCTTGACGTCGAGTACTGTCAAATCGATTTTTTTACGAATTTTCGGAGAACGGGTGACGCTACGAGTCTCATACTCTAAAACTATAATTCTTAAGCCTAGAACAACTCAGAACAAAAAGATCTCGGTTGGAACAAGAAAGATCGTGGTCGGTCCGCGTAGTGTTTTCTCATTAAAAGTTCGGGATGATGATCGGATCAGTTCGGAGCTGCCATTATTTGTGAAGAATTATTCAGATTCGTGGAGAATTTGAAAAGTTGGTATTAGAGCTTTAGTGTTTAACATCGTCGGGAATATCGCGCAACAGCCCGGAGGTATTAATTTGGTGTGTTATTGGCTGTGGCCGTAGATAGAGGACATTTGGTGAGCGGGTATTGGGAGACGTGTTTAGAGTTGTTAATATTAGTAAAAGCATATTCGAGGACGAATGTTATTATCAGGCTGGCCGAGTGTAGGATTTGAAGAGCGAACTGAGGATAACGTGGCGCCGTACTGACGAAACAACAATAACATGTAATAAAAAAGCGAGAAAGAATATATTGGGACAGGGATCTTGGGTAGTTCAGTGGAGAGAGCAGTCGCCCGGCAAACGAAAGGTCCCGGGTTCGAGTCCCGGTCCAGCAGTTCCGAATCCGATATACTTTTCTTTCCGACTCTTACAATAGATTTTACTGCAGTGCTATACCTATAACTGAATCCATCAGTTACAAGTATAACATTTCAGTGAAGAATACTGATTGTACTTTCGAGAGCAAGAGACTTTGCGTGTTTCATCGCGATCGGTAGTTCCGATACGTGTGTCCACTTTCTTGATCACTCGACGATCGATTATTATTGTTACGTCATTGTTGGAAGGAATCGCCACCGGTAAAGAGCAGAGATTGCTCGTCGCGGCTCTGTTCATTAGACGGGGAAAAGTGCAGCAGTCGATACCACATCGCTTTATAATATAATGGGAATAGACCGTCGCCCCCTCCCGAACTATAACTTATTGGAGCGTGAATCCGCGGCAATTTACGCCGCATAATTTAATCTCGCCTCATTAATACGTATAAAGGATAGTGTTCCGCTATGATGTCAGTGCTGCGATTTCGCTGTTCGTGCCGGATATCGGGCCGGTCATCTCCGCCGTGGAGGCCCGAGGCGACAGGGTAAAGAGGAGCGCGCGCGGATTCAGTTATAATAATCGCCTCGCGCCATCGGTTCCGCTCTAATAATAAAAAAGTAATAATAACCCACTCGGAGAAGACGAAGACAAAGACAACGACGACGACGAAGAATGAGAGGAGGAGGAAGAGCGCCCGATCTTTTCTTACGCTTTTGCAGCGGATCAGGGTGTGCAGGCGGCCTCCCATCAGCGGCAGCTTTCCCTCAAGTACAGCGAGATCCAGCAGCGGCTGATCGATAACCAGAGCCTGCTGAACAACCTGGAGAAAGCGGGCGGCCCGTGCACCTTGGAGAATCTGTTGGCGGAGCTGAAACGCCGAGTGGAGCAGGACAAGGAGGCGCTCCGACAATGGACGGCCTTGAGGAAATCGACCTCCGGGGCGAACACGAAGAATCCAGCTCTGGCCGCCCGGTTGTTGCAGTTTTCGCGGGGCTGCGCGCTCGCGCTGCAATTTATGAGCGAGGATAACCCGCAGGTATGATTAAACGACGGAAAAACCGTCTTTTCCCAACTCCGTACCGAGACTAGATTGTCGAAAACGCTTTTCTTCCTCTTTTCTTCCTCGTTCGCTTCTGTTTTCTCCTTTTCTTTTCTCTACTTTTTCTTTTATGAAGAAAAGAAACGTAGCAAAGAGGGAACACTGTTAGGACGTGCTCGATCCCAGGTTGAAACAGTTTTCCGTACGTATGACTCGCGACAAGCTTTCGCGAAAAGCAACTCGTATGAAGTAATGCTCTTAAGGAAAGACCCGCTTGGAACGTGGTATGCGCTCGCGGATCCCGACCATGTGCCAGCAATACTTGCGCAGTATATCTGACAACAACCGTACAAAACAGAGGCAAGAAGCAAGAGAGATAGGGAGATTCGTTACTAATATCGTCTACCCACGAAACAATTTGCGCTCCGCGCCGGCCGTCTCGAGCGGGAGGAAGAGGAGGTTTGGCATAGAAAACGACGGCCTACTGGAACAATGAACGCGTCGTTCGTGCGCGATCGCAATTTATTTTTACGCGACCCCCGCGTGCTGCGTGAGAGACTCGTACGGTCGACCGCCGACAATAAGAAGAAAGGTGAAGGACCTGCATCGTGCCGTGGTAGAACGGCCGAGAAACACACACAAACGCACGTACACACCCGCACTCACACAATTACGTCTCGTGCAACCACTAGCATTCCCGAGGGAGACTGCGGCCGACTCGGCTGAGGCGTATGAGACGATCTGCGGAGGACGTCAAAGACGCCACGTAACCTCGCGGAATCCCAGAAGGGCTCTACGGCGATCCTAAATTACGCGAATTTACCGCGCACCCCGCTGCTCTCGCTGCTGAAGCGGATCGTCGCGCGCGAAGAGCGCAGATCGAGATCTCGTTACTTTCGACGTCGACTTGCGCGCGCGATTTATCGGACGGCGAGCGCGCGCCGTCGCACCGTTCACTCTCCTTTTCGCGAATTGAGGCGCACGAACATATGCGTACTCCGAGAGAAAAATCCGAGTTTTAACCAACAGATACATCAATTCAAGCAACTGATTCGATCGATTTTCCGATCGAGCGTTGGATACCTTCAGCCGATGAAACGCAACTTCGTCGAAACTGCACTTGATCGGATAAAAAAGCAACGGTTCCTCTGACCACTTAAAATAACTAGAAATTATTTGATGGAAAATGCTGTTCGATCAAATCGAACGGTATCGAATGAAAATAATCCGATAAAAATAGCGAGTCTAGCGAGATGTGCACACAGAAAAGTACCATTCTGCTGTTAAGAGAAAAGCTTAGAGATTGCTCAGTTACTTTCTTCCTTTTAATTGAAGATTATCTTTAAGAACAAAGAACATTTTCTTGATAATAGTCTTAAAATATACTCATCAGAAATTTGAGAAAAGCTCATTATCGTGTGCACAAAAGAAGAATTATTAAAAGAATTTATTCTCTTTACAAGAATAAAACGATTTTCATTAAAGAAACAATTGATTCGACTCTATATAGTAAGCAAGGCGAATTTCTGTTTTAATTTTCCTGATCTATTTCTTGAAATGCTAAATTAGAATATATGTACTTATGAAACACATTGAGACAAATAATAATCGTTTAAATGCAGTATGAATCTTTGTACATATGTGTGTGCCGATCAACTTTTACGAACCATAAAAATTGACCGGAAATACCGGTTTTTAATTTTTCATCGATATAACCATTTTGTTGAAACTCGGATTTTTCGGTCAATGCACGCGCGTAACATCCGCAGATGGAATGCGCGTCGTTAATTTGTTCCCGCTGATGACACATGGTTGATGCTTTGCCCAATGACATCACAATTACTATGCCTATTGTGCCGAGACTCTGGCCGGGATAAAATTAATGTACAGTTCGTAGAACGGCCCGTAGCGCGCGCCAGTGCGTGTAATTCGTTAATACGCGCTATTAACGGACTCGACGAATTTCGACGGTGGGTCGAAATAGTGAGCGGAAATGAGCGCTAATGAAACGCGCTTCGCGAAATAACATAACGAGTTAGGTAGGTTGAGAAGGAAACGGAACGGGCGAGAGGAGAGGAGAGATCGTGATTGCGATAGGTGATAAACATAGAAATAGGCGCGCTCGTGCGACGCGTGTGCTTCACTACGTGAATTCCACCTGTGATTTGTCGCGTCATTCCTCGTAATTGACGGCCAAGAACGCGGCGATCGCCCTTTCCGGCGCGATGAGTGTTGGCCCGCCGAATTTATCGTAGGCACATCGTAACACGCAACACGTACGCACGCTGAAATATGCGAGAGAAGCATTTGCGAAGCGGCGCGAAGTATTAATGCGCGGAGCGCGTTAATGCGCGCGATATATGATTAATACGACAAACATTAATGCCGAGCCATAAATCACCGGCGTTGCGAGCGACGATGCACGAGCGATAAATAATTCCGCGGGTTCAACCAGCATCACCGGTGCCGCCGCCGCTGTCGCACTGTTTTTGATGCGCCATAAAAACTGCAAAATTGCACCGGCGGCCGGTATGCTTTTCACGGAAAGTTTCGAGGAAACACGAGCGATCGCGTTCGCGAAATACGCCGAACGCCGCGACGAGGCGCGTTCTCCTGCAGGGGCAATAACAGTTTCCACGCTCGGTGTTATGAGCGGCGAGATTAGTTTGCACGCTGCTTTTTTCCCAAGCGGAGAACATGCGGAGGAACGACGCGCGCACGCGCGCGCGTTCTCCCTTTGATCGCGAAAATAATTGCGTTCGGCATGGCGAATAGAATTCGGCGTGATAGACAGTGCGAGGAGAGGGGGGAGAGAGAGTGAGGGAGGTGACCACGTCGCGCGTTCGAAATGTTGCGTTAAACGCGTTTTAATCAAATGCACCGCGCTCGCGAAATTTTGCCGAAATTTGCTCGGGCACGAATCCCGTTATCGTGATTGTTTAAACAGTTTCTCGATAATGAATAAGCACGGCGGCTGCATCGCTTTTAGAAACGACGGCGTCACCGTCGTCTAATTGAAAGCAAAAATATGGGGAATTAATCGCTGCTCGCTCACGTGACAATCTGGACTTCAAACGACGAAAATAACGGCGCTGCGAAAAGGGCGAAAAGTGCCACCCGAATTGTTATATAACAGAATCGAATTGGAAAACCCCGCCTCGGTATGCCGGAACGCGTTAATTGCTCTCCACTGAGTACGTTTTAATTGAAAGCCCAGAGTCGACTGGAAATCCCAGGCGAAAATGGAACGGATGTATCGGGAAATGTAGGCGCCGTGCGAATTGTTCGATAGTTTTTCCATAGCGCGCGATATGTATTTCCTGCTTGCTTATGCGTGGCGGTGGCAAGACTTTGACGCGCGAGTTAACGAACGACACATTATTTCCTCGGCATATATTTCTTGCGAATTTTACGATAAATATGTGACGGAATATCAAATCGTCGATTAATATCGCCAGTTAAACACCATTTTTATCTCATTTCCGAGCGTGGAAATATTTCCCCTCCGACATATTTTCAATATTCATCTCACGTTTTTTCATACTTGCAGCGTCCTGAACTCAGTTTAATATATAAAACATCGAAAACGCACTTGAATCTTTAATGTCACAGGTCGTGCGGTACTGATTAAATGTAGCACTTTTTGTCGACGAGTCTCGTAACGCATTTCATATCCGCTAAGAGAATTTGTTTTTTAGTAATTCTCAGAAGGCACGTTTTTTTACTGAATGTGAAGTGCGCTGCAAAACTCATCGAGGAAAAGTATTGCTGCACGTCGGCTAATCAGCCGACTGAAGAAAAAGGAAATTTAAACGGCTGTGTCCGTGGATAGTACAATGAGAGAACATGTTCTCGAAAATTAACTCGTCTCGTCATTCTAAGCACAGATACACGAGAAAGAGAAAAAAGGAAAATCAAATACTCGAAAACCTGAATGCGCAAAAAGGATTTAAAATGAAAGTACCAATGCCTGAACACTAATAATACTGGTATTTGATTTTGGAAATTCTTATTGTGCTTTGGTCTTTAAACACAAATATTAAAATTTTCAATATGGAAAAGAAAAAATACATATATCCCATGTTGAAAGTTTAAATATGCGTATTTAAAATCAAAGCAATAAGAATGTCCAGTTTTGGGTATCAGTGTGTTATGAGTGTCCAAGCATTGGTACCTTCAACTCAACTTTTGCGGTGACCTCGCGTCACCGCCTAAAACCTCCAATGTGTAACACATCGCGAGCTGTTTTGTCCGCAGGTATTTCAACTAGACGAGAATCTAGGCGACGACTACGAGGAGGAGTCCAGCAGCGCCGGCTACCACACGGACGAGAGTTGCAGCCCTACCCCGGAGCCAGTGGTGGTAGTGGCTACGACCTGCGAAGTGCTCAGGGTGGAGGACAATTGCTCGGACTTGACCTCGCCGGATATCACGGTGGAGCGACTCGCCGAGAGATACGGCGCCCTTTACGCTCACGCTAATCTCCACACCCTGGACGCCCTGGACGCGCTGGAGTCGCTCAAGGACGCGCCCGACTTGAAGGCGAAAATACTCTACTCGGTGGTGGTGGTGAGTGTCGCAAACTATTTTGTCGTAACTACAAACGCTCGCGCGAGGTGATTTCCCGGAGCATTTCCTGGACCGCGATAAGCACCAGACGGAATCAGCACTTAATTATACCGAGTGGAATACGGAACAGAACTCAATGACGTTAAGCTGTTGTCCGAGACGAAATATACCGGTTGTCGATAAGTCACGAAATAAGCGAACGAGTACATATAAAATTCCTGCTCCTTTTATTTCTCTCTCTCTCTCTCTCTCTATTTTTATGTTTTTGCTCATCTCATCGATCAATTCCGCGCAACGAATAGCGCGCGATTTTTGCCGGATGAGAACGGTCGCGACAAAAGGCGCAACGAAACGGCCGCGGATTATTCTATGCCAGTAGCACTCGATCATCCGCGGGAGTGCACATGAATTAGCCACGTGCGGACGTGAAATTGTCGCGCGAATTTCTGCACTCGCACAATACGCCGAGCTTCGCCAAAACGCTGATTTATTTGCCAGACTCTGGATAAACAATTCTCTCTCTCCCTCTCTCTCTCTCCCTCCCTCCCTCTCCCCCCTCTCTCTCTCTCTCTCTCTCTCTCTCTCTCTCTCTCTCTCTCTCTAAACAAGAATATCTGTTTATTGCGTATTTCGTTGGCTATCTGGTCTAACGCCAGTCTGGGATCTTGTTAATGCACGGTCGCGCGGGTAGTTAATCGATCAGTTAATCCTATATGAATAGCACACTATATAAGTGATAAGCAAGCCGCTTATTTTGATCGCGATGTGTAATATTTTAACACACGCGATGCGCGCTCAAACATGTCCGCCGTCACGCTGTCGCGTTGACAGTCGAGATTTATCTCCCTAAATTGGCCTACATATCTATATTATTCCGCAAAAACGACAGAAATGTACAATCGATCGACCGACACCGATCAACTTTCAACCCAGAATTTCTGTTCCTGAAAAAAAAGGAATAAGAGAAAAAAGATTCCGCTGATTAATAATCTCCCAGCGGATCAAAGTTTTCGTTAACGCGTGCTTTTGTTACATCACTTCAAATAGGGGTATCATCCTCCGGATTAGAACGTCACCATTCCGCGTTAATGCGTTACAAAGGCGCGATTGATTTTGCGCGAGACAATCGCGGCATAACGAGTGGTTTTCACCGTGTCGTCGTGTAATTTCCTATTGTTTAACTCGATAGTTACACGAGCAAACGATATTGACAGTCGTTCCAATTGGGACTCCTTTCCCTATAGGCACGCAATTAAAACGCTACTCCTCCATCGTGTCGTCTCGCACGTAAATTAAACAGCGCGGATACGCGCACAAGTTCGATTGCATACAAATATTTCGCGATAATTCCACAAGTTCTTCTTACCCGAGTCGTTAATGTGTCCGTTAATTGAGAGAAAAAATATCTAAGAAATAAAAAAATATTTATTCGATGAGTATTAATGACATATTTTATTTAAGTCTACATCCTCTCATTTAAATAGAAACTAAACAGATGTTTTCATGGAAGATTAAGATTTTAAGAAAATGTACATTTTTTATCTGAAAAGTCTGCGTTGGTGTAAGCAAATATGTTATTAGTATCCACCGAATAAATATCTTCTATCTCTTAAATATTTTTTCTGTTAGTCTAATTCTATTTTTAACATAAGCACTTATCGATTTTTTACGAAATAAACCGCAATTATTCATTTGACGTTGCGTATAATTATCGTCGGAATGAATATCTGATGATTATCTGACGATCTCGTTAGTTTTACTGTTTAAGCGTGAGTTGAAATCAGGTTTTTCGCGAATTTCTCTCGAGATGAGCTTTATTTCTTTCGAGATGAATGGGGAACGAGCATGCGATACGAGAGGAGACAGCTCTTGAGAAAGAGTCCGTAAAGGTCCGATTGGAACAAGGATTAGCCTGATATATGCGCAATTAACCGATGTACGTGTACACAAGAGCCTACATGGCTAATATACGTCTCACAGGAGTTGTGTATAGATGTGTGTCATCGAAAGCAAACGCAGGTCGTGTCAAAGGTGTCGAGACATGCATCGAGATATTGGGTTACACCCTGTGTGAGATTAAACCGGGGTAAAATCTGCCATCCCGTAATTACACCGCGGCGGCTTAAGCTACACGACGTATCACAGGAAATTTTACCGAGAGCGTGCACGATGATTTGTTTTCCAAAAGTAGTTTTTAATCCTCGCTCAGTAGTTTCTCCTCTCCCCCCCCCTCTCTCTCTCTCTCGCGCAAAACGATGACTCTAATATTTGTGAAGAGCTATTTGGCGTACGTATACAGGCGCATGTTACGTGAGGCACGTAACAAAGCCAACACAAATATTTTCATTCGTGCGTAAATATCGAGAATTACCGCGTCGGGATAGCGTTTTTTAAGCTTTCAGCCATCGAGCACAAGTGCGTTATTTTATTTCGAGCTCCATTAAAACCCGAATGTACAAACACGTTTCTAAAAATAAAGTCATATTAGTTTTCCGCGTGCATGAGAGGGAATGGGCTCATTTTTGCGTGACGTTACATCACGAATGTTACCGCGCAGGTCGCTATCGAGACTGAATGTCCTCTGAAAACTAAAACGGGAAGCACACACTCTTGCATGAAGACATAATACACAACGCATAAGAGAATGAACCAATCAGGGTCCTCACTTCTATTGCCACGAAGAAAACGAAGGATTCTGATTAGTCAATTTTCTTATGCGTTGTGCAATTATGTCTTTGTGCAAGAGTGTGTGCTTCCCGATATCGCATTAGAATCGTCGAGGGCTCATCGGCATTGCCGCGGATAGAACGCGTAAAGATCTCTGAGAGAGGATAATCATGAATAAACAGCACCGACTTGACGGAGTTCTCCGTGCGCGCACACGTGGGGAAGAAGAGTTCGATTCTCCGATATATCGCCGCGAGACTCCCCCTCTTTCTCTCAAGTGTGCGATGTGGCGAATAAACTTGCGCTCGTCGCGAATCTCACAGGCACGAGATCGGCTTCGACGACGTTCGCGAGCACAGAAAAAGTCGCGATTGTGTGCCCATCACGAGGAGGAGAGAGTCGACGAAAACTAACAGAGAGAAAGAGAGAGAAAGCGAAAACTAACGCATACATTCGGCCGGAAAGTACGGCGTGTCGATAAACACTTGTTCTCCACTTGCGCTTCCGCGTCGGCTAACGTGAAAGCTGCCGACAACGAGGGCGCGATCCCTACCGCGAAACGGTACTTCGCGTTCACTGGAGTGGTTTACACGTGCCATAATCACGCTTTAAAGCTCGCGCTGCAAGTAAAGGAGGCACCGGCCGTATACGTATTTCCAGCTCGTCGTGTATTCTCCGACTCGGCATCGATCTCTCTTCGACGAAAAGAGCTCAGAGAGATGAAAATTAGATTCGAATTCGGGTCGATAGATGAGCGCAAATTAACGAATTGATGCGGACGGTGAACCGGGTGAAATTTCGGATCTAATATCGTCTGTCTCACGGCTTTTCCGTGAGAGCCATCGATATTAATTGTCCCGACAGCTGAGCTTGTAATTAAACTTCCTAACTAAAGTCCACGTGAAATCAAGCCGACAATAAGATGCCGTTATCTGTCTCTGAAGCTGAACTCTCACGGAGGGTTCTTCATTTGCATTACTCAAAGACGGTTGACGCTTCAATTTCCCCGATGGAAAGGAACCTCGTTTTACCGAATTGAAATATATATTAAAAGCACGAAGCGCGTATAATACGATTCCATTTTCCAAGAATGTTCTTCCAGAACGAAAAATACGCGATGTAAAACGCGGAGAATGAAAACCTGGTTTCGAATTATTAAGCAAACGTAATTTAAGAAGGTGAAAGTCAACATGCGCTACCAGTCGGCAGATATGCTACATCCATGAAATCTGTAGATTTATAGATCTTTGGGTTCGACGCTGTACGGACAATACAGTAAATACCTTTTGTTGCTACTCTAAGCTGCTATTTACAAAGTAAACTCCTTCATTAAAAGTGAAGCGTAAAACGACCCATTTCGCGTCCACGTCGTCTTATCGATCCAAATAATTTTATTACAGTGGAAAACTCGACTTTACGACCAACGGAGTCTTTTAGTTGACACAAACTAGCAAAATTCGCGCAAAATATCCTTTAAAATTTCAAAAGCAATCGCCAATTCGCGAATATATTATTTTAAGTGATTATCAAGAGACACAACGCGTTCGTCTCGATGTTAAATTGTCGATATTTATTGACAAAACGAACATTTCTCGCATTGAAAAGCAAATTTTGTGCAGCGGTTCCACTGTACATAATTGCACGTAATAAACACCTATATAATATAGTATATATTAACGCAGAAAAGAAATCTCATTTTTGGAAAACTAATTTCTTGGAAAGGAAAGGACGAAGTCTTTGTCTTTAAAAACAAATACGAAGCGCCTGTGATAGAGTGCTTTGAAATTTCATTTGCTCTCAGCAAAATTGCGTTGCTCAAAACAAAACGCGCGTCTCGCGAGACGCGATGAATTAAATTCAAAATTCACCTAGAGAACGTTCGCTCTTTGCTCGTTTTAATCTTCAGGCGAGAAGAAACACGCGTAAAATGTGAGAGAGAAAGAGAGAGAACTTTTTATGCGCAAGAGTTAACCATGAATTTCGAGTAGCAACGACGATGTGTATATACAAGTGTGCTGTAAGATTATTTTTACTACCACCACGCACCTGTCTCCCGCTCGATCGATGGACCATTAACGTCAAAGCCGGGAGGGGAAAAGAGCGAGGGGATGGCTCGTTGGTACGGCAGGCAGATCGGGGAGGGGGGGAGCGCACTTTTGCGATAGAGAGTATACTCGGTATACAAGTGGCAGAGAGACGCTAGTCCGTCAGCCTGAGGCTATTAGGTACTTTGCATATATATGGATACATACAGGTGCCTTTCACACGGATATCTGGGAAATCGATGAACTAAAATAAATATCCACGAAGAAAGCGACACGTACACACACACACACACACATACTCAACATACGCACACACAATATACGCGCGCGCGCATCACACACGGACTATTCCTCTGCGGTATCTCTTTCACGCGCGCGTTTATGCCACCTTGTAGAACGAGTCGCTGTCATTTGGTCGATAACCCTGCTAGACAATTCACGAAATATCCTTCCCGAGAGAAGCGCGCTCGGCGATATGCACCGACGAGATCTCGACGGCGAAGTTGAAATTAGCATTCGAGCTGTGGTTCCGACATTCGCGATTTTCGAGCGCATCAGTGCTTTCGACTTTGAAATATAGCCGAGACAGTTAATTCCACCGCGGATGTTCCACGACAGATCGCGATCGACAATACGATTTGTAGCTCGGCCCGCGGCAAGAATAGAAATCGCTTTCTGTGTGTATGTGTGCGTGTATATACGTAAGCGCGCGGGGATATCTCTCGCACGCGAATATCACCAAGACGACGAGTGAAGCGTAAAGAACGAGCGGTGAAATATTGACCGGCGCTGATCGATATTTTGAAGGCCCGAAATCCCTAAAACGTCCGTCGGGGAAAACCCCGGGAGCGCCAGCATGCCAGATAAAGTGCGGAAGGCGAAAATTCACTTTCTTAAATAATGCAAGCGAGAGACCTAAATGCGCGTTATCCAGCCGCCGCTGTCTCGCTTTGCACGCGCAGATTCGTCGCTAATAAAATAAACAGACGCGGCAACATTTCCTAACTGTTTCTCTCTTTCTCTCCCTCTTTCTCTCGCGTCGAGCATATTTGTCTCATTTTTCAAGGGAATTCGTGACTTGGAATACATTCGCAGATAAAGCCGGCTGTTCACTCACTGATAAATACGCGTCGATGCAATGTGCTAATGATCCGTAATATTTTCTTACAATCTAATCTCAATGTCAGCTACCTATTTGTGAATATTTAAAAGAAACTGATGGAAAGCTAGACACTGCGAGGAATAACAATAAAAACCGGTTCTGCTAATGGCGGAATATATTTCCCCGATTCATGTTTTGAGAAAGAAACTACACGAGTTTGCGTGGACTGCTCCATCGAATTAAGCTGACCCGATGAAGATTCAAAATCCCATGACTATCCATAAATTAATAATCGGCTGTGGCTTGAAATAAAAGAGATCTTCTTCCGAAAGAATTAATTCTAACTTTTTTCACTACATAAACTGGAATCATAACGTCAATCAACAGTTAGTTGACAGGAATAAAAAGAATTTAAGGCTCCTGGCCCCTCGCATTGTCTATCTCTTTTTAATGATGTCTTTTTAATGATGAAAAGCGAGAAAATACACCCTAAAAATTCTTGCGAAATACATTGAAATAAAAATATATATTCATAAAATAACACTTGCAATCGATTGAACAAATTTGTAAGATATTCCGTGCACTCCTCTTTTGCTCTAATAATCAATAATTTATTGTAAATAAATCTGAATAGAAATAAACGAAGAAATAGGTTAAGAAGATAAATTTGTATGTCACCTTAATTTACGACAAATTATTGATTGTTGAGAACAAAAGGGGAGTGCAAATCTATCTTACAAATTTGTTTAGTCGATTGCAAGTGTTACTTTATGGATATATATTTTTATTTTAACGTACTTCGCAAGAATTTTTAGCATGCATTTTCTCACTTCTGACGTCATTAAAAAGTGATAGACAATACGAGAGGTTAGGAACTTTAACACCATTTTAATTGAGAATTACAGAACAATTTGGACAAGAAAAATATTATCATGTACGTTTGAAAAGGGCCAAAGAATAATTCAGCGCGTACATCATTACTTATTTCAAACAACAAGATATCTTACAAACAATCGAATCAAACTACCGAATCGGTAATCGCACTAAATAACCATGTTAGGTTCTCGCAGCCTCGTATTCTCTACACTTGAAATTGTATGTAAGAGAGTCTTGCTTAGTCGAACAAATCTAAATTAATTTTCATCAATTACGACTAACAAATGGATTCTTGCGAGAACCACACCCCCAACTGACCGGTCCTTGCAAAAAACATCGTAAATTACCAGTGACGCGTTAAACAATCGCGCAGTCGCTCTTCCCTAATGTACGATGCGTTTTTGGCCGTCCGCAATTAAATTGAATTCCGCGAAAGGCAAATCGAAGTGTGTCGCTAAATTCTATCCTCTCTGCAGAATTTGATCCAATTGCGAGTGTGGGGCGCGTAACGATAGCCTATCGTGCCGCGATTAATATGTTGCACAGCGACAAGACAGCTTTCACACGCGAATACGCAAGAAGCGCGCGGTAAAATAGATATTGCAACAGAGGCGTCCTTTTTTTGCTCTTTCTTACAAGCCCACGCTCGTTATACCGAGTGCCCCAGAAATACCGCCGCCTCTCTCGACTGCGAACACAAGGGAGAACTTGAGGGATACAATGACGATTGTTTCCGGCGTCGAGTAATCTTACGCGTCGCCTTATACGTAAATGACGGCGTTCACGGTCGATTATGATTCAATTTGATACTCGACGCGATGTGGGTTGCAGCCCACGCCATTGAGCCGGTAGTCACGCAGAGCGCGGGTCAAACTTTAAGTTCTAACTGAATCTCGCGATTGAACGTATTACGTGTGCCAGTAGTTCCGTAACTTTTGACATTCTTGATGCTGATAAGCCAAGTTACCATGGATCTTTCTGTGGATTTACTAGTATCAGCTTGAACGGCTTGAGGAGCCGAAAACTGATATCATCTTTAAGTCCTCACCTATAATATTACTCACCTATCTACATCGACTTAGGCAGATATATATTTGCAGTTTTGATATATATCCACTTTCGAAAATCATTATCGACTACTGATACATGTGTGTGTATACATACATATCTTTAAATCTCTACTGAGCTTAAATGTAATGAAATATTATTGCAGAACTTCATTACGATTCAGTTATTTCGTCACATTGTGATGATCGAATGATCGATAGATAGCGCTGGATATCTCATGTCGATTTTCTAAAAAAGTCTCCACAGTCTTTTGTAAATAAGATTAAAACGCCAAAAAAAAATGATATAATATTGACTTCTTTCGTGTATCAAAGATTGTGTATCAAACCGTCATGCATTTTCAATAATGCATTGCACTTGGTAAGTTTAGCTTCTTCCTCAATCCGTTGTATAACGGACATCCGATTGTTGTAATAGAAGAGTGAAAAATACACACGGGACGTGCAATACGCGGCAATGTTAGACGGCAAACGCAAACCTTTACACCCGTAACGGTATCGGTGAAACAGTTAGTCGCGTGTCAAGACGAGTTGCGATTATGAGAGCTGCGATTCATCACAATGCTCGTAAATTAGCATTGTGAGCTGACGGCAGCAGAGGATTCTTTCGCGACGCGCACGATTCCGCGGAATTCCGTGGCAATTATGCGATAACCGGAAGAACATGGTAGAAAAACCGTGCTAGAGCGCGCCGCTAATTAAAGCAGACCGGTATCCTTACAACTCAGATGCCGTCCTCGATTTCACGCAGATTACGATCGACGTATCCCGTATAATAAGTACAGCGGCAAAACACGTCCCGTGCATCTCTATGTTCCATTATATTCGGTTATGATTAGGTGATTCGATTATAGATACGTTTCGTATCATATTTTGCACGTGATATATTGCGAGCGCTCGCGCATCTCACGATATGGTATATCATTCTCCCGTCGGTACCGACGTAAATCACCGCCGTAATTGAAGTTCTGCAAAACGCCGACCGGTGTGATTATCGTGTGTCGTAACGCAAGCAGAGATTAATAATTTTTACTAAATTTATGGTAATTTCTACTATATTCATGATCGTATTTACTATGTCCTATTATAATTTTCATCATAATACTAGTTTATTTCCGAAGTACTAAAATTGTATTGTAATTTTTACTACCATATACTTTCCGTGTACATCAACACGATACCAATTCTCCATTCTTGAAAGTTTACGCCAGCGAGCAATACAAGTTATTCATTCGAGGAAATATTCAGGAAATCTGCTCTTAATGACATCCACAAATGCACGCGAGACGATATTCATCATGTACGATTCTATCAATCTAAATATGAGATATGGTAAAACTTTTTACGCGAAAAGAAACCACTCGTGTAACTGATGATAGCGATCCGGACATAGAGCAAATAAATCATGCGTCTACGTCAATCGTGAATCAGCAAACGTGCTCTAAGACGCGCTCCACTCTAATCTCTGCCTAACGTCCGCTCGCGATAATCGCATCGTGCCGCACACGAAACGTGCCGAGCCCGACTGCTTTAGCCGTTCCATTCCCGTGTTCACCTTGAGTTACCCTAAAGTACGCCGAACGGGAAGAAAGAGTAAAAAAAAAGCGCAATCGGGTGAACGGTAATCGTGCGCAATTTACGGCGCACCTATTTTAACGACATGCATGCCATCATGGAATTGAAGGGCATTACATCACCGTGCGCAGCTCCGCTAATCGTTTCCCCTGTCTCGTCCGCAGCTCTCGTGGCGTCTGGCCGGCATGGTACAGACATCGAGGCGTCTGGAGGCCTTGAAGATCTTGAACGGTGTCGCCGCTGCAGCGACGAACGGCGTGCAGACGGTGACGGTGACGGTGACGACGACGACGACGACGACGGCGGTCACGCCGGAGCTTGAAGAATGCATAAAACGGCAACTGGCCACTTCCGGCGCCCAGACCGGTTCTCGAGAGGTCGCCGAGCAGGTGGTCAGCCAGTTGGAGAGGACACTGTACGACTTTCCGTGTCTGCGTGGCTGCGCCGAGGTCAAAAGTTACGCCAGCGCGTGTTCCAGTTTGGCATGGGCGTGTCTGGCGCGTTCTACACCGCTGGTGCTCGACGTGGCACAGGGTCTCGAGTTCCGACGAGACGTCCACGTGAGGCATCATGCCTCCCCGAATCCGCACGGGACCAGGATCAGATCGGTCCTGTGGCCGGGACTTCGGGAAGGCTGCCAAGGCCCTTGCCTTCACAGAGCCGTCGTGCTGACCTGCTGAAGAGCGCGGCCTTTCTGTAACATTTAAAAAGTAGTTGATTGAGATATGGTTGGCTGTAAAATTTAATTTTGCATGCAAGAATATTTTTTATATTTTTCGAAAAGAAGAAATTTTTAAGAGGATTTTTTTAATATTTCTCGAGAGGAAAGTAATAGCAGGCATAAAATATCGGATGAAGCATATGCAAAGAATACGGTCTGATTTTTCAATCCGATTTGACTTTATTGCATTCAATGAAAACAAATTATTCGTCAAATAATCACCCCGTGATTGTCTATGATCCTTCGCCAATGTTCTGGCGGCATTTGCATATTATAGTTGCAGAACATGATCGATTTAATGTCGAGGACAGAAAAATCAAACCGAGTTTTTTTAATTGTCCTAATATAAAATCTAATATTGGATTGATCATGGCTATGTAACGATCTTCTGATGATTCCATAATCAATGCTCGCTAAGAGGACGGAAAATTGTAAGCATTCAGTTCTAGTAGCCGCGAAGAGGGCTACTTTTGTCCCTGAGTATTTATTTCACTATAACATCCGTAGATATCTGAAGTCTGATATAACGCAGATGGATCTTACAAATTTGTAAAATCAAAATTTATCTTTTCAAAGTCCAAATGACATGCGTAGAGGATCAATAAAAACAACATAATCTTGCGACAAAGTGAGGAAAAAATGATACACAAAATAGAATTTGCAAATTGAGCGTACATTGAATGATGGAGGTAATCTTGCACGGAACACCGCACCGTTGCTCCAATTTTGCTCGCATTCATGATATGCATCCTTCGCCGTTGACACTTGACGCCGCAACCGGACCTTAAATTTCAGAAACGCATCTTGCTCACGCGTGCGTTGCTCGTGGCACCGTTGGCCGCAGGACGAAGAATTCAGGGTAGTATGACACGGTGTTGCGGCACTGTTATATCCCCACATACCATCTATGTGGGCCTTATCTGATATTCGCGACAAAAAGAAGTTTGATATGAAGGAAGACGAGCTGTCGCTCAAAAAATTGCACCGACTTGTTGGCACACAATAAATTGTAACTAAGGAAAGAGCATTCGTGAAATCTACTTATAAAAATGGGACTGTAAATTATTTGTCATATTTATTATATTATCAATTTTCGTCATATATATATATACGTAATATTTTTATGATCACTGTGCCTGAAAATATTTCATCTTTGACACGATTAGCTTCTTAAAATAATGAATTATTTAATATATTCGTAAGCTCTCGCGAAATCGAAGCTGTTGTACAGAGATTATGCACACCTCCCCACCCCCCTCATAAGATTAATCGAGGAATGTAGAATATAGAACGCGATTAAAAATATATAAGAAATATAAATGATTAAATCATTTTATAATATTCAGAAATATGAACAATTTATATACTATTTATATTCTAAGTTAAGGATTAACGCTCGACGTACATAAATTTTGCATTAAGTCACAAATACTAACAATAACCGTCGAAACGGTATATTTGTTAACGGATAAACTTTATTTAATACTTTTTAACAGGGATACTGTATATTGTTCCACACATATCCGCGATAAAATTACACAGATTAACAATAAAACATCAATAAAACATCTTAATAAAACGTTCATCGTGATTTTTGTTCAAGCATATCCTATTTAAAAATAAGATAAAAACGGATGAAGCAGTAGAATTAATGGCATTAATTACGGAAATTGATATCTGAAAAGACGAACATCCAGACGAATCAAGTACAATTATTAAAGCGCAGCTAGAGTTCATTTTCATCTAAAAGGAAGATATAATACCGAAATACCGCGTAATTGATCAACGAAAATTATGCTTGAAAAGAACCCTCCTCCCCTTTCTCTTATTTGGCAGGTATTAACAATTTCATAACGTCAAATGCTTTTTGCGTTGATATTCATAATACTATATTAGTAATGGCATTAGCACACAAATACATATTGAGATAAATAATGCAACACACATTTAATACAGTCCATTTCTGCACATTAATATGATAAATTAATTCTGAAAACAGTTTAAATAAATAGCAACACACAAAATGCGTAGTCATGTAGCAAATTCCTGTTTCCCGCACAAATAATGACGGACAAATCCTAGCGCGACAACGAAATGTGATCTTCTATTTCATAAATTATTTTATACTATTTCATATATGAATCAATTATAGACAATGCGTTATAAATAATGCAGAAATGACAGCGCTTATCATTTCAAGCGAGATTAACGTCACCCGACTAAATCTGCAAACCATAAAATATGATTAACAATGCAAGGGCTTAACTTTTGAGTTACTAATATCAATTTAACTAGGCCAGTCGTCCGGTGATATACTTCGCTATTGTTGATTTAATGTTATATTTCTGGAATACGATCAAAGGAACGGGATACGAGATTATTCCTTTATTCGTTTAAATCTCTCGGGACTTTACCATCGAGACTTTTGCATCCCACTGTAGTCCGTTACATTTTTATGCGCAAATGTGCACATTCGATGAGCTTTTCTGGAATACATATCGTCGGCAAAAATTTTCTCTACATCCGCTGTCCGTCTTGCCCGAAAAAAAAGAAATTAAAAGAACATCAAGATTCACTGATAACAATTTAGTGACAGGAAACACACTGCATAAATATGTGAAAAAAATAATATAATTCTAATAGTTAATAACGTAAATTCATCGACGCATCGGACATAGCACACTAAACTGCTATACGACGAAATACAACGATCTCCTGTTTAATATCGAAATTTATTCGTATCGTGGCGCTGAAAATAAAATACGTGGATTAATCGATGAAGTTAATCAACATATATGTGAAGGCATTCAGTTTCGAGAGTTTATTATAAATCTCATAGGTTTCTATGTACACTGTTGGTTGCGCTTCTAAAGCTCCTACTAATTGAACAAGTATAAAAGTATGTCTAACGATTACTCGTTTAGTCCTGAATAATTATTAATCTAAATTACATTTCCTTTTCTTTCACAATATTTTAAGCGAGAAAATTGCTCAGCGTATATCTCATAGATCGAACATTCTTCTCGTAACATATCATGTTATATGCATGTCCTTAGCAATTAATAATTACTCCAAAGAGGTCTAAACGAATAGATCGACCGACATCGAGAAATTACTTTGGTCGAATTGTCTTAATGATTCCTAATCCTTATTTATCATATACGATGGAAGGTCAAACGGATATATTTAGCTTCATATGTATGCATTCGAATATATGTATGCAAACAAAGATTTAATATAAAGCCAATGTAACGTTACACGTCACAAAGAAATACCTAGATTTATGGCAGATAAAAAAAGCTTTGAATACGCAAATTGTTTAAAAAATGTCGCGTATGAAATGAGATCCTTCTGTCAATATATGTGTGTGTGTATATATATATTTATCTATCTCTTTTTCTCTCTTTTCCTTTCTCTTCTCTGTCCTCTCTTTCCACTATTTCACTTAAGATACACTGTATAATAATATACAGTTTTGTATATATACCATACATATCTTTACAACTGCAATAAAAATGTTCGTATTGGTAAATATTAATGAGTATTCTTACATCAAATAAGTTGCACATAAAATCATCGTGCTTTTCCTAAATAATACGGAAACGACCTATTACTTAATAAAAAGAGTTACATATGTAACATTGCAATGATTGTTGAATCTCCTGTACGATAGGCATCATATCTGTGATAGCCATCAAGAATATCTTAACAGAATAAGACAAATCGTGAAAAGCCGTCGATATCTGTAAATGTGAAAGTAACACTGCAATTTGTCTCGTATAATAACGATTTGTTATAACTAGAAAAAAAATGTAAGATTACAATCATGTATTATAATCAACTTTCCAAATTCCACTGAAACAATTCGGTCATGTACAATACATATCGCGTACATACAATATTTTCGATAAGAAGTCCTTGGACGAAAAGGACGAAATAACAATATTAACGAAATGCTTATTATAAGTTGCTTATTAACAACTAAAAACGAAGAGATATGTTTGCGTGTAGTACTATATGATATACATTATACGTGAATAAATGTCATGTATGGAGTAGAAATTTTCCAGAAGCTTGGCATAATTGACATAATACGCATAAAATAATATATAAGAAATTATTCTCGAATGAATACACTTTCTGATTAAGATAAAACGCATTGCGCAGAACTATTTCTATTTATAATTAGGAGACTGAAACCTATCCATCTGTGTATTTATCACGTTTCAATCTATCTATTGAATTACATCCAAGATAAATACAAATTATACGCGATGCATAAATTAAAACATGTACCGAAATTAGATACATATTACACATTTCTGTACATGTAGATTTAATTATTCTATATTATACCGTATTAAATTGGTACGCTCTTTATAGAAATGAGTCTTGTACAATATAGTCATGTAAAAAGTTAAAGGAATTGTACTCTTTTTGACATTACACATACATTTTATTTTTTTCCTTTTTAAATAATCTTGTCCCAAGATTGATGAGTCAGTTTGTATAAAGAATAATGCGTTAAAATTTAAAAAGTCTATACGGTGGGAATTGAACTATATTAAAATTTATTCGATAAACATACAACACATCATGTCTTAATGTCCTTTCATAAAGAAGAACATGAGAACTTACAAGAGTTGTAAGAATTCATAAGTATACCTTCTCGGGTAAATTTTAGGAACGTGAGAAAATGACGATCTTAATTTGGACTTTAATTTTTTTTATAGAAAGCAAAATAATCGATTTTCGAAGACGATGTACAATAGAGTCAATATTCTTAATCGTTAAATTTTTCGAACTTCACGAAAATATAAAATTTTTTTTCCTTTACATTGTGACACGATTATTTTCTTTTTTATATATTCACGATATTTTACATGATGACACACCATTTCTTTGTACTCTCGGTTGACTCAGCCATTATTTTATTGTCATCATCTTTCATTCCGCTAATATCTAACTTGGTAGATTCGAACTTGTATGATGTGATATTCGGTGTGGATACCTGTATGGGTCTACGCCAGTTTCTTAAGAGACTCATGGGTGTGCTCAGCAGACTACTCTCCGCTTCTGTTTTCTGCTTTTTAGTCGAACCCCAAATCGATGTGTCGCATTTGCGTTTTCTGTCTAATGATCTACCATTCGTGGGTAAACTGTCAGACAAAGCGCTACTGTAATGTAAAACTTTAGATCCGGGCCCTTCATCCTGTGATATCGATATTGTCGATGTGTTCACATACAGAGAGCTGTTTGGCGATATCCTCTTCTCGTGAAAGCCAAGATGACGCATTCTGTTGAGCGAGTGTCTTCCAGAAATATTTCTCAGTGTCTTCCCAAACGATTCTTTCGATAGTTGATTCAACATATCCTCCGTATTGCTCACATCAAAGAGCTTCGAATTATCTTTGACGTAATCGTTCTGTTTGATTTGTACATCTTTCAGCATTATAGATGAATCGTAGGAAAGAAACGACACATCATTAAAAGTTTCGTCGAACTTTTCTTGACCCTTTGTCATGTTACTTTGAGTAACAGTCTCTGACGTTTCCGATACCTCAGACGTTGTGGACTCGACAATTTCGACCGAACTTTCTGTGTCCGTTTGAGGTTCGTTTTGTACCTCATCTTTCTCATGTACATTGGTTTTCAATTCATCTTGCACAGCAGGTAATTCTTCTTCTTTATTATCCTGTGATCGTTTATCCTCCAGCTGTTCTTCTCCATTTTTCACAGGCTCTTGTTCAGCTTCGAGTACTAACTTCACATCATTCTCATCTTGCTCTTCCACTTCTTTGGTTCCAATGTTGGAAATATTTCCTTCCTTTTCTTGGATGATAATTTCGCTCTCAGTAGATACCGCTTCCTGGACAGTCTTCGAGAAAGTTTGAGGTTCATTTGATGTCTGCTCAGAAATGTTGACACTGACATGTTCTTTAGAAGTAACGGGTTCCTCAACCTTAGCAGCTTTGTTGGTACTTAATAACTTTTCTTCCTTAACACTTTCCTCTTGGACAGGGACATCCAATTTGACATTAGTTCCCTCTGATTTCGGCTGCATGTCTGTAGTTTTTACTTCAAGATTTTTCATCAGTACTTTTAATTGCTTTGTTGTTTGAATCGGCCCAACTTTTGCTGGAGTGCGAAGCTTGTTCTACAACATATGTTATTTCCACATTGCAAGGAATAACCCGGACAAGTTAAATTGAAAGACAGTATTTATGACATAAGTTATCAATCTGTTTATAATAATAAATCAGTATCCATTATTAACCACTATTATCTGATTATAATAATAAATCAGTATCCATTATTATTATATGGATCTTATTATGGATTATTTCGAGAAATTGACATAAATAAAAAAATATTAATAAAGTATATGATAAATACATAAAATATTTTTATCACAGAACATATATGTGCAGGGAAAAATTGCATGTATAAATTAATATTTAATATTTAATTATATTTAATTATACATATTGATTGATATATAATATTGTTGATATATAACAAAGTTTACAACAAGTTTACAACAAATTTACAACAAAATGCACATAGAACATAATATTTATAAAAATTACTCTTTGTATAAAGTATGAACATATTAAAATATTATTGTATCAAATGATACACTATACTGATAGGCACATACCAAATCTATACTAAAAGATAAGACTATCTTAATAGTAGTAAATTGAACAGAATTACTCGTCAAATATCAGTACTACCATGAGAGATAAGAATGTAATATTGCATAAGTTGATAATACACGACACACCCAAGGTGCCATTATTTCAATAATTATTAATACATCATAACACACAGTTACTATGAGAGACTATTTGTACTCATAAATTATTTACAATCTTTGGTTGAAAGTATAATTAATTATAGATTTGTATTCAGATATTATTTAGTTTTTGAATCAATATCTTTTGCATGAAGTAAATATAGATTGTACAGATTGAAGAATAATCAGAAGTTCATGAAATTATGCTATTTATCAAATAATAATAGGCTGTTAATAACAGCCTAAATAATTCTACTCAAGTCTTAATGTAGCTCAAAATAATTATATTACATTGTATTATGTATATTCACTTAATTCAACTTTTCATAATGAGAACTATAAAAATATATTATATATACAATAAAATATATAGAAAGGACTTAAAAATGTGTACCTTCAAATTTTTTCCAGTTCCACTCGAGATGTATTTCTGTATACCAGTCAATTTTGGTCTGAAACAAACAAAAGATAATCATAATCAATGGAAAGATTAAACCACATGGCAAATATGGCCTCTGAGTAAGAAATACTGGTGGTGATGAGAGGTACTAATTGAAAAAGATGTAAAAGAAGGTAAACCAGAGTTTTTCATGTCATTTAAAGAATGAAGATGTCTTTTCTTTATATACATGCATCATATATAACATTCCATTTACAAAATATCCAAAATAATTACCAATTTGTTACATCAAATCCCACAATGACATGACTCTGATTTCACGATTCTCTGAATTGATAAATGTAACTCTGTGTCCCAAAGATCAGAAAATGTACACATTACAAATGTGTACTATACTTGAGGATATAATGAGACGACACAACAGAATCTTGTAATGCTCCTAACAAATGTCACATTAACACTACCAAATGCATAGATCTGGTATTATTTAAAGTACAGCAGAGTAAGCAATTAACGAATTCCAAATGCCGCATCGAGTATCCCAATTTACAAACAATCTACTGCTACATAATCTGCATCTTTTCCTTCCGAAATCATTAGAGTCAATCAGATAGATTCAAGAATGCGACTCGCAAGCACATCCAACTGAGAAACTCTGATGGAACTTGCAATTCGCTGTTTGCTGATTGGTTCTACAAACCTGTTCGAACCCTGGGACTCGCGATGTTTCTCGTGCAAGAGGCTACGTTCAGAAGCTTTCGACGGCGCGGTCGTTGCCTTGAGCCTGTGAACGCACAAATTCCTCTCATCGCCCCCAGGGGCCGCCTTCTTTGGCGTCTTACCCATGGCCACGATATGTTTTAGCGGCGTACTTATTAATCGCGCGGTAATATTCCACGCCCTTTTTCTTATCCAGCCTTACTTCGTACAAACTTCGCAAGCCCGCGCGTGAGGTTCCCCCACTTAGCGTACAAATAATATCTTTATACCTTGCTCTTTATCTGTCTCACCCTCTCGCTCTTCTCTTTTTCTCTCTCTCTCTCTCTCTCTCACTCTCACTCACTCACTCACACACCCTCTCTCTCCCTGTGCCTCTCACTCACTCTTGCTCTCTCTCTCTCGTCTGCGATTTCGCAGCTTCTCGCCTCGTCAGCTCAAAATATTAATAGTCGCCCTTTCTTACTCTCGTCGCGGCGGACTAATTGCGATGTCGGATCGCCAGTACAAATGCGGGGAGGCCGGTATTCTCGCCGCACGAGCAGAGTCCGTTGGATTCAAGCGCACGTACGCACTACGAAGGACGCCATGCAACGCCGAGAGACTGCGACGAAACACTACGAACGTACGCACGCATGCCAGCGAATGCGCGCGCGCAACAACGGACGCCGGCCGCGACAAGCGACACGGATGGACGCTTCCAAACTCTTTCTCCTCCTCCCCTTTCGACACTCTTGTATGCGAGATACGTCGTGAAACGCGCGATGCGAGCGAGAGATAACTTGGACGACGGAGCTATGCCGATTCTAACCTTAGATCTTGCGCGACGAGAATACGCGTGGAATGTGGACCGTTAATGAAGCACCGTTTACGTTGTGTATATGTGCGTGCATGCACACATTTACAACGCATGTGCATCGACGGCTTCCCCCGTCGTCGCCCGCATATGCGATAAATTGGCGCTGCATTCGCTTTGGGCACTTATGCACTGTAAAGGCCATCACACACAAAATTCCGTAAGAACTTAAATCGTAAGCGTAAGGAAATCGACCAATCCCAATCGAGTATTCGGCTCTTCGTAATAATGGAGGGGTTACGAAGAGCCGAGTACTCGATTGGGATTGGTCGATTTTTTTACGCTTACGTTTTAAGTTCTTACGGAATTTTGTGTGTGATGGCCTTAAGCGTCATTCTATCTTCTTCTCGCATGTAATAAGCGATAAAGATAGAATGATGCTTAAGCTGTATGCATAATGCCAGGCAATAGGAACAGACATTAGCCAATAGGAAAAGGGAATAGAAATAATTGACCAATCTGAATTCCTATTCCCGGTTCCTATTGCTTGTTGCCTGGCATTCTATAAGGGCCTTTACAGCGAGTAATGGCTCCTGCACACAGGACGCGGTAATGCTTGTCGCGCGGCGGAAATTCGCGCGATAGCCAATCAATATGTTGTTTTTCCGTAAGAGCTAGAAGATTATTACGGAAAACAGCATATTGATTGACTGTCACGCGAACTTCCGCCGCGCGGCAAGCATTACCGCGTCCTGTGTGCAGGAGCCATAAGTACCCAAAATGTTATGCAGGATTCACACCGTGTCTGATGTCCGATGTACGACGTCCAATATCCAATTGGTCAATAGAACAGCTTTCTAATATAGAATTCAACTCTCCATTGGAAATTCTTTTATTGGATATCGGACGTTGTACGTCGGACATCGGATGCAGTATGAATCCTGCATTAGCGGCGAAACTATACCCACGGCGCGCCACGGTTGCCCTACTTTTCTCTAGATCGAATTACACGATTTTCAGCCTTATGTGTATACGAATAAGATTGAAATCGTTATAATTAAAGTCATTATAACTAGAGTTACTTATACAATTCTCAATCTCAATGTTATATGCAAGACTAAAAATCATATAAAGCCAGCGGCACACGGTGCTTGTTTTCGTGCTGGATTTCTTGCTGAATGTAAATACTCTTTGATTGATGAATTTCCATCCATCTTCAGAAATATACCAATCAGAACAGAGCCGCTAACTTAACTCTAGATCTAGGGAATAATTAGTACATAGCGTAGGCTTGGCCAATGATAGCGTTACTTTTGCCATTGCGCGCGAAATGAACTATTCACAAACTCAAATGCTGCAATCACTTTGGATACTTATATGCTGAAAGTATTATTTTATCTTCCTTTGGCATGCTATAAACAATAAAGACAAAATGACGCTATTAACACGAATGTGTTTAAAATGAACGCAGTCTATATAGACTGCTATCTAGACTACTATCAGGCATATAGGGCGGTATTCATAGTCGAATCTTATTTCAAGACCGTCTTAAGTAATGTCTTAAGATGCGAATACGGCTCTGTGATTGGTTCATGACATCTTAAGACAGTACTTAAGATGATCTTAAATATAAAATCTGACTATGAATTCCGCCCATAGGCCGCTATTTATAGTCCGATCTTATATATAAGATCATCTTAATGAGTCCTGCACACAGGACGCGGTAATGCTTACCGCGCGGCGGAAGTCCGCGCGACAGCCAATTAATATGTTGTTTTTCCGTAAGAGCTAGAAGATTATTACAGAAAGCATATTGATTGGCTGTCGCGCAAACTTCCGCCGCGCGGCAAACATTACCGCGTCCTGTGTGCAGGAGCATAAGTACTGTCTTAAGATGTCATGAACTAATCACAGAGCTAGATTCGCATCTTAAGACATTACTTAAGACGGTCTTGAAATAAGATTCGACTATGAATATCATAGACTGTTATCTAGACTGCTATCAGGTAGCAAGGTGACGTCTAAAGACGTCATTAAGATGTCATTAACATATCATAAACGTTTTAATGACGTCTTTAGACGTCATCTTCCCTTATAGAAATATCATACTAAGAATCATTGATAATTACTTATTATCCAGTATTTTTAATACTGAAAATAAGTAATTATCAATGATTCTTAGTATGATATTTCTATAAGGGTTGCTACCTGGGTTTAGATATTATGTACAAGAAAATATCATATTTCGGAAAGACAAAATAAACATGTAGAGTGTGAAGAAAAAGAATTAAGAAAAAAGATTCAACACTTAAAAAGTGTATAGTACGCACGAACAAAGAAAAAAGTTCATAATATTAAACTTTAACTTCCAAGTTGATCAATCGAAATTGGACAACCTAAATATACCTTTTCAAAATATGACTGTCATCACTACCACTTGCAATTCGCATCAATTTCTCAACTGTGCACTTACAGATGTTAGCAGTCTAGGTATTGTACAGAAGGCTGTGAAACTACTATTGCAACCCGTTGTATAACGCAGTGCGATGATCAACAACGGAAAAATGCAAGAACTATCGTGTTAAGCGTCTTCTACAATGGCAGTAGGAGTAGTAGTAAGAAATAAGCAGTAAGCAAATTGACCAATCACAGTCATTAATCTTCTTACAGTCCAAGAATCAACGACTGTGATTGGTCAATTTGCTTACTTCTTATATCTTACTGCTTAAGTTTTCCTGTGTGCCACGGCCCTAAGGCTGGTTTATGATGGCCATAATCCGTTAACTTATGCCGGAATTGTAAAAAATTGACCAATCACAGTCGATTATTCTTCTATAATTCGACTATAATTGGTCAATTTTTTACAATTCCGGCATAAGTTAACAGATTACGGCCATCATAAACTAGCCTTTATGCTCGTATATCATAATATTAAAAATTGTAATCGGACTAATCAAGCAGAACCTAACCTAACCAGTCTTCGTTGCAAAATCGCTACGTACAATTTGTCGTCGCAATTTCTATACTATCGCTTACCAAGTTTCCTCTTGAGAACCAACGCACAAGCACATCCGTAACATGTTACGTTACGTTAAGTATTGACAATACAATGACCATACCTGTACATAAACTTAAACTTAAATCAACATACAAAGAAATCCGTAAACTTAACATGTTACGGATGTTCTTGTGCGGAGGTTCTAATAGCTCTAATGGAAATACACGATACAACGACTTCAGCTCCAGATCATACAAGACGAACGCGCAATATTTTACTCAGCACTCTAGGTTGCATTCCAAAACGTTCTTTCCGAGGAAAATTTTACTCTTAAGTCTATAGTGTATGTTACATGAACTATAGATTTAAGAGTAAAATTTTCCTCAAAAAAGATGTTTTGGAATGTAACCCTAGAGAACTCGTTTCGCGAAACTTCGTTGTAGCTTTTTTGTGATACTTTATCACGACGAACGTACGAAACTTACTTTCGGCATTCCCAACGACGATAACTCAGCCACGAGCTTCCCCACACAGCAGAGGTGTCTAAAATATACTATAGGGATATCCTAAAAATATATTTGGGATATGCGATATCTTCAAGATATCCTTATGATATATTTGGAACATTCTTGCTGTGTGGGTCCGCTACATCGAATTAAAGTTACAAGAGACAACTTTTCGAATATGTACCTTTCTTGCGCCTCAATCCGTTCTGGAAGTGACAGAGTTGCATCGATTCTCGATACCTCGAAGTCTTGATACAGAAATACGGATGATATCCATGAAGTTCTTGAGTTCCGGTTTAACCGCCGCTACATAAAGATGTGTCCGAACTTATTCAGATGTGACCTGTGATTTTTGAGATATATTTAAGATTATTTCCAAAGACCAAATAAACATAACATTCATCACTTAGCGGCTAATGTTAGCGGATAAGCGTTAGAAATAACCCAGGTAGAATACAAAATCATTTTGATGTCAAGGTGATATCATTTTGATATCACTATCATGAAATTATCATGAAAAGGATATCGTTTGACGTCAAGATAGTATCACTTTTACATCATTTAACGTCATTTTGACTTTTATATGACTTTGTGTTCTACTTGGAAAGATTTGATCAGGCTCTTACAGCCATTTGAGAGAGAAATGAGATTCATGAAAAAATGAAATCTCTTATAATACCATAGCAAAGATGTATACATGTATCTACGAGATATCTGGGAATAATAAATCATAAAATATGATTTTGCGTCTTGCATCTTCGGAAACTTTTTACTCGTATTCGTTTGAATTCGGATAGTTTTATTGTGATCGCTGAGAGATTCGTCGAGATGGCGTTAGTGCACGACGAATATTTGTGCCTAAAGCACTGCAAGATTAGCTATCTTTAGCATATTTCGTCGATGACGTTGTCAATTTGACGAGACGAACAGTGCGTGAACGGTATTTAGTCGAGTACAGTCAAGTAGCTGCCGTAGTGTCGGTTACTTTGGATTATGCATTGTGATCGTTCGCAGATTTAAAGTTTCTTTTAAAATCATCATCGACGTGCGAAACGTGCTTCCGCCAAACGTGAAAAATGAAGACTACCCTCTCGTTGCTCCTGATTATCGGCGTTTTGTCGACTTGGGCCGCGGAATGGAACACAAAGGACTACATGAAACGAGAACATTCTTTGATTAGACCGTATCAAGGTACCATTTCAATTGTTTTCTTTTCCGTTATCCATAAGTCTTTATCATCATGAACCACTCTTTACTACTGCGTTTTATCGCACACGGAAAAAGATTTTTTATTCCATATCACCCGCGCAAATAGTTTCCACTCGTTCCAAATTTGAGGTTACAATGAACAAAAAAAGAATATCTTGCGTGGACTTTGCTCGCTAAATATTATAATGATAATAAATAAAACATGAAAACTTCTTGTTTTTATGTGCTAGAGCAGTGTTCACGATTTATTGTGTGTTATAACATTGAAGAAACGTAATACATAAAAATGAGAAAGATATAATAAAAAAATGATAATGTCTCTGCGAATACTGAACAAGTTTGAGTTTCGAGTCTATTTCTTCCTATTGTCTATTTATGAATCACGTATGCATTCGCATTATTGACACAGTGGAGCACAATGTCCAGTCATGCTTATATTTGCAAGATCATGCACTTGAAACTTGCATATATCTTTTTGATATATATATATTTTTTATATATATTTTATATCTATTTTATCTATCTTTTTATGTATCTTTTTATGTCTTATTTTATTCATTTACTAATATGTGCTATTGTGACTTTAAGGCAATAATATTACCATTAAACAGGCTATTTTCTATATTTATTGTTTGTTATATGACAGTGTATATTGTTGAGCACACATAATAAAATATTTATAAATTAAAACTTAATTATTAATTTATATTCCCTAATTGATGTTTATTATTTATCTGTTATGCGAATTTCTTCCTAAGCGATCTGATTATAGAGTATTGACATTACTATTATAGACATTACTATGATGGATCCAATTTAAAACTTTTATATTTAAAAAAGTTACTACTTGGAATAAAAGATTAAAATTTTTCTACTTTCCTAAGGATATTTCTAATATTAATATTAGAAAATAATAAGTAATAATAAGTAATATTAATATCTTGATACATTGAAATATTTTAAAACATTGAAATATCCTATAAATATCCTAAATATCCTATATATGTTCCCAAAATTTTTCATGTAATATATAGGTACAGGGGTGATGATACCTTACTGGGATTTTATGGGGAGTACAATGGTAACAAATAATTATATAAGACTAACACCAGATTTACAAAGCAAGCAAGGTGCCTTATGGAATTCTATTGTAAGTATTTTATTTATATTATTGTACACAATATATTAACTTTCATGTGAATATATACATGTAAATATAACAGGTTATTTATTAGTGCAGATTTAAATTTTTCTTATTTACAGCCATGTCATGTAAGAAATTGGGAATTACAAGTTCAGTTTAAAGTACATGGAAAAGGAAAAGACCTATTTGGAGATGGTTTCGTGATTTGGTATGCTAAAGAAAGGATGAAACCAGGTCCAGTATTTGGAAATGAAGACTACTTCCAAGGGCTAGCAGTAATACTTGATACATATAGCAATCATAATGGTCCACACAATGTAAGATGAATATGATTTTAACTCATACAATACATAGTAATTTTTATATTTTTATTTGTACCTTGTTTATCCTTTTCTTTTAATACATATACAATTTACTTGAGACAGCATCAACATCCTTATATCTCAGCAATGATCAACAATGGATCCTTGCATTATGATCATGACCGTGATGGCACTCATACACAACTTGCTGGATGTGAAGCAAAGTTCAGGAATTTAGATTATGATACACATCTAGCTATAAGATACGAAAAAGATACTTTAACTGGTATGTAAAATGAGAAACAAAACTGGACATTAAAATACATTAATTACATTTAATATAATATTTTGCTTGCTATATCATCTTTCTAATTAGTTTTTCCTTTGTTTGCAAATATATATACTTATTAACTAGAAGTGTACATATAATGCTATCAAGTATTTAATTAACATAAGATTGATTTATTTTATGTAGTTTCCAAGGATATTTCTAACAAAGCAGCATGGAAAGAATGTTTCTCAGTGAAGGAAATTAAGCTTCCAACAGGATACTATATTGGAATTTCAGCAACTACGGGTGATCTCTCTGACAATCATGACATATTGTCGATTCGTCTGTTCGAGTTAGAGGTACCGGATGATGTAAATATCAAATTATTGTTTTAGTATCACAGTATTAAAATTGTTCAAATTTTCTCAGCATATTTGTAAAAACATGAATTAATTTACAGCTGAATGATGAAGAAGATAGATCTCAAATTGTGCCATCAGCAGCATTCTTTGAGGCGCCAAGAAGTATGAATTCAAACGAACACGATATTGTATCCATGTCTAAATCTTTGTCTATTTTAACATCGATCTTCTATTTCAGCACGCGTTGAAGATTCGAAAGAGCCCATGAGTAATATGAAGTTGTTCCTAATCTTGCTACTTGCCACATTGGTAATAATAATTTTTGTTATTGGCACCATTATGTTATATCAGCAACAACAAGAAAATAAAAGAAAACGTTTTTACTAAGTTATCTCTTAGCGTGTCTTGAGCATCGCAGCTCATTAGTTTCTTCTTTACCCGGAATTTTTTGTACCTAAGAGATGTAGATTATAATATGCTCATAAGACTGTCTGCTTTATTTTTTTTCAAAAATAGAAGCGAGCCAAAATTTTTCTTGCACGAATAAAATATTCAGGGTAAAAGAAGAAATGCGCATAGACTGATTGGTATGATATCTTTACACATAAATATACAGTTCTACAACACCTGTTGTTTCACACCTGTTTTTTTTTTTACAATTCTACAAGTTTACATCAAAAATTCATACTGCGTTGAAATGGTATAAATTTATGTGATAAAACTATTAAACTAGCGTCATACGTGGCATTTCTTGCCTTCTGACATACACCGACACACCATAGCCAGCCACTGCATGGATTATTACTGTACATTGGGAGATTTATATAGTGAGCCGAGCTGCGTACATGTTCAGACAACATGAAATCGTGCATTGTGTGATGCTAGTTTTACGCCGATCCGTGTGTGTGCAAACATTCTAACAAATCGCGTAAATTTACGGAATGTTGCTACATTTATACGTTAAATCGTAGTGCCAGTGATTATTTTTAATATACATTTACTTGATATTATAAGAGAACGGAACATAGTAGAATCGAAAAATGTAAAAATAATTAACAAACTAGTTGGAAGGAATATTGGTCAATTAGAAAGATTTTATATTCCCAACTTATTTTACGTTTCTTCGATTGTACGATGAATTACGCTCCAGTCTGTACAGATTCGTTACCAAAGTCATTATTTCTTCAAATGGCACGAGGATTTGACGAAATAAATTTTTATGAATATAACGATATATATATAAATATACGGTGGGAGGATATCATAGTTAACTTGAACGTATTGTCGTGTACATATTACTAGTTGTATTTTAGAAAGGCCTTGGGAGAACATGTGTAGTATTTGTGTTAATTTCAAGCCAAACGTTCAAAATAGCAGTTTTTTTTAACTGTGTAGGTTGAAGAACTAATGGAGAAGGCTAATTTTAATTAAATATAGAATTTTATAAATTTGTAGAAAGCAGCATATGACCCTTTCGCTACGAGCAACTATAAACGACTGTTAAGAATGAAAAATGCTACTCTAATGGCTTCTTTTTTATAACTTATACGCTTGTTTACATTATTTTATGTAGCAACAAACGGAGCTGTATATATAACAGTAAAGCTCCATGTTCAACTTAGTCATAACGAAAGGGTTAAAGAAACAAAATAGATGGGAATGATAACAAGAGACGCGAAAGTGTCTCTTGTGTCCAGTATATATTTATGAAGGATACTACTATTGTTTCTGGGGCGAAAGATGGCAAAAATAATCAGACGTATCTTTTAAACAAAATATAGTTTCTACTCTCTCTTGCGCAGTTACTCCTACTTTAGATTGGGTAATAATTATTTTCGTATACAGGTTAGATACAGTGAAAAAGACTTTATTAACAGATTAGATTTTATATCTGTACATAAAGGAAATTAACATTATACTCGAAACTCCCACATTGCATAATAGTTAATAATTGTTTACAAAGTGCATGTACATATTTACAAAGTACATGTATTCACCATATTAAATAGACTACTAAATATATTATAACGTATGTATGTAATACATAGGATGCAATGTGGGGGATTCTACTACGTATTTCGATATAAAACGATTATATAAATCTGTATTGTAATTCTTTTATGTGGAAATTAAAAAGAAGGGAACCAAACTATTTAATAAATGTGTTGTTATGGATATAAAGTTATCTTAAAAAAAATAATGATGTATCATGATCCTGTTGCCAAATACAAAATAAATATGTCTATAATTCTAAACGTAACAAAAGAAACGATTTTTAGTTTTTCCCATAGGAGGAACATGGTGTATCAAGATTTATCATTTACTTATACTGGAATAAGACGATGTTCTTTTGATTTTGTTATATTTGTTACCTATATTGTTCATAACAAAAATATACATCTGCACATCAGAATGCAAGTACTCGACGTACCAACATATTTAATCCATCTGTTTTGCTTTGAGGAAACAAATAGATTACTTTTATTATCAACGATAAAATCATTCAAACAGAAAACATCAAGGCACATCTATATTTGTCTTATCCCTTTGTTATTATACTTGTTTGGTTCCTATTGTCTTTGTGTGATACAATGACGAAACTGTCCTCAGTATACAGACAGATATGCTTGTTAATAGTTCGTAGATTTAAACACTTAACATCGACACACAGGCTTGTTGTTCGTATCATACGTTACATTTTCCATGCTTCTTAAGGGGATGCCATACTTGACTGCTTTATAAAACAAAGCAGCACATATTTATGTAAAATATATGTACAATAAATTCGAAAAGAATAATGTAATCATATTAGTAGCGTCATTTAGTTTAGCATCTTTTTAAAAAAAAAGTTATATTATTCAGATAACTGAATCTTATATCCAGCATGTTTTTAAGGGAATATTAATACTCAGGTAGTTTAATCAGTACTACAACATCTCTATGAATATCATATTTCTACCTAATGATAATACTACCTAATAGATAACGAAAGAATCTAAGAGTCGTTATTGATATCGCGTTGTATACTGCCTTCGCCCGTCGATATTAACCAAATCTCCATCCGACAGCGTTGAGTATATTGTACATCTAATAAGAAGTACAGTCTTCAATACATACAATATGAACCCTTTCACTATAACTGCACTATATGAAAAGCTCTACCGCTATACACACTTTGGTATACAGCTTTGCCGTTGCATGCGTATAATGAATAACAGCGTAATCAGCGTCTGTTATTTTACACTGTGTAATGTATCGTATCTACATTAGTATAAAGTAATAACTAATAAATTAGTGAAATTTGTACTTAGAATATTCAAACAAGTGAGCAAATTGTTGCTCAGCAATGACAAACTGTTTACTGGCTCTCAATGCAAATTATACAAGAGTCACTATTGCGGCATTTTGTTATAAAAAAATATTTAGCGAAAAACCACTATAGTGGTGCAGTGTAGCGAAAAGCTTAGTAAAACAAGAATAAAGAGGTTCCACCTTCAATTATCCTCTATAAACAAAATATAAAAATATCAAGCGTGTCTCTCCTTCTTTTTCGATTTTTTATTGGCAGTAATGCTTAAGAAAATATATCAATCTTAAAAAAAAAATATATATATATATATATGTGTGTGTGTGTGTGTATGTGTATAGAAGCAAATTTTACGACTTGTACATGAGAGCCTAATGTATAATGTATTGCCTGAGGCATCGGTAACATTAAAACATCTGCACTATTTTCTACTTTCATATTTTTCGATTTCTGTGACACATATACACGTGTGTCAGACATCGAGAAAATGCCGGCTTACGTACTTTACGTAGCCCGTAACTGTTCTTTCTTTCAGTTGCTTTTTTCAGTTTAGATTATACTGTGTGTATTACGCAATATAATATATTCATGGCATCGTAACATGTAAAATAATAATTCATTATGATAAAATGATCCGTCACATTATCGCCAAAATATACATAAAACCATTAGCAATAAATTTATATATGTTTTAATACTGAAATTATTAATATTTTACGATAAATATATTGTTGCTCATAATTCATATATTCGTCGTGTTCTAAAGTGAAATTTTCTTAGCACATCGTTCGTACGAATCTTTTGTAATCTCTTTCACCGGTTTAGATCTAAATCATTTTACAAAATTTACACGAACAAAATATCAATGAAATTATATTTAAAACATGTTGAACAACGTTTTTAGTAATAATGTAATATCCAAATTGCTCTGCTATACATATAATTAATAAGTCTAGAAAGCTAGAGAGATCTAAGAATTTCAGTCATGTAGAACACGATTACTTGAACATCACAATTGGATTCAATAAAAAGTTTAGTACAGTCTTTATACTGAGACAAAGATCCCTGATAATAGAACTTAAATTTATGCGGTACCTATAACGTTTGCAAGACTTTAAGTCAAGGGAGTTGCAGGCAAGGCATCCGATCTCCTCTAGATCGATGTGTAGCTCAGAGCCACCGATAAGAGACTCTTTTTCTAAACCGTTGTTCAGAAGTGTACCGGAAAACCAGATCTTGTCACCCGGATATATGTTTAGGCTGAAATTAGTAAAAGAATGATCTGCGACGAGAAATATTTCCGTGGTGCTTCCCCACAAGCCGTGGGGATTTTTCATTTTAACGGATATCTCAAATTCGTATTGATCCCAAGCCGCGAAATGACACTTGTTCTTTCTCGCCTGCATTATCATGAAGTGTTGTTTGCATTGTTTTCTACGATTCTCGTCGCCTAAATTACAGTTTTCCCGGTAAGGTTCCCCGTACATGCAACTGAGTATCGTGCGGATATTGTTAGGCAGCCGATTCAGCACGGTCGCGATATTGTTCTTTATCGAGTTCAATCTGATATTTGTCACGTAGCCTTCCCACGAAACGGGTATGCCTTCCAACTGTGCACATTGCACTTGCACCTGAGCCTTCGACAGCTCTTCCCATGCGGGCTGATGACAGTGATTCTGATATTGATCCCACGTTAAAGTAGATGCAATTTCATACGATGTTATGTCGGACTCCTGTTTGTATTCCATTATCATAGGCCACGATAAGAATGCCGCAGCGCCAACGCTGAGAATAATCTGTAAAACATTACTTATATAAATATCACAGCAGAATTGATAAAGGTACACATTTTGAGATGTTGAAGAAATATAGCAAAGCATTGCATACCTGAATAAGTGTAATAATCCAATTAAATCTTGGCGTCCTAGTTCTCCTCAGATACCACGAAGCCAGAAACGGCATTCCTCCGAGTACGGAGGTGACTGCTATTCTCATTGCCAAGTCATTTTCCGACAAGTACTTGGCAGCGGCTACGATCGGCAAGATAATTGAAGCAATACCAGCGATAGGAAGAAATAATACCATGCCAACTAGTGCCAGGGCGCCTCGGATCAGGCCATACCATGTTGCGCCCTGAGAACTGAAGATCGCTATTTGCCACCAGCTCAGAGTGACGCAGTGCGGTATCAGAGTATGATATGTGCCACGCCAACTGTCTCTCGCGGCCATTTTCGCGAAGACCGCCGGTATCAGGAGATAAAATACAGCACGAAAATTCAGACAAAACTCAATGCCGTTGCCAACGACGTAAGAAGCGAACGTTGGCACCCGGATGTCCAAGAATCGCCAGCCCTGAGCCACGACCATATCCATCTCATAAGGATACTTGGCAAGTACGTGCACGCCGAAGCTGAATAGAGCTAATAAATCGGGAAACCTCGACGAATTCTTCCACATGAAATTGAAGAGCGTGATAAGCGTGAGTGCGACAGCTATTATCGTAAATTCGGATTGCGGGGTCCACTGGTGAGCTATTAAAGGATAAATCATCAGGTTCAACAGCAGCGCGAGGAAAAAGTGGCCGTACGGTTTCAAATTGTTGCGGCAGAACTGGTATTCTGCCTCCTCGGGATTTAGATTGCCGCCCGAGTAACTCAGAAACAGGCCCGACCACACGCGGAAGTCGTTGAACTCGCGCTTTCGCTGGAGCATTTGGAAAGTGGCCACCACCATGATCACGAACGAGAGGTAGTAGAGAGCCATCGGTATAAAAAGTATCAGACTCTCCGTACCTAATAAGGAGTACAGTAGAAGCATCAGGAGAATGTGTAGATTCGACGTGAAGAGAAGCTTTCTGATAGACGTCCCTCTTCGACCCAACGTCTCGATCAACCAGCTGTAGAGACGCTTCAGTGACGCGAACGGATGTATGAACGGTCTCTGCAATAGCGGTATCGTGTCCAGCGTTAGCTCGGAGGGATCTACCGTGCATAGAACGTGTGACACTACTGGAAGCATTCCGCGCGCGTAACTCGTCGCCGCGGAGACCAGAGCAGCCTCCGTGATTTTCTCACTCTGATGATCCGTCCAACCTGTAATCGTGCACATCAAATACATGAAGCGAACATATGCAAGAGCATAACCAGGCTGTAGAAATCTCACGGAAAATCCTCTCACCGTTCGTTGGCTCTTCGTCTCTCGTATTTAAAAGATCTTCAGGAAGCCCGTTTCTAGGACAGTAATCGTTGTCGTCGTCGCCCAACTCCTTTTGCGAGGAGTTCGAGGAGATATTATTTGACTGGGAATAATCGGCGTTACTGGTCGACGGAGATGACAAATTCCTCATGCGCCTTTGCAACTGCTCCGTCGTAATGAAATCCTCGCCATTCGACAAACTAATGAATGGAAATTTCATATTTAATATGTGAAATGCATAGAATACATTTTTTTACTCTTCTAGGTTGTATTCCAAAATATCCTTCTTAAGGAACATTTTACTAAAAATCCATAGTACATGTAACATGAACTATAAATTTCCAGTAAAATCTTCTTTCAATAAAAACGTTTTGGAATACATTCCTAATATCCAATTATTGTCCTGTACCTTGTAAACATTTCCCTGGCTGCTCTTCTAGCCAGTTTCTCATCTTGAGTCATATCCAGACAATTTTTCACATCATAATAGTTGTGTTCGGTGATGCCACGACCTGTGGTTAAACATTTCCTAAGAATATCAGTGGCTTCTAAATTTCCTTGCTCTGAGGCTTTTGTCAGCCAATAAACACCCAGTTTAGCATTCTCTTCCTTCTCAATGTCATGCTCTAAAAATATGAAAATTATACACAGTAAGATGGAGTGCGCAATAATGTAGGAAAGATTTAATTGATAAAATGTATAAATGCATACCGCATCGTTCCTCCAACAATTGCTTAGCCAATACCACTTGAGACTCCGGACAGCCATCTTCTGCAAGTTGAGAACGTAATCGTCTGAGAAAACCCTTGGGCCCATCTATCAAAGAGAGTTAGTTATTATTTAAAATTAATCCCGCTTTCTTACCCCGCCACTTAGCATCAAATTAATCATTGTTTTTAATATAAACAATGCAAACTAGGGCTATCATAAAAATGCATATTTTACAACTTGATATTACCTTGATATCAAGGCAAAATTTCGAGTGAATTATCACCTATTATCGATTTATCAAAGCAAACACCGCGACGCAACGACGAAACTCTCTGGTTGTCAAAACAAGAATTTCAGTCAATTCTCACTCGACAGTCAGAAAGTTCATGTTCGTTTATTTTTTTTGTTTATTCGCAGAAGATTCATAGGCGGCATTTCGAATGCCACACTATCTTACGTCACGCGCGCTCTATCATAGATCACGTGTATCTCACGCATAAACAATTTCTTTCGCGCCCTTGTCCAAATATCTACTGTTTTTTTCTTTATATTCGAACTGCGCGAGATCACAGGTCGTAGGTGATTACCGTGTAGCGTCCACTGTTTTCTACCGGATCTATTAGACAGCGGCACTATACCGGCCATGACGAAACAATCGGCGCGAGGAACGGCACGATTGTAGCGGGAACTCGCTGCCACGAATTCTCGCACACTCGTCCTTTTGCGATCGAAATGTCAAAAGTCACAACACCTCCACGCCGCGCGCGTCGTGCACTTCGTTGAGAACTCCTGTTGAATAGCTAGTGCGTGGTTAACCCACGGCGATACACACGACGCATGCGCGTCCTTGCCCGTAGCGCCAAGCAGGTTTGTCGGTTAGGTTAGTACGTAAACAAACGCCGAACGCGCCGGTACTCGAAAATTAAATCGTGTTCGCGTGTCCTCCGATCCTTTCACCGTCATTGAGACCTGCGTATCTCATCGCGGCGCTTGGCAATTTTGCTTTTGGTAACTATATTTCCAAGTAATACTGCGGTTTCGCTCTCCCGTGAATGTAGAGTACGAGATGTCGAAAAATTGGGACGCGCCAACAAGGGACGTGGGAGGGAACAAGATAGTTCTATCGTTTGTATAGAATTTCATAAAGATACAACCTGAATGCGCGATAACCACTCTCAAAATCATAACCATGAGATGCGATCGTGTCTACGCCTTCTGTAGACACTAGACAAATTTTCGCTTCATTCTTATTCTAAATTCTCGCTTTGTCTTACAGGTGTCCGTTATAAGCGATCTAACTACTGCTAAAATGGCGGATCATGAAAAATCAACGGCTGTTATTGCATCAAGGTATGTGCTTTCGGAAAGTTTTAATGGTCGGTATGAGTAACGAAAACTTTTGGTTCGCTGAATAAATTACGGTTCTTGCGTAAATACTTGCGTACTTACCTCTTCTCTACACGGAGAGAACATTATAGTTTCTTTTCATAAAAATTCTTTTCAATTTTACTATATTTTCAGTGCAGAAGTAGATAAAGTCAGTAAAATCCATCGTGCTAAGGAATATAGTAAATTTTCAGTATAAAATTCTGTCCGTATATAAGGAGAAAACGTAAAAATGTTTTATGTGGTAGTATATCGTAGGCAAGACCGGTTATATGAATGGAATAAAAAATAATTAATATAATTTGAAATGTTTGTTTTTGAGATATGTGTAAAAGTGCAGAAAAGGAAGCACAACGTATAACACAACGCAATTCCGTATAATATTATATATATGTTTATCTTTATTTTATTTTAGTATAAATTCGTATTTAACACACTGCGACTATCGCAATATACAATCACATCAAAGGTTATGTAAGTGTTAGGGCCGGTTTTTCCAACCTCTTGCTAAGCTAACTAACAGTTAACTCATACGTCTGTCTTTGTTTCTCCTTTAAATTAGATAGAAACAGACATAAAATTTAACTGTTAGTTAGCTTAGCAAGAGGTTGGATAAACCGACCCTTAATCGTTGTAATGTAGGCGATTCTATAAAACATAACGTTCACGTTTTTTTTTATATTTGCAACTTATCCACGTAAACACGTTCTGGTTAATATTTTAGCTCCAAAACAGCCGATAAAATAAGCGATGTTTAACAACGAGCTACATTGTATTGCTTCGAAAACATGATGCAAATATATGTTTACCATTACCGATAATAAGTGTTTTGCATTGTTTCAGAAACTGGTAGCAGAAACACTTCCTTCTTAGAAGTCAGAAATACATTCTACAAGTTACATACTACAAAACTTATCATAAACGTAAGTCTCGAGACATGCTCACACATGTGAAGACTAAGAAGATTTAAATCAAAAGGACATGCATGTCACGCGATTGATCCATCTTTGCTAATCGATGTAAAGATTATTAAGAAATTCTTAGCAAATTCTCTATCATATAGAACAAGTATTTATGTCTCGGAAAGAGAAAGAGAGGAAGAACTTCTAAGCGCTTGTTTGTATAAGCTATTCATTTCTGAAATGAGCCGAACATGCTCCTAAAGTTTGGCTACCTGTTTCTGCAACAACCTGTAAAATATCTACATCAACTTGCAAATTCAGAGCCGGTTTCGATGAGTTTGCATATCTCGTAGCATCGGCGAAGCCACCCGCGAACTACATTCAGTTAGCAAAACCACGTCTTCGCGGGTTCCTCGTGTAGTCAGAAATCGGCTCGTAGACCAGCACTGCGAATGCAAAACAGACGCGCAATTAAATGCGTCGGCAGTATTCTCGCGATTAGGAGGTACTCACAAATTACTTGGTCCAATATAGGGCGGTGGGTTCGGGCGAATGTACGGGTTACAACGTTCGCCGGACGCCCTGGAAAGCAGAATTGGATCACTTATACCGATAGCTGCGCGTAAGGAGAGAAAAAGACGCCAATTTTTGCGGCGACTGTCTCTTGTAAACATTTCTCCCGAATTTTCGCGAGTTCTCGCAATCGATGCTAAACTATTCGTGACATTGCGCTTTGCACCGATGACGTGGACGCTACATTTCACCACGGTTCATGCAATTTTCATGCTCGTCAAGAGATCCGTATTTCATGGCGCTTCCGAGACTTCATGCGAACATCTTTCCTCGGGACTTCCGCGTAACAGACTCGCGGCTCGATCGTATCGGAATGTATATTTGACTGTAAATAATTACAGTTCTATACACCGTTGTATTACTATCACGTTTGTATATACGTTTGATTAATGACATCGCCATGAGTTCCGCGCAACGTTCTCGCTTCTGCGAAATGATGTCCTGTTACGCTAGAAGCTTATAATGCACACTCCACACTTCACGGACAGATTCTATCGCGCAGTAGCCATGTGATTTTTTTACGTCATATCTAAAACAGAATCTCTTCCGGGGAGAGGTTCGCGCGAGGAGAGGAGAAAAAAAAATTTGAATACATTTTATCCGTCGCGAATTTAACGGGAGATCGAAACCGGTATGACTTTTTGGATGAGTTCCAATCCGTCGCGCCTCTAGGCACATGGAAATGACCTTTATGTTTCACCCGGGCAGAAAAAGCGCGCCGAGAAAAACTGGTCTGCGCGAGATCGCGTCTTTTAAATCCTCGTTAATGAATCCTTTTTCGCGGATCTCTACCTTGGGCTTCGCGACAAAGAGTCGCTCGGGCTCGGTGGCTGAGCCGACAGGGATTTCAGAGTGCCTCTCTCTGACATGGCGTACTGCACCATCTGTATGCCGTTGTTTCCGACTCCTTCGACTGGCGTAGGTTCCCGCTTTTCACTGTCAAGATAGAGACATCGTTTCGTTAAAATTTGGATAACTCAATTAGGCGATCCGCGTCAATTCTCCCCGCTATTAAAGTAAACGTCTCAGTGGTCGAACATACATGTCCCAATGATTGACATATTGGTTTTGTATTTTTCTTTGTTGAAATGCTTTTCAATATACAAAACAATATGATAAATGAAAAGAAATATTTAGTTACTTCGTGATTTGTTTCATTTATTGATAAGCATCTTAACAAACACAAGTATATTATAGTAATTCAATTATCGGTACACGTTCAATCACTAGGATGTTTATCTTAGAAGACCGCGCGCTTATATAATGCAACAAAAGCAGAGTTTACGCGCGTGTAAATAAAATTAACAAATTTTGACTTACTATATGAAAATATGTAATACTGAGTTGAATAATACATTATATACATCGTATCCTCATATCGTGTTATTAATTTTTGTACACTGAAAGAAGAGAGATCCAAAAAATAAAATGTATTTTGAGTATATAACAACATTGAATTATATAATAACGTATTTATTTATATTGATATATAAAACATTTTTTAAATAAAAAATATAGATTTTTTTTTAAAGAAATTATTAATTCTATTTATCTCTTAGATATTTTTTCTCTTAGTGCACTGATCTTAAGAAATGTATTTTTTTGTGTTTCATGAAATCAAAATGTTACGTAACAAGCATGCAGGCACGATAAATTAGTAAAACATGATATTCAGGCAAACTAAAACAAACATCCGACCGAATGTTAGACAGATTCAGCTGGCTTCTATCAATTTGCGGTAATATTATGATTCACAATGTGAACTTGCGATTAATGGTGTAACTCAGCACTTGTTTTCATTTTCGTGACAATTAGTGTCCACTGAAATCTCGAATAGATATACCTCGGTCAAAGCGAACGTACCTGACAGATTGTTCTCTCATAAGGAAAATATTAAAGAGTTCATCAAAATATTCATCTGACTCCGGGTCCGTCCTAGGAATAAAATCAGATATAAATAACGAACTGAAACACAAAAAATCAGATATAAATAACGAACTGAAACACAAAAAAGAAATATAAAAACAACAGAATTCCTACGCGTCTCGTCGAACGAATTAGCACTTTGCGATCTAATGTTATTAAGTCCACGCGATCGCGTTTAATATTGACGTCATTCGTCAATTACATCGACATCCATCCGTGTCAATCTGTACATCAAAAATTGTGAAAAGTAACTCCCGTAATTGGATGATGGTGCGTTGCATCTCGCTCCGATTGGCCGACATTTGAATTACCATTTACGTCAGAGCTCATTTACGACCAAGCACGAGCGTGTCGGAGCTACAAAAAGGCGAGATGTGTGAAGAGTAAAAAGAAAAACGAAAGAAAAATGAAGATATTTATGAAACTCCATCGCGAACGAAGTATAAATGAACGGCAGCCGACGTTCATTTGTTATTAAGATAACGTTCAATTGATGATCCGTATCGCCATGCAAACGTCCAACAGGCTGTCGCAAGCATCCCAAACTCTTTTTACGATCGAGACGCTCGGGCGGATATCTTTTATCTGATAACACGAGATCCCCTCCTCGACGAGCGATGCACCGACGAATCCTTGGCCGATGCTCATATCGACGCGCGATTGTTAGCGCGACGTAATGAAGTTTGGTGCGTAACGGCTCGCGGGATCTCGAACAGCGAACGCGCAAAGAGAATCGTCGCCGTTATATATGTTATTCGGTCTAGTCGTTCTGCGAACGCGCGCTCGCAGATCCCTCGCGAGATAAACGAACGAGCAGAAGAAGAAAGTGAGCAAAATCGCTGAATGAAATGAGCACGCCGGCAAAACCCGTTCGTCACGATTACGGGGAGTGCCGAATTCTTGCGCTGTGACGAGCTTTTACGATAACCCGTCGCGATTAATGGCTCCTCTTCGTCCGTTCACTCCCCTTTCATTTGTTCTTTTGCATGGTTCCTTCGTAATCGCCAGAATTCTTTTTTAATGAGTCATATCGGCTATGACGCGTGAGTCCTGTTGTTCCTGTTTGCTCGCCGTTATCAGCTGCGATTACCTTGCGATCGCGCGTACATCAGCGCGCTTTGTCGACAGGTCCTTAGCGAGCGATACAAGAAAGAAAAAAAAAAGAAAGAGAAGAAAAGGTGCAATGTCGCGGAAATAAATAACGAGCACTGCACTCGCGTCGCAGCTTTTCGCCGCGCGTCCCGACAAATTCGATCGTAGCTTCAATGAATGCGATTCCCAATGCCGTACAGTTACGCGAAATGAACGCTGCGTCAGTGCTGCGTCAATCGTCACGTGTGACACGACGTAATTGACTTATTATCGCGATGCGCCAATGAAAATTGTTGCGCCCCACGATACTTGAAGACACACGCATGTACACGTGTGCGTATGTATGTATATATGTATGTATTTGTGCGTGTGCGTGCGTGCGTGTGTGCGTGCATACGTGTATACTTTGGACAGGGTCGCCTCTTTGCCGCGCGATTATCGTACGCCGCGAAAATAGCGACCCGATTTATAAAGTCATTAGCGAGGTTCTGCTGCATTTCGCTGAGCCGCACGTAGGCCTCCTCGAGGAAATCGATTTCCGTCGCGATTTCCGCTGCTAAAAAAGCATGGACCTGTACCGGCTAATAATTATCCAGCTCTCTATCTCGTCGATATAAACGCTACAATTCGATCCGCAGTCTCTTCTGTCCTCACAGCGACTTATAAAACAATTCGTTGCGTCCCGAATAACACGCGATTGTCGCGTCAATGCGCGACAATGGATGCATTCCGCGAACAGCGACCTGTGTTTATTTTGCCAACAGTTGTACCTAGCGCATCGATCGCGGGCTATTAATAATCCGCTGCCTCGGGAGCTTTATCTGTCTTCATCTACCTTTGGTGAAAAATATTGATCTCAGGATTAGATTCCGCGTATCGAGCGATTTCGAGTGTCCCGTCGTCGTAAAAATATAGGGCAGGTTTCGTTAGATATTTACGATATTCTCTGCCTAATTGCAACAGACATGATCAAAAATAGAGTATTACGCCTTCCAAATTCGTTGAAATAAAATTTCACTCAAAAAGTAGAGCAATCACCGTGTTACTCGAATTCGAATGATTTTCAACTCATCTCAAGTAAATTTTTTACTCATCGAGTGAATACTTTTCAATTGAGCAATTGAAGAATGGATCTGATGTACACTTTGTTTCGAGACACAGTTTTCTCATGCAATTTGGAACGCATTCAATAATCTAATAAAAGAATTTCCTGAGGATTAATGAAGAACAAGTTCTCTCATCGGACTATCGGTTGCTTTCTAAAAACGTATCGAAAAAAGAATGCTCCAACTGTTTTGAAACAAAAAAATGTACTCCACCGTCACAGACACATATTCACTCTAATTGAATCCATTCTCTTGCGATTTCGAGTGGTAGTATTATCACTGTTGCCTTGAGTGAAAATACTGCCGTTTTTGCTCGTTTTGAGTGAGATCCCACTCTAAGAAATTTAGAGAGCACGATAAAAGCATGTCGGAATGAATTAATAAAGAGGCACTCACGGAAAATCGTTAGACGATTAGATACGTTCAACGGGGGATTAAATCGATCACTGAGAATTCGTGTCATTGCGACGGATTCGAGAGGCATTGATTCAGTGCCTCGGTAATTTGACGACATAATTCCAGGGCGATTGAACGACACATTCATCAAGGAAATCCAACGAAAAAGCCCGGAGGTCCTCCAATCAAGTGCTTTCTCATAAGCGTAACAGTAAAACTCGCCGATTTCATGGCGGCACTTATGTGACAACTTTGTAAAGACGCTTTTGTGTGGCTGTTGTATAAGCATCATTTCCGGGCGCTCACTTTGCACTCTTCACAGCGGTGCAGTGAAGATAGTCCTCCTGGGGGTGAAGCTTTTGTGACCAGTAATTGAAGCGTTCAGCGTGAGACGGCGTTATGTCATTTCGCGAACTCGTAGCTATTATTAGCGAACAGTTTTCTGTACGTCCTATTGAATGCAAGTAATCCGACAGTGTCGCAGATTAAATTTGATAATAAGCTTGTCCAGACACAAAATTGATATCTGTTGGATCCGGAAACTTTTCAGTCAATATACTCTCATTCTTAATTCTCTTTTACACACACACACACACACACATAGCTTCAAGAGGATTTGTAAAAGCAAAAGGAAAATATTTTAATCACAATATTCTCAAAGTTAGAAAAATTTCATCTTTTATCTGTAGTATAAGTCTTGTTTATCGCGTGTAAGAGGATATTCTTCGAGTAAACATATTTCTCTTAATTCGCAAAAAAAATTAATAACATCTAATAGATTTCCAATTAATAATTCAGAATATAACATCTCGCAACTACAATTCTTTTCTTAGGATATTAGAATATTTTCCTTTTGCGCTGTTAGGAGAAATATTCTTGCGTCAGACCAAATAATGAGAGCAAACAAATCGCGACGTAACATTTCCGCAAAAATATTAGAATAGCTGCAGAAATGAGGCGCCCGCGCTCATCCGTATTACCGGTCGGAATATGGGCTGATCAAACATCGGCGCACAAACTTATGCAAAACGACGCAGTTTGCGCGAGTTTGCGAGTCGCGTTACAATGGTGGAGCGGAAGAAGTGTACGCGCACGCGATCGTGATAAATTTAGGTGCACGGCTAACGAAACGTCGATCTCCTTTCGCCAGGCGTAGACGCGCGACCAGACACCTGAGAATACGAAACCGTGCCGTTGTTTACATCAGTTGAAATTAGCACGCGCGCGCGCGCGACGCGTGCACGCGCTCGCGGGCGTCGATCGGCGCCGGAAATCGCGGTGTCGATGGCAGGCACCTCGATCTATTTCCGCGTGAACAGCGAGAACCGCGAGCGCCGATAAGCGAATCCATTGCGTCACATCGAGACCGATCGTTCGCGTCACGCATCTGACCGTTGATCGTAAAGCACCGATCACTCGCGGTCACTTACCCCGTTCCCCGTGCATCGCACGCCCGTACGCATGCCACGCGCCGGTAGATACACGCGCGCGTGTGGTGTGTGTTTGTATATGCATGCATGTGTGCGCACACAACGCGAGAGAAATCGTGTGTGTGTGTGTGTGTGTGTATGTATGTAACGGAATGGTTTCAACGCGACCACGTATGTAACGTAAATATGACGAGCGAACTTCTGACGAAGAGGAAGAGAGAAAGAGACAGAGGGAGAGAAAAAGAGATAGAGAAAGATCAGGTGACACGATTCCGCACTGTCATCGTCGTAGCTAGGTCTTTAAACAAAATGGTATCGATACTTTCTCGTAAGTGAAATAACTTTCGTCGACGCGATTTCGATATCGAGTTGTCTCGATGGATACCTTTTTTGTTCGCTGTCGTTCATCCTCGAGATTTTACTTCTTCTTCCTGTATTATTATTCTTTATATCCATATTATCTTTTCTGCCTTTTTGTCGTGTTGTGTTCACTTTGTGGCTTCTTTTTTATCGACCATCTTACGTGCACTTCCCTCCTCCCCTAACGGTTTCCTTCCTTTCTCTCTTTTCCTCTTTCTGCACTCTCCACGAGGGCTTCCCTCCCGAGTCGTTAACGATGTGCTACCGATAACCAGCTGATTAAGCAAACTGCCGGCGAGCACTAACAAGACGGTCACTACGCTCTCGAAAATATTTGAATTGAAATCGGCTTGGGATAAGACAGACGGTTGCTTCGATACCGCACAGAAAATTTCTTGAGATCTAATTGGGATCTAGCCCGATTTCTCAAAATAATAATGAATTCTGATTAGAAGCGTAATGTTTCAAACATGCGATTCTTGGAATGAAGTTTTCCTAGTACTTTTTTTATTTTTATAATCTTCATTTTACGTCAGAATTGAAAAAAAAGTGTTGATTTTCCAGAATTGAAGAAAAGCTGATTTCCTTATTCATTAAAATGTGCTCAAAGCGTTTCAGAAATATTTTATCTTTGATATTTTGTCCCATTGGAAACAATAGTTCGTATAACAACGGGAAATTCTAATATTTAATGCAGTAAAAATATACCGACAAAGAATGGGATTTCCAATTGATATCGTAGTGGGATAACAAATGTGGATATTTTAGATGGGATCTATACTGGGAAAATCTCGAGAAATTTCTATGCGGATAGTTTCTAGTAATGTCTGTAGTTTAGAACGATTATAAGGTGACATCTCTAAAAAAAAAACTCACGTATCTTCCAAGACTTCGTATTAAAGGTCAATAATATATTCATACGCGACGTTAAATATCGCTGCTTTGTGGCGCGTTATCAGTTTAATCATTATTAATGATCCAGACCGAAACAGGTTTGACGTTTGACGGACTAAAATATTTTCTTCTTTTTACGTGACATACGCAGTAGCGCTCACAATAAGGTCATAATTGGATCGGTTACATCACATGCACGGCAATTTCGATTCGATGCTCGTACACGCCCGCAACCGGTTATTTCTGTCGCGTCTATAAACCGCGCAGACTCGATGACTGTAATTTTGACCTTTTTGTCGTTTTTATAAATACAGTGTTCTCTTCTTTGTTTGCTCATTAGTCGAGAATTGACCGATCCACTTATTGGTGCATGTTAATTCTAAGGAAAATTACAATAATTTAAACGACAAAATAAATACAGAGCTTTCAATTTTGTGATAGAAACTTTTTTTTAACTTTCCGACAAAGTAAAGTGCGATCGATAGCAAGAGCGAAAGAGAGAGAGAGAGAGAGAGATATCAATGTAAAAATAGAAATTCATTGTTCGTTGGTGCCTTTGAAGTATGCCTCATTTAATGTTCGTCAATTTCAACTGTCCTCGCAATTAGAGAAAAACTTCAGAACGTTTTAAAAGTTTCTACGTATTCGGACAAACAACGGCTGGGACTTCATACTGAGCATTATAATTACCGGCGTAATTACGTACGTCAGAAACTGAATAACATTTCTGTTGCATCACATCAGTGTTGACAGTTTACGCCTGCCGTAGATTGTCCTTCCGTTTTTCTGTCGTAAATATTACTCGCGACTTCGTCATATACATTCACGAAACACTCAGATAAAGCATTTTATCTGATTTTGCATTTCAGTTTGATTCACATTACGTGTGGCACGAATGACGAATACTAACAAGAATTGAAAGAACGACAATGTCGTCAGTCTTACGCAAACGTCATGAAGGCAAACAAAAGATACAGACGTCACTGATATGACGTCGCGCCCATATGGCCACAGTTAAAGCATTGAATTTTACTAAGCCAGTCGAACGGTAGAATTCCAGCACGAATAGAACGCTTCACACTGTTAATTTTTTTTCTTTCAATATAGTCAAAATATGTAAAAAAAAGTCATTATAGACGGAAAAAAGGACTCGCAACCGATTTTGTTGTTTGACTAGACGAGAACTCCATTATAGAAATAGAAAGATTCTTGTAGGAGATTTCTATTCAATCAATTGGTCTCATTATCTCAACCAAATTTTAACGCAGCTGAATGCTCAGACGCACAATAGAGATCTCGTTTTCGTCTGATACTCATTCTGTTACACAAACTCAGATTTTCCCCGTGTAAAGTCAAGCGCTACAGTTCAGCGCTAAACAAATCTAACTAAATTTAATACAAAAATAGAAGAGAAAACATATAGACGTGTGCGTGTTTTGCGTTGCATGTTTGGAGTTAATTCGCAAAGTTAATTCACGACCGCGGTGCAAATGAATTCCTCGAAAAATAATCCTTTCGGAATGCGGACGGCCATCGCAACTCGTTGTAGGGTAACCGACTGGTTTTCCTTCGATGGTGTTAAGTCGGGCGCTTACATTTTCTCGTGATGCAGGCAGAGAGCGGTGCTGAGTAAGGCGCCCAGCGCGAGCAACAGAATCACCGGCACGAAAATCGTGGTGGCGATCTCCTTGAAGTAGCTTCTCGTGGGTATGCTGGCTTTCGTCAATCTGGCCCAGCGCCACTCCGTGTGCTCGGAGATGCCCGACGAGGACAACCCGACGACGTTCACGCTGGGACCTCGCCGGGCGCTTTCGTGCTGCACGCTTAGCTGGTCTTCCTCCAGCTACGAGGAACTTACATTTTTATCACTAATGAAGAAAACGACGTGCAAAATTAAATGCCACGGAAGTAATATTCGAATTGAGGCAATTAAAGCGGCCTTTGCTGATGCTTTTTGCTTACAACAAAATTACTAATAATAATAATAATAATAATAACAACTTTGCACGAGCGGATATCTCATCGTGCAAAATCGAGTGACTCGGATAAGAATTAATCATTCGGGATGAGTTTGCGAAAGACTAACAACTGCGTAAGCGAAGAACTATTACAATGATTGAAAGTAAACAAGAAATACGTGGCGATGATATATCCATGGTAAAATTATATTGGGTATTGTCATTGTGTACAATGTCATCGTGGATGTCATTGTGAAGCCTGCAGACTTACGAAATCAAGAAGATAATTCAAGATAATTCAAATCAAGAAGATAATAGCTAGGCTAAGTTTGCGCGACGCGACATCGCGCACCGCGATTATGTAAATTTTTCAAGAAAACAAAATATGAATATATTTGTGCAGATACTATCTAAAGTAAGAAAGATTACGGCCAATCGAAGCCACATCGCGGTTCTCAAGTGCGATTGCCACTTAGAATTATTGGTTGTTTAAAAAGTCATTGCGTTTTTTCCAGTGATTTTTAAGACTATTTATTTTATACAAAGAATTAACATTAATCAATAATGTATTGCCTTTTTTGTTCGATGACCTTCTGCCATTTTTCGGTAAGCTTCATGATCCCATTCTTGAAAAACTTCTTATTTTTATTAGCGAAGAACTGAGCCAAATGTCTTTCGATAGCGTCATCTGAAGCAAACGTTTATTCACTCAAGGAGTTTCGTAAGAATCGAAATAAATGGTAGTTTGATGGTGCAAGATCTGGCGAATATGGTGGATGAGGCAACACATCCCAAACAAGCTCCAATTTTTCGCGAGTCATCAAATTTGTGTGTAGTCGAGTGTTGTTATGATGGAAAACCACTCCTTTGCAATTTAACAATTTTGACTGCTTTTCTGCTATTGGTTCGTTCAATTTGTCGAGCTGTTGACAGTACACGTCCGAATTGATCGTAACATTCCTTGGAAAGAGCTCGAAAAACACCACACCCTTCCAATCCCACCAGATTGAGATCACCTTCCTCTGATGGATGTCTGCTTTTGATGTGCTTTAGGCATCGCGCTTGCTCCACGATCGCTTTCGCTCCACATTGTTGTAGACGATCCATTTTTCATCGCCAGTAATCATGCATTTCAGAAATGGGTCAGATTGTTCACGTTTCAGAAGTTGATCGTAAATGTCTATGTGTTTTATGAGATGAACTTCTTTCAGTTCATGCGGGACCCAAACATCGAGTTTATTGACATAACCAAGTTGTTTCAAATGAAGGTGAACGCTTCCAATCGATATTTTTAATGCTTCAACGAGCTCATGAATGGTAGAACATTGATTAGCTTCAACTAATGTCTTTATTTTATCATCATTAACCTCCAATAGCCGACTTGAGCAAAGTGCATCTTTCACGCTATAGTCACCAGAACGGAAACGGGCAAACTAATATTGACACTGACGTTTTTTTTTAGGGCTTCATCACTATAAACTTTACGCAACTTTTCACAAGCCTGCATAGCGTTCTTTCCTTTTCTGAAGTAATAAAGTAAAACTTGGCGAAAATGCTCGTGTTGACTCTCCATTTTCAAAAGATAATATAGAAAGAATAATTGTTGATCAATTCGCACACTTTTTTTTTTATGGAAGCTGAAGTGTCAGCTGTCAAACGTGTATGGGCTCATGAATTTACGAAATGCGTTCAATACATTAAAAATACAACTAAAGCCATCTATCGGAAAAAAAACGCAATAACAATGTTTTGAACAACCCAATATATACGGAATTCAATAACGAGATTTTTCCGTGTATAATTCCATTTGGCAATCGTATCTGAAAACCGCGATATAGCGATTGGTTCTTCAAAAAAGCTAGTATGAATCGTAAAACTGATAGTCACGGTCGCATGAGTGAGTTTCTGCTGACGATGAGAACAGAAGATTCTCATGTGAATCTTCTCATGTGTACGGCGAACATTGCGAAAGGAGTTGTGCGCAGAACCGCGCGACGGTTTATTCGGTCGGCCGACCGACTTACCAATCTGAAAGAACACCAGTCCAATCTGAACTCGGCTTCTCGGAAAAGTATTTCCACGCTGGTTCTCTTGAAATCTCTGGGGCACGATGGCATTTTCCACAGCGGCTTCACTTCCTCCTGCAATTCGTTCAGCTCTTGCGAAAACGGCACTGTACTACCCAGCCGGACAACCACTCTGAAAGCAAAGAGCGATCTCTCGCTTTATCTCACTCCGTCTTTGTCTCTTTTTCTTTATCTGTCTCTCGAAGTGACAACGAGAAGTACGCCGAGAGAGTGCAATATCGGCGAAACAAAGCCAATAAGCACTGAATCAAGGACTGCGACCGTTCGCAAAAGAAACTTTGACTCGACTCCTCGAAGAAATCATACCACGCGATATTTCTCTGTTGTGAGCGCGCAGTCAGTAATAAAATTAGTAATAAGCACTCCTACCACGGAATGCACCGAACTCAGCAAACATTGACGCAGCAAAGCAGGAACCGCGCCGAAAGGGAAATGTGATCGTCGCAGGTCAAAGCCCTCGACAGGCTTTGACCACCTGCAAAGTCAGAATACAACATGTTCTTCCCGTGTGTTATAAATAAAGCGACAACCGACAGAAGAGTGTCGGCCAGTCGCCACTCAACCGCCGCCGGAGTATACACTGAAAGAAAAATTATCTTAAAATCAACAAATATTTCCTTGGTGGATGTCATTAACATATTTACTTAAATCTACATTCTCTTTACTTAAATCAAATATTGTTTACTTGATTTAAATAAACAATATTTGATTTAAGTAAAGAGAATGTAGATTTAAGTAAATATGTTAATGGCACCCACCAAGGAAATATTTGTTGATTTTAAGATAATTTTTCTCTCAGTGTACGACTGAGACACACTGTGTGAATGAAGTACTCACAAGTATCGCGCAAACAAGTTTCTTTGTTGCTACGATACCGTGCTAACTACCGTTGCTAACTACCGTGTTACTATCTCCCACGTACTTCTCACCGATCCAGGACACTACATGGTGGATTTCTCCGTGACACCATCCCGTGACACCTTTCGTGCACTCTCGGCACTTTGCTGTGCGTCACACAATGTGGAACCCACATTAAATAAGAGTTAACAAAAACACACGCATCAACGCAATAAACTCGATTGACATTTCTTTTTCTTGTATCTCGTCTTCGTGGCACGTGCATCGTGTGCACAGATCACTTGTTGTGCTCCCGAGAGCCACGATCTTCCTTGCATTGACGACGACGACTCCGAACATTGGACAACATTTCGCCGCGCATTGTACTTACGTCATTCCCGTCAAGGATTCCTTTAAGTAGCGCGCGTGGGTCTTTTGTCCGCGTACAAGCGCGCAATTAACAATAAAATGCAATAAACGATTGCCTGGCATCTCGTCGATCATTAATGCGTCTAATCATGTGTAAGATGACGTCATTGGGTTTAAAAAAGTGTCTCTTGTTAATTATCCTTTCTGTTGGTGACAAACACTTCCTTTCGGACATGATCTGCATCAATATCGCTGCTGCCACATCGAAGAATATTTCTCATCGTTCAGTTGGTCATATTTATCTCACCCAGGCAGCACAAATATCTAAACTACGCCTTTGAGATTTGTATTAATAGTAATAATCGTTACTTGAAACTAGCACGTGAAGAAACGTGAGATACTCAGATTTCAGTTTAGAGATAGATGTGAGTCTCTCAGTTAAATTGCAATTACAAATGTGATGTGGCATATATTCAAATAGAGAATACAAATAGAGAATTCAAATAGAGAATTCAAATTTAGCTCTAAATTCAAATCTGAGTATCTCAAGTGAGACACGTTTCGAGTAACGACTATTAATACGAGTTTGAGACATCTAAAAAACATCTGAAATAAGCAGAATATTTTTTACGCAGATAAAACAATTTTGTTAATCAATTTTCTTTGTTGCCTGAATTTTCCGTTGCCTGATAAGAATAGGGACTAGATAAAAAACTCGGTTGTAGGAGGAGAAAGATTCCTGTAGCAGGTTTCTGCTCAGTCAATTATTCTCAGTTATTGCAACCAAATTTTAATACATCTGAATGTTCCAATATGTGTTTTTAACTGCGGTAACAGAGATGTATCATCTCATCTTACCGAATTTTCATCAAGTCCTATCCAGTTTCATCTGAGATTTCTTTTCCATATAGACGCCTCTAAAACGTCCTTTAAATATTCATACTCTCTGACTTCAAAACCAGCTGATCATATCCCATTGAAATCGATTTTCCTCGACCAACCTGATAATTACCTTATCAGGCATTGGGAAACTTAATTATAATGCTGTCGTATGTATCCTGTTCGTATTTTTGCTCAACAAGAGTTTATATGATTTATACCATCATGAAACTGACCTTTCTTGCGCGAGACCGACAGAGTCGACAGATAACACGTTGCGCGCGTATAAATTCGATATCCCTCGCAAATACCTCCATCGATCAAGTAACAGTCCCCGAGGCTAAACATCACGATACGTACTGAGCAATACATGCGTTATATATTAATCCGGCATTCTCACCACGTGGGGTCAGCCGACGTGTGGGAAACGCGAGATCGATTTCAATTCTCTCGCCACACATTTACACAATCCTTTTTCCATCTCCGTCCAGAGTAAATGGTCTTAGCTTTTTGTCATATATCGGCAAAGTAAAAACGTGACGCACGATTTGAAGTGAAGATTGTTAAGGGCGAAGAAGGTGACGTCTCTTCAAGACGAAATTTCGCCTCTGGATTATACGCGAATATAACGACTCCTTTTTCGCGATACATTCGTGCATACTCAACTCCTGCATGTAATTTTGCGTTCTCGTGAGTCGACTTTAATTGATTAACCGTCGAAATGCGTGAAACTTGTTTACATAGGCGCGATGCATCCGATCGCGAATCCCGACGATCTCGTGATCGCCGTCCGCGGCTTTCACTGATACGCCGGCGATATGTGCTGATATGTATCTAAGGTCGAGAGCACGAGGTGGCTCCTAAGGCGCGGTCTTATCACAAGCCGTGGAACAAGCCCCCGCCAGTTAGTCAGTTAAGTGTTACGAGCGGCGGCGGCGATATCGCACTTACGTTGGGAATAATTGCCGCATTGATACACATACACGCACATACACACGGTGTCATCGTACCTCGCGATCGCGACGACGCAATAAACGTCCGAAAGTGACAGCCAAGTGCGGACAATCGGTCCATTCGATCAGCGTGTGATCGACTCGCGTCTCTCCCGCGAGCAATTAATCGCGTTTTACGTTTTCTTCTCTTCCTCGTCGTCGTCATCGTCGTAAGCTCCATCAGAGCTCAAACGTGCTCGTGCTTAATTATAGGTGACATACGCGCCCGACACGCCAGCTCGGTGCCGACGAAAAGCGCACAAGTGCGGTGACAGAGCATAAAAGGTGATTCACGTAATAACGCGAGAGAGAGAGAGAGAGAAACAGAAAGATACGCGCGTTGGGCGTCATAGAGCGAAGTAGCAAAGGTAACTCCGTTATCCAAATCTCGCCGAACGCGTGGCTGATATCACGCTAAAACAATAACGGTCGTAGAATGGCTGTTATCACCGCGTCGCGTCGCGTTTCCTCGGCGATGGTGTAGCCGCAGAGGCGGACGTGATTCAGACAGGAAAAGCGTCTCGCAGACTCGCGTTGTTAACAACGCGTTGTAAACTCGCGGCCGATGTCGAGTCGAAGCTGGGGACGAGAGGTTTCAACGGCAGAAACAGTTTTTATCCGGACGCTATTGAGCGGATCATCGTGGAAGAGGCATGGCATCATGAAAAGAGGATTCTCCGCGCAAGGGAGAGAACCGTTCGTTCGTGGATTCTTTCATCTCGCGAAAATTGTTACAAGCAGAATGCCGTCCGACCAGTCCCCTTACAAAAGTAAAAATATCCTCGGAAAAAAAACATGTCCGTGTAACTGACTGAGGGCCAGGCGAAAAGTTTACTGACGAGAAATAAGATCTCTGCTACTGTAGCCGAAAACATTTGTCTGAACTAAATTATGTATCAAAAGCTTTCTACCGGAATACAACCAAATTAAGAGAGATACGCGAAAAGGAACAACTCTGTCAGGGTATCTGAATTTTCTGTTACTTGAGGACCAGGTGAAAAATTCGATTGTAGGAATAGAAAGATTCTTGCTTGGTCTGACTTCCGAGTTGAAGCCGCGTTTTTCGATTTATTTTCGAACACATTCCAGTTCGCTTCTTCAGAAGATTTCTTCAGTAAAAGAGTCACCTAAGACTCTGAAAGTTTCAGATCATTTACTAGATTCCGGAAGCTATACCTAGACATTTTAGATCATTTCTTTGCTGAAGAAGTTCCTACAATATGCGCGGTAAATCAAACCTTCCATATCAAACTCGACACACACCCTGAATTTCAATGATTAAATTTTTATTAATTTCCCCCTTTTAAAATCCCAATTATGCATTTACTTTGTTTATTAAACCATATCCACTTTTAGACAATATTGCTCTCCTATAATTTAATTATTTACATATTACTATTATTAATAATACTTTAATTATTTACTTTATTACTAACATTCAGCGCAAAACTCTTAGTGGCCTTAATTCGTCTTCCCTTAATTCGTCTGAACATTGAGCTGAGTAGAAATCTCCTACGGAAATCTTCCTGTTTTTATAACCGAGTTTTCATCCAGTCCTCGGAAGTAAACAGAACATTCAGTTACGCTAACGGAGTTATGTCATTCGTTGCAATTTTCTTCTCGCGACCGACGTCGAGTCGAAGCCGGGGACTAAATGAGAGAATAACTAATTTCAATGACTCGGTTGTAAAAAGAGGTTGACTCACACGCCTTTTCTATATAGGCCGCTTTAATTTTAATACGTGCGATGAATCAGGTGTAATGAATCAGAAATGTCATTGTGACCAGCATAATTTCGACTCATTAGACTCTGAAAATATATCTAATATTATTAGTAATCGGTGTTTTTCTGCGAGGAAGACCGCCTGCCTATGATCATCGACTCGCCCGCTTCGGTTGGAAACGCGTCCCACGCCGAACGTGAGTTTCAAGCTGCTTCATTATGAATCGATATCTCGTTGTGAAACTGTTTCTCTTATTTCGCCGCCGGGCCGAACATAAATCTACGCCGGCATACGTTACGCTTTCGTATTTCGTTTTTTCTTTTTCTCTCCTTCGTGGCTCTATCGCGCGTCTCGCCGTCTGCCGCGGCAATGTAGCGACGGTTTCGTAACGATTGAGCCACTTTGACACGCGGTATCTCACGTAACGTTGTTTTGTTGTCACGTTGTATTGTTGCGCCGGAAGGAAGTCTGCCGCCCACGTTGCTCCGCGCTTCAATAACACCAACAGCGCATGCCATAACTCGCTCGCTTTATTTATGCGCTGTACGCAAAGATATATTATTTTTCTCGATTACTCGCTCGCGCAAACAAGTATAGAGATCGATCAGATTTACATCCCGATAAGATTCGAATCGTAATTGATATTGAATCTCTAATATCGCCGGTGCGGAAAATAAAGCACGTCACGACGAACATTGGAGTGCATCTTTGTTTGCCGAGTGTGTTTTTTGCCTCGTGTATCAGTGTGGTCAGTTGAAAAAATTGAAATTAATCGACTCCCAAGTCTCTATGCTATAAATTACTACTCGCCGTGACTATCGGTGCAACGTAATCTTCATTTCGAGTGTTTCTCGTCGCCGCGGGAAAAAACGGCAATCATGGTTGTGTGTGTCGACATTACGCTGTGCAATCATCTATTGTAGAGAATCTACATCGTTTCAGTACGCATTTTTCCCGGGAGAGCTGCGACTGACTGAAATGAGAAGCGAATCGCGCGCGTTATCGAGGCCTACGTTGATAAATCTCGCTTGTTGGAATTGAGATTTGAGAGGAATTATAGTGCGCCAAGTGCGATTGTGAATTTTTGCTAGGAAAGTCCATTGCGTCTACTTCCGCGGAAACGAAGGTTTATACCCGCAATGCGCAAATGCCAAGCAACCGTTATTCAGCACGTGGAATTCATCGTCAATGATAATAGACGTGTGTGATAAATCGATGATAACTTCCGTGTGTATCCATAGTTTAGAGATACGTTTAAAAAAACGGTTTGATAATAACAGTTATTAAATGCTTTGATGAAATAGTTCCAACTGAACGCACAAGAGCAATTGATCTCAATGACTGAGAGAATAACTATTGCAAAGCTTTTTTCAATGTGTCAGATGGACCACAACACGTCACGGCGACGATATGCGGCGGCAACCGCGAAATGAATCGTCCACGCGCAGTCATAGAGTTGTGTTAACATCGCCAGCGCATCCGCGTTCACGAGGAAAACTCGTTACGCGCGATTCGTCGATTCGCACGTTTCTCCTCGCGAAACCACGTTCGACCGATGTGTCGCTAATAACTACGTAAGCATAAGGAATGCGTTCGAACATTACCGAGGAATTTGACCGCCGAGGGAGCGAGGCGCACCGGGCGCCATCCACGTGCTCGATCGCATGCATTGTAACCGCGATGATGTAACCGATGCAAATCGTTAATTGCGCCTCGAGACACAGCTCGTGCAAAAATCCTCGCGCTCACGTCCAAACGTCGCGGCGCATCGGGTGACTTGTGCAAGTCTCCGGGAATTTTTTATTAATATGCATTATACACATGAAGTACGCGACGACACGCACGAGCTGATGCGTCCAAGTCTGGCGCCGACGACGTCAGGGCGCGCGCCTCGTTATCTTTTGCGTGGACGTGCACGGTAATAAGCGTATTTGGTTAAATCGCCGTCGATATCGGGAATACGTTGCGCGCGCACGTCACTTTATGTAAGCGCCATCGGGACATTACGTGGACGAAAAATTCGGGACAATGTCGTTTATGCAACAGCGGTGCGACAGCCGCGACTGTGACGTCGATCGCTATCGCTTAATGACTCTCATTCCTCAAAGTTGCCGGCCGCAATTAGATTAAACATATCCAGCGTCCGATAAGAGTGTACCTTCTACGTTCTTCCCGTCGGGCGTCGATAGCGCGCGTGGTAGGAAGTAGGGATGTGTTTGTTAAAAAAATTAAAAAAGCGGAATAGAGAAAAAAACGTTGCGGATGCACGTCATGACGTTGTTTGTAGTTGATCGTGCGATTAGTACGTCAGCGATATCAGAGTGACTGTTTAATCTCCGCTATAACGCCGGCATCGTCCTCATTCTTGGCATGTTCACTATGTTCGTGTGAGGTCTCATCCGCGTGCTGGTTTGCGAAAGTCACAGTTCGAATTAACGCGCATTAGACTAACAGCCGCCGTCAGCAAAATCGGAAAAACCAGGAAAGATGCATCGTCTTCGACGCGATTAAAGAGATGAAAGGAAATTTATAGATATGTGACGTTACATAAATTCCAAATTGTTGCAATTATTTTCCAACGTACACTTCGACGGCAGACGATTCGAGAGGAAAGAACACGCGCTACTCACCCTTCGCCTTCGCTGGGCTTCAAGGGTAAACGAGCGCCGAGCTCGATCGCTGACGCCAAGAAGGTCATGTACAGATCCGCGGCGCCTTTCCACAGCTTTTTCCTGCGGTCGAGAAAATAGACACGCATTTATCACGGCCATGTAACTATCGAATTGCCGCACCGCGTGCGATATCGGCTGACTTCCCCGGCTCGCAAGACTCGAGGAAGGAAACGGCGAGTGACGCCCATGTGTATTATCGTTATCGAGGACGGATAAGGTTGCAGAATTAAAGGCGGCGCGCCTCATGTTTTCGCTACGGACCTGAATATGTCGAGGAGCTTCTCGGTGCGATTGTGATCGAACATGTCCTCCACGTTGAGGTTGTCGATCTTCAGGTGCACCTCGTACTTTGTCAGGTTTTCCCTCTCGAGCACGTTCATATCGAGCATCTTGTACCGGGTTTCGTAGGTGTGCTTGTTCAGGCCCACGATCTCCAGCTGAAATTATCGTGGCGGTTACGCAATGCGCTCGACATTCAGTGTAACTGCGCGTAATAAACGACGACAACCACTCTCCCGGTGTCCGGTTGATAACGTATTAATTATGCATCACCTGAATGTACTTTTGATCTTTGGGCGCGACGCCATATAAGAAACCGTGATGATCCTTCTTGCTGTACGTGTAGTGTATCCATGACGGTAGATCGGGAGCGTTCAGCAAGGAGGGCTGATATGAGAATTGATCGGTGTGTCCTGAAATAAAGACAGCGCGGTTTCAGTATTTCGTTATTTGACGTTCGTGAAAGTAACCGATGAAATGCGCAACTAAAAAGAAAAAAATGCTTCATATAGAAACTAATGATGATAAGAAAAATTCAGTACTCGATTTAAGAAAATAAAATCCCGAATATTTGCCAGAGAATAAACAGTACATTCAGCATAGATTTGAGAAAATAAAATTCCAACGAAAATTTGCCAGAGAACAAATAGTACATTCAGCATAGATTTGAGAAAATAAAATTCCAACGAAGATTTGCCGGCAAGCAAACATTTGCAGAAGCAATCGAGATAAGTCAAAGCGGTTATTAATAAAAAAAAGTAACAGTGAGAAATTAAAGAACAACCCAATCAAATAGGAAAGTACATCTTATGAATAAGAAACTAGTCGTTACGTAAATGATGCACGTCATCTCGTGAACTGTGTTTGGAATGATTAATCGATCCATATTTAAAACTGAGAGACCTTTTCCCTCGTGGGAGATAAACTATATGGGTCTTCTATAATGCGGTAAATAAGCCGTGACACACAAAGACATAATTATATGACTCATTTTTTGCCCATCGATGACACTGATCGTGGGTGTTGAATTAGAAAGTATTGCGGTATGCCGATACGATGTTCGCTGTGTGGTAAGCGCAACGTTTAGCAAGACGATTCAGCAAGTAATTACTATTCGTGTCGTGTTACGAATGACGTACGAAGACGTAGTTTAATTTCGTATTGTAAAATGGGTTAACGGGTACCCACGTGGGATAATTATAGCTGACCGATGCTACTCGTCGTTTTAGGGAACGCTCGTTTCTCTCGCATTGATCTTTGAGAGAGGAAAGAAAGGAAGATGTCGTGTAAGAATTATCGACGATAACTCTGAGGAAAGAAATTCATTCTGTGAAATCGCCTCATAAGAGATGAAATTCATTCAACCGACGATGTGTCGCGTATTAAATGACGAATTCAACGTTCATTCTTTTCCTTCTCCTTTTCATCGTGTTCCTTCTTAAGATTCCTTGTACCTCGTCACAGGAATGTTGGATTTGTGACGTCAGAAACGAGGAATGACATGTTGACGAAAGTTACGTGCTATTTCTAAATACGGATAAATACAGACGAAAGAATACTTGAGATCATTTGAGTACACTTGTAAAATTTTCTGGAAACTATCCCTTTTCCGTGACGATCAGCATAATAAATGGTGAAACGAAGCATGCAGACAAAGATTCATTTCATCATTTCACGTATCTCATATCACTATTTATTATACGACTATTTATTCATCATCAAGGGGAAGGGATACTTTTCAGACAATTTTATAGATGTGCTCAAGCAATTTCAAATGTTCTTTCGACCATACTTATCTTTATTCAGAAACGGCACGCAACTTTCGTCAGCATGTCGTTCCTCGCTTTTGACGTCACAAATCCGACATGGTCGGCGAAGTACAAGGAGCCTTAAGATGTCGCGGATATCAAAGGTCGTTAATTACGATACTGGGCGTTTTTGACAGTTAAGACAAGTGTTGGGCATGCGAGTCGGAGACTAGCTGGTCTCTCTTACCATCTGCATTCCAGTCGAAAGTCTCCGGCCTGATGGGAATGACGAAGACCTCTGTCATTAGGATGCTCTCGGCGGCGACGAAGGCCGCCGACGCCGACAATAGCATTACGCTCGGGTGCATGATCGTACCGTGCTGAAAAGTGTCAACAAGCGACGCCGACAATGAACAGGTCGATTGACACCGAGACACGATCGCGCGGACAATGGAGGCTTGTGCAGCGTTTTCAAAGCATTGCAGATCGGAATCGCCTCGGAATCGATTAAACCCAATTCACCACAAGTACAGAGGGTAAATGCACCAGTGAATGACCACGAATTATGGCGTGATATCGCTTTTGCCGCGTCGTTTAAAATAACACACTTCGGGTTTGAAAGACATTCGGGAGGGATCAGTCGTGACAGATTAATCGCCTTCGAATTGTCGAAGATTTTGCTCTCTAAATTCGTTGGGATGAAATTTCACTTGATAAGTGAAGTGATCATCGAATCGCTCGAGTGATTTTTCGATGATATAAAGCGAATTCTCCGCCACGTGAATCGTCGAGCGGATGCTCTCACTCAAAATTGAATCTGATGTGTCTTTGCTCACAATTAAGAGCTATTGTACTGATGCACATTCGACACACTGTTTATATACGTTATCTTACTTTATGAAATATATAAAAATTATTTAAATGATGTTCTGTTACACTCTTTGGAATATAAACTTTTCCTTCGAAGTCTTTTATCATAGCCTGTACTATCACTTCGGCTCCTGTCACAACTGATTGCTGCGTATACACATTAGCTTTTAACTGTGACATCTTGAAGCGCTGCGATTTTATGCGATAAAAAGTGTGTAAACAGTTTTGCGATGGAGCATACTTCATCCTACCGTCGTAGGAACATGTCCATTCTAATCGATTGGAACATTCGTACTAGAGTCAGAATCCATTTTAAGTTTGAGTGAAACATTCGCTCCTGCGATTTCAAATGGCAACATTATCACTATCGCGTCGAATGCAAATACCGCCACTTTTCACTTGTTTTAAGTAAAATTTCACTCTAAGAAATTCTGAGAGTACCAAATTGCATTCTAAATTGAGATCGGAAAATTCGACACGAAATCAGAGATATCTGTTTTACACGCATCAAATGAGATTCTTATAGGATGCAGTTTTGTGCAAAACGGCTTTTGCGACATGCGTTGCGCGAAAAACGCGATTTCCGCTTATGATGAGACGGCACGTGATCAACGGCGTCTCACGTTAATTTTCAGCGAAAAGAGCGCGATGCATCATTAAACGCGTTCTTCAGCTTTGCGATTATCGCGCAAAATGATACGCGTTGTGCGTAAGAGGAACGTTTCGCTTCGGCTGATCAAAATACTCTTCTTTGTATCGATTGTTCGCAATAGTTTTTGCAGAAATGCAGCATCAGTGTTAGTCAGGCGCGACGTTGAGGATTTTTTCTACGACGCCACGGAACACGGCTTTTTTTTCTGAAGGATCTGACAAACTCGGTTGAAACTTTGCTCGCTTTTCTCCCCTCCTCTCTTTTCTTTTACACCGCGACTTGATTATGTTTTCAACTTGATATTTTTGCATCGCTCATTTCCTCACTTAATGAGAAGTGACGTGTTCTCATTAGTCAAAGATGGTGACAATACAACATGAGACACATTCTGACGTACGTGCGAGATGGAAGAATGTAGTCTAATGACTCAGTTGCGGGAGAGATCCGCCAGGATGACAGATGACTCGCACACTTTCGGGATAAGTTACATGGGACAAATTCGTCGGTGTCCCATAGTCGATCCCGGAGATGCGCCGTCAGCTGACCCAGCGAATGACAAGTCCAGAAAGATTTCCAAGAGCGGCGCGAGCTGCCACGATATTTTCGTACGTGCCGCGGCGCGGCGCTTTAATTTCCCGAGGAGAGGAGTCGCGGGCAAGCGAGCGACGCGGTATCGATTTGAGCCCGGCCGCAGGAGTCAACGGCAATCGTGCCTGTAGGGCTGCTCCTCGTAGCTGAACTGGTACACACTTTCGGAACTTGAAAGTAAACACATATATAGCTGTGACTTGGTGTAAAAAAGGGAGAAAGAGAACTGGTGCAGGCCGGTTCAGCCGCAAAGAACAGACCACGTGCTCGCCCTGCGAAAGCCTAGACACCTTGCTACGGAGTGCTGGTCCTCTTTCGAGCGCAAAACCGGAATGGCGCACCGCGACGCACTGAATCGCACGCGACGTCGCGTGAGTCCCGAAAATTTGGCGACGCGATTTTCCACGCGATGCCACGCCGTCGTCGCGATCGGTCAGTCCTCCACGTTCCTCGTGTTTCGTCGCGCGTGCGTCGCCGACGCTGTGTTACGCACGCGAGACGACGCATGCACGTAAGAGCGCACACGTGCCGAGACTTACGTGCTCACGGAAGTCGGGCCGTCTGCTGCGACGCAGACGACGGCGCCGGGGGTGACCGGGTCACCGCGACACGGGCTGCACGACGAAACGAAGAGCGCCGAATAGAGCCCGTTCGCGTTAACTCCCGGTGGGGCTGGATTCCCGGCTGTGTGACTGAACGGTCGAAGGGGTTGGCACCGTACGACGACGGCGTTCCCGTTAGACCGGAATCCGACGCGGCTCGAAATTACGTCTGGATCGATGATGCCTCTGAGGAAAAAAGGCGACAGGAGCTGAGTCGAAACGGAGCATAGGCGCCCGAGCTGTGGCTCCTCGTTCACATGCGCAGCTGGAACATCGTTTCCAACTACACATATCGTACTCAGGGCCGTATAATCGGCACTGCTGCCTTCCGAAGTCTTATCCTGTAATACATCCTGGAAGCTTATCTCTGAAGCGCAGTCTTCATCGATGTCCTAGAGAACTTGCTCGTTCAGAATTCCGCGTTTGGTTTCGACTCGCTCGAGTCTGACACGTGTATCTATGTAGCGCAAAAGTATTACATCAGCATTAAACTTAAGAAGCTTTTAATTGTGTTGATACAGTAGCGATGTTATCATGACCGTAAGATGTTACTTTCCGGGACTTTTAATGAACCTTGTATTAATGTCCGTGTTTAAGTTATTAAAAAAATTATCTAGTACGTTAAAAAATTAAAATTAGTATTTAATTAATTAAATTAATTTTTAATAAATAATATAAATTAATATTTATTTAATTAAATTAATTTTTTTTAATAGTTCTAATAGCACTATTCAACCTGTGCTTGAATTCTTATTGTCCTTTACGTTAAATATTAAAAAATTAACGTTACTAGTTAAATTAATTTTACTAGTTAAAAGATGAACAAACGGATATTTCCGACCAAAATACCGATAAATTTTTTATATCTGATCAGGAAACATCCGATGAGAAATATTGGTTCATAATTTTTTGATCAGTTTATCCGATGAAATGCTATTATAATCGGAAATATCAGATAAAATTTAATTAGATATCCCGATCGGAAATAAAAATTTATCGGAATTTTTTATCAGAAATATCCGTTTGTTAATTTTTATTGGATAATTTCTCTCAGTATAACATTTTAAGATCATGATAACATCATGATTGTTGATAACATCATGATTGATATTGCTAATTTTTAGCAACATAGTTAACATTCCGCGTACAATATTGGCTCTGTAAAATCCAAACGAATATTTGATCGTTTAGCAATCTTTTTTTTATAAAGATTCTGGGAAAATTTCCAAATAGCGCAAATCTGTAGATTTTAATTTTATCGCGTTATTATCTCATAGTCAAAATTTTTCCATATTTTTGGAAAAAAATATGTTCAAGAGTATTGATTATCAATAAAGTTATGATAGTTTAAAGTTGCCTGACAGACTGAGATTAGACTAAAAAAATATGATTGTACGTGCAGAATTTAATATCGATGATCTGACTCCGCGACAATCCCGTGGGAGTTCGTTGACTAAAGCGATCAAACGTTTTACGCAAACGTGATCACTTTCATTGACGCAACTATTATCGCTGCCTTTCACGCATCACGATGACACACTTTTACCAAAACTTCCGTCTGCCTCATTATCACGAGGCCGAGCAGATAAGTTTTTATGCTCGATCGAAAAACATGCCAGTTAACCGCTAATGAGAAATCCAATTGAACAAAAACCGCCAACCACACGAACCTATGTGTTGTTACTTAAATTGACACATCGCATTCTCCCTAAAGATATGTATAACTTGAATTGTTCAATATTCGAGTAAATTCGTGAACACTTACTAGTCACATGTAAACGCGCATTCAAAGGCATTTTGTGCTTTTCGACCGTGGATTCGTAAAGTAAAATTGATTGTTCACATCCAAAATTTAAACCTCTCGTCTTTCTCGACGCAAAATACGTCCCGAATTGCTCTCTTAACCGACACAATTTCATGAACACTCAATGGAGCTGCAGTTGCCACCGACTATTCCGCAAGATGAAATCCAAGAAAAGCAAGTTCTTTCATACTTGAGTATTATAGCGATGTTTGTTATTTGCATGAGAGATTATCAAACAGGCTCATTAAGTTCATTTTCTTTAGCAGCATTCCGTTACATTATCTGCATTTAAAATGAGATATCTCGACAGTTCTTCGGATAGAAGAAAATAAATAAAAGAGATGAACGGGAAGACAGCAAAAAGCGAGTATAATAACAGAAGTGAATATTAAAAGAAAATACGGTGGTTGATCCTCATGATAAATGTGAACAATGGAATTTGACCCAACAGCACACTTCGTTTAAAGGCGCCTTAAACTATTACTCTCCTTTCTTCAAGAAAGTCGTAGCTTTAAGAGATATTAGGTATGCATGCGAGTCCTCAAGCAACGCGTTACCAACGTGTAAGCTCGAGTATTTTTTCCTTCACTCCGTATAACACATCGATCGTACTTTTACGCGCTACATAAAAATCGTTACACGAGAAACAATATATATCGCGCTTTCCTGCACTCACCGTATGCTCATAACAAAACGAGGAATGTCGGGATAAAAATGTAAATAATAGCTAAGAAAAGGACGCTCGACAGCATATCTGAGATTTTCATCATTCTCTCTTCCTCTCGATCGCGAACAATTACGCGTCCATCAAGATTGTGTAGCGTAACTTTTCCAGAAGTCAAGTTTTCTCCTAGTCATCGTTGTGACTTCAGTCTTGTAAACGTCATATATGACGTAGTGCAATCGATGACGCATTTACTATTACGTAGGTGAATAAATCGATTGGTTTATCGCGACATCTCCGATCAACGACGCGAAGTAATTTCCCCACGGTGAAAATCACGGAGACGCTGACGCGCGGAGTCGCAAGTCCAAGATTCACCTGTAAATTCCCCCGCCGTTTGCGCGACTTTCGAGCGATTTTCTCGGAGCGGGGCTGTACCGAGACACGTGTCGATCGTCACACGTCGCCGACCTGCGCGTAAGAGCTCACTGGTCGCCTGTGCGAGAAATGGCTTACGATATCCCGATACTGGAAAGCATCGATTTGCATTAGCATCTCATTATCGATACCAGTCGTAAGACTCTTCCGCGAATACCGATGAATGATGTACGGCCTTACTGGTCGCTCACGTTGTCTTTTATTTCCCAAAGAACTCATTGGCTCTTATTCTGAACTCTCCTGTGTCGATAAAAATGTCTCCAAGGATAGATTTTCCAATAGTTTAAACTTAGATTTGAGTTTAAACTTTCTATTCCAACACAACGTGTTTGAAGAGAATTTAAATTTTAAGTTCAAACCATTGTTGAATCGGTACTGAATGTGCTTGTAAGCCAATCAGAAAGCTTACAAGTGCCATTTATGTCTGTTTCTACCAACGTCGATTAAAGATTAGTTCGAATTTAAACTCTATTCAGACCAAGACCTAAACTCAGACTAAGGTTCAATCAACGTTGGTAGAAACGGATCTTAAAGACACTTGGTCCATTTTTGGTCTTTTGGTTGATTTTTGGTCCACTTTTGATCTTTAAATACGAAATTTTAATTTTTTATTTTTTATCTTCTTACGATAGAGATTAAATTCAACGCACCGATCAACGAAATTCTCCCCGGTGATGTGTGAACGCGCGTCGACCTTCCTTATCCGTTAATTATTACCGCGCTATATCATGTATGTTTTTATCCGTGTATGTTTTTAGGTGTCAATCGAGTGTTATCGAGCCTGTCCATTCGTCAGTCGTTATCAAAGTGTTATCGGGCCCTCTCATGTTCGTCAGCCACTGTCGTTCGCGAGTGACTGCGCTGTTTTGCCCGTTCGATCGCTGCTAATGTCACCGTTCGTTTTTCTGTTTCCAGTCAGCTGATATCCGAGCGCAATTGTCAGCGAGACCCGATCATCAGCTGATCGTCGTCGTCGGCTCGTCGGCGCGGCCGCTATCACTTCGTGGCGCCCTCACTCCGCATGTTCGTCAGCGCCGCTCGCGATAGTCACGGCACTGCCTATTGACGTCCGCGGTAGGCGTGGTTTCACGGCGGCCGATAGAGGGATATATTTACCGCGCGCACGACTTTTCTCTCTCGTGCGCCAACGCGACGCAAACGCAAAGCAACGCGACGCGATCGCGACGCAACGCAACGCGACTCAACTCAACTCAAGAAACGGGTTTCTCTCGCCCGCGCGCGCGCCTTCTCTGTCTCCTTCTTTCTCTCTCTCTATCTCTCGCCGCGGCCGACGATTGACAATGTGTACATACTACTTGCAGCGCGGCAACGAGGTCGAACGCGAGCGATACATCGCCGCACGGTGCGCGACTTCTTCCCGGCGCGGGGGTTGACTTGCGCTCTTCCTCACCGTCCTCGTCGCTGTTGTCGTCGACCGTCGTTATCGTCGCCGCGACAACGCGCACGCGGTATATCGCGAACTGTTTATTCCACGGCGGTTGCTCAGGGCTGCGCTTTCCCCGAAAGGTGCGAGACACGGTGGCCGCGCGACGGAGTTGCCGAGAGGGGTGGTGAGAAGAGGACGGGAGCGAGAAAGAGAGGCAACCTGGTAGAACGAGAGTGGGACGGAGCGACGGCGAGAGGGAGGTGAGAAAGTGAGATAGGTGCATAGACAGACGACCGAGGTACAGTCGCTCGGCCGCGGCGGTAGTGTGCGAGTGCGTGCGAGCGAACGACGTGCGCGGTCGCCGTCGATCGTCGCGCGGCCGCGGGTGCTGCCAGTGCTCCGTCCGTCGTCGTCGTCGTCGTAGTATGTAATTGTCGTTAGTGCAGTGCGGTGTGTGGTGCTGCTGTTTGTCGAGTCCGCGCGACAGTCTGCGCGCCTCATCGTCGTCCAACGACAACGTTTGCGCTTACCGATTACGCGCGCACCGATAATCGCGCCCTGATACCAGTCGCAGTTCCAATAGCGACAGTAGCAACAGCAGCCGCCTCTTGGCCTGATCGACCGCCCGGCTGCGAGAATGGCGGGCAGCGGCGTGCCGATTCTTCTCATCACTGCGAACGTCGGCAGTATCTTCGAGGAGGTATGTGTATTCACAGCAGCAGCGTGTAACAACACCGCTCCACGGCCGGATCGATCGTCCTCGTCGATTCGCGCGATTATTCGCACTGCGACCTACTTGCCGCTCTCCTGCCCGAGCCCTGCTCACGGGACATTCGCGGGACACTGTGTGTGCACAGGTTGCCGCCGATTTCGTACATTCGCATATACGAGGATATATACACGGCTGTAGGTCGCGCGTTTAATCGCTTTTCGCCAGGTCGACACGGCGGCCGGCGTCGCGCGCTCGAGAAAGTCGCTCCGCGGCGACACTCGAAGGTCCCTTCTATTTAGTCGCTTACCGCCGCGATTTCTTTCAAAATTCTCGCCTTTGCTCCCTGCTCTTCTCTTCGACGCCCGATTACGCCTTCGCTTTACGTCGGCCACGCGGAGAGCGTGTAATGTAGCGTAAACATAGCCACGAAGGACGTATCGCGACTCCCGTTCGAGAGATGTCACGTGACGTGGTCGAAAATTCGATTCGAAAATTCGGTCGAACGAAACGTCAACTCTCAAATGCTCGACAGTACGATAATAGAATTTGCAGCCGAATCTTGAGCGTCAATTGTTTGATGGATTTCGCATGTGTGGTCTTGAGACTTTTGGCACTCAGCAGCTCGAGTTTCCGATGTTGCTTGGAATAATTCAATGTCGCGCTCGAAAACATGCAGCGCTATGCTACTGATCGTCGCACTATTATTGATTACGCGCAAAGTTACGGTCGTCTGTTTTCTTCAATGCAACTGTCTATTTTTAGACAAGTTGAAGAAATTAACGTTGTTGTTATTCGGCATTCTCAAGCACACGATTGTTCTTTGAAGTGCTAAGCTGATCGAAGCGAAATTCGCCCTCGAGCGATTATCAGATCTTTGTGTTTTTTTATTTCTTGTTCCTTATCGGTCCTGTCACGTGTTTGGGCAACGTCACGATGAGCATGTAAATTTACGATAATTTCTCGCGTGAGACTAACGATCGCGTAATACAATACCGCAAGATGAATCATTATTGAGATTATTTAATTTAAAAAGAAAAGAAAGGCGCGTGTTTACGACATTGTAACGCTCGATTCTGAACTTTCTATCTGAATTAACGGTAGTCCACTGGACGACTATTCGAGACGAAATCGATGAGTATCTTACGGAAATAAATGTGACAAGGGACATAAAGAAGGAAAAGTGTAGGGAATGGGCAGTAATTTATAATTGCTTTGGTCTGAGGTCAGGAAGTGAAACAATCGAGGGATACGAGTAACTTTTGCTAAAATATATTTCATACATCCGTGTGTGTCGACACCACTTCTAATTATTTCAAGTCTCGGCCTCATTATTCTGATTCATTTGTTTATTCTTGCTGTTTCCGTCTGCAGACAGATGTTATTCTTCAAAATCAATTCGCTTGCTATATTTAATTAAATTTTAATAATAACAAATATAAATGTGTATCAAAACAGAATGAACAAAATGAAGTGCACACAAGAGAAACAGAGAGAATTTTCTAATGATCACCAAATTAAAATTCCAACGGTTGCCTATAAAAAGAAAATCATTAAAAATCGATTAGTGAACTGAGAGATGAATCCGTCAGTCTCCTTGAAGTACCTCGCGTTCTTTCACACTCCAAAAGCCAATGTCAATTCTGATTTAATAATAAATTAGATACTTAATTGCAGTGTGTGTCACACGTAATGAATAGAATGGTAATACCGGGACATGATGACGAAAAGATGAAGAAACAAGCGTACTCCCCCGATATCGCTCAATTGTTCGCTTATTAACGTTTGTTCGTCAGTATTCCCATCATGCTACTAATTTTCTCGTATCGTACGATCGGTGCGGCATATGCGTGTACGTTTTATCGCGAAACACCTACGTATTCTCGTTTATACCGGATTCGCGCGCGCAACCATTACCGTGATCGATTATCATATTGTCATACATGAAATGTGAAGAAAAGAAGTGGTGCGCTTTATTGTCACGGGGCGTATTAGACGCGCGCACGCGATATCGATATCCTTGCATGTGACGTTAACGATCTATTAATACGTATCCACGCGCCGTCAAGAACATCTCATTAAACTTTTCTTTAAAGTGCACAAAGTATGAAGGATCGTGAGATTGATATTAGTAATTTTCCTTGCAGCCTAGCGTTATGCTAAAGATATGGACGGAGGAATTTTTATCCGTAAGTATCCTTGCTAGGTTTTTATTTTTATTTTCCAAATATAACACCCCGTGCGAGAACAACACATACTTACGAATCATATTTGTCGCTTTTTCAGACTATATCGAGGCTGGATCCGAAATTCATAGCACTGCACTGCCAAGAAGTAGGCGGGAAAAATTACGAGCAGAGTATGAGGCACGTGGAAGACTTTGTTAGGTAATTCCCAATGCATCTTTATCTACGTTTGACGTTATACGTTCTTCTTCGTGATATATTCTCATATTGTAAACTAGTATTAATAGATACGATAGATTGTTGTTAACTGATAATAACAAGAGTCTATTAGTGTTATACTTTTAATAAAACACTAACAGTTACTACGAAAAAGATGAAAAAACACCTTTGTGGATTCTAAAGGTATCATGATCCTATTAGTGAAGCTTCTTGGAAGGTTTCCATGAACTATAACATTTGACTCTAATGAGAATATTGAAATAAAAGTCTATGATAAGTTTATTTTTACAAAATTCATTTGCTTCTACAAAAGGTCTCAAATTTTAATACATGTATGTGTAAATTTTAATTATAATGTAACAAGAGAATAATCACTGCATTTTTATCTGGAACAGTTCTATTGCATGAATTTGTGGAAAATTCATAATTAATTTTAGTCAGTACGTAAAATTTCTTACGTCATTAAGAAGGAGAAATTTAAGAAAACAAATAGCTCTTTCGAGCTAATTGCTGTTTTGCACGCTTGCTTTACTATATTACTATTGTTAGTATATAATATACGAAACTTTATGTCTATAACGTTTTAATTTTTGACTCTTATCACTAAATTGATGTTAAAAACAAAGCTTTCATAAACTGCACCACTTTCTCCACGTTCTCGATATCGAATATAATTTAACGCATAACTGGCAGAAAGGGACAAAAATAGACGATCACGCGTAGCTCTATAGTTCAGTGAGTCACTTCAAAAGATAAGTTGATTGAATGATACTGACAGGGGAGGAACACACACATATATATATATATATATATATATACACAAAAAACACAAAGTGTTTGAAAAATGTATTTACAATGGAACTTTATATAAAAAGTTACATAAAGCTCGTAATTTTAACATATTAATATATAACTTTTACATTATGACAAGGACAAGGTGGATAAACAATAAATATTACTTACAGACTGCTTATGTCGTCGGAAGAATTAAGGTTGTTTGACAAAATTAGAGTGTTCCTTGACGAGGATTATTCATCCGCCGAACATTTCACCGTAAGTTACAGAATATCCCCCCACGGGATTCTCGATTCTACGATCAAAGCGATATTTCTATCTCTCAATCTTTTGCAGGCTTTAGGAAACTTTTACTTCGTGCACGAGTCCTTGAGCGACGTTTTGTTATGGGATTTTAACGGTATGTCTTTGCTTTAAGTAATTATTAAGTAAGCACGCTTATAAAAAGTATATTTTTCCCTAATTATTTTTATATGATTTTAGAATGTACTTTCACACCGGTAAATGGGAAGGAAGTTCATTCGGGTAATATAGAAGCAGTTACAACCAAAGAAAAGGCCAAGTTTCCTCAAGAGTTCTTCCCGGAATGCAAATGGTCCAGAAAAGGCTTCCTGCGAACGCGATGGAGTATTAGTGGAACAGTTTTTGATCTCATAAACATACACTTATTTCATGACGCGAGCAATTTTATTGCTATGGAGACGGTAAGATGATTTTTGCGAATATCGATTCACTTATTAGCGTAACGATTTATCTTTCTAATTTGACGATTTCTTTACAGTTCCCGTCGGTATACAGTAAGACACGCAGAAGAGCGCTGGAGCATACATTAGATAAATTTCATAATGACAAATATCCAAATGCACCGTATTTTTTATTTGGTGACTTTAATTTTAGAACGGACACATCAAGTGTGATTAAGGTGAGACTCGTCAGCAAGATTTACTATAAATTTATTAATTTTTATATATTTATTTCGCGAAATAATTTAATGGTGTTCGTCGTATCACAAATTTATATGTATTGTGCAATAATAAAGTAATTATATTAAAATCCAATAACACTTTAAAATTTATCTTTCATAGAAATTAACAGAAGATACTCGAGAAAGAAGGTTATCGAATAAGGGAAATATTTCGAAGCTTCAGTTTCATAATACAGATGATGATCTAATATTAACGTTAGGAAAAAAAGAATTCTCGCATTATGAACATCAAAACGTCTTCATGAAGAATAGTGGCGAATGGGTGAGTTGCATGCGTTTCATTTGTTCGTCATATCAATGCGACATTTCCGTCCCATCAATGCGAATCAAAGTCCTTATCATGAAATTTGTTCATATTTTGTAGTTACGTGAGTATGACAAAGAGCTAGGAGACTTTGACGGGAGATTGTTCGAGTTTCCAATCAGCTTTGTGCCAAGTTACCCGTTTCAAGAAGACGTCAATGAGCCTGTAAACTACATGCAAACAAGGGTGCCAGCTTGGTGTGATCGAGTTTTATTGAGCCCTACTGCGAAAGCGCTAGTCCAAAATGTACGGTATTTTCGTAAAAGTTATATTTATGGTCAATACTGAAATCTAAAAGAGAAATTCTTAAAGTATTATACTCTTTGTGTCTCTTTGTGTGTGCAGATAAATGATCCTGATGCGGTGGAATACGGTATAATCGGCTCGACTACATGCATGGGCGACCATAAGGTAAGATAACGGCTGAGAGATTTTCCTTACACTTATAAAACGATATTGCGACATGTTTTACTACTATTATTATGCTGGGAACATGTACTTACTACACTTAGTTCTTATTCTGATGATCCATTCTTTCGATTATTATGGTGCAGCCTGTTTTTCTGGAGTTTCGAATGAATCTCTAAGCACTAAGGTACCTATCTATGAACTGTCTGTCTCTTCTTATCTCAGATTTCCTCACATCTTTCTCACGTCTGTTTCTTCCGTTGGATTTTCTGTTATCTCGGCGAGAAACACATAGGGGCTTGTTAATGTAGCACTTCCATGTAGTGTCCCGAAGTATAACTTATTTATACATGACTTTAAGTCTCTCATAATTCTTGTCAGCATCACTTCATCGTTATCATGGAATAATTGTACTTTTCCAATCTAATTGCAAATTACATATTCTAATGCTTTTTCTTGTTCTTTCTCATGTTGCGTAATGATCGATATATTTCACTATATTATACAAAATACAAGAATACTTCGATTGCATAATGACAGCACTCATTAATTCATAATAAGGATTTATGACACAAAAGTAACGAAGAATTGTTTAAATAGCTGTTTCCTTTTCAAAATTTCTTTTTTTTTTCTTTTTTCCAAGGAACATTAAATATAGATATAATGACAAAAATATCAGTATCTCTCTAATAAATTGCAATATTCTTTAAAAGACACCACGCATGATCATATGTGCCAGCAATATTAAAATAGTTAAATAACCGCATTTGAAAAATAATAAAACTATCCGCTTTCACATACATACAAAAATATCATAACCGTTATATGTGAAAAATGATTCCAACTGAATGTGCATTATCATGATCATGATGTCGGTCAAAGTTTCCAGAAATATGATCGGTGAGATTGACAGACTTGAGATTGAAAAGTACATTACTATGGTACATTATTGTTTCTTAGAATGAGAGAGAAACGTCTAGCTTAAGAATCCTCATAGAATCCCATAATATGCGCCCCCTCATGCCGCCTTATCGTCTTCTCGCAGTCGCATACGCACGACGATACATAAAGGTCCGTTACTCTTTTTTCCCATTTACAGCCAGTCTACTTGAAGGCTAGTCTCATCTCGGACGCAGGTATGATAGACTGCTGCAGCTTGCCATTTGCACCTGAATTTTGCTTCCGAGTGCCCAACAATTACTTGGAGTTGTTGTCCATGTTGCCTGACAGCCATAGTTACGCTAACGCGCGAGCAGATTATGTTGATCGTTCGTCTAATCTGTTGCACGCAGCACCCATTAAGCATGATCCCTACACACCAGATAGTATGGACAGTCCGAGTCCGAACGCGCTGTTAGCCACCGGCGAGATTCCGGACTTAGACGCGGATCAGATCTTTGTCGGTGACAACGCGTCCGCGCAGCGATCGACTCTGACATCGATCGGCACGTCGAAACGTATCGACCGTGCGGTATCGCCGGCGTTGCTCAAGTCCCGATTAGAGCTGATCGTGCAGAATAAAAAGCAAGAGGACGTGGATCTGGAGTTGGACGTTTCGGACATCAAGAGAAGCCCCAGCGAATGCCACCTGCGTTCCTTGCCGGACGGTGAAGACCGACAATGGTGCGTGCGGAAGAACAGATGCAACAGCGACGTGTCGTGGCAGCGCTCCCACGTCTTAACTGAGGCGTGGATCCGCGGCAAAGGTCAGCAGGGCTATCACTCCTTCAGTAACTTCGCCAATCGATCGTCCTCGAACTCGAGTGCACCGGACATGGTCGACGGACTGCCACCTGATCTAATCATACCGCGAATAGCCATCATAAACGCGAGCAACTTCGAGTCGAATGAGAGCTCCGTATACTTCCACGACGATAGACTGAGCAATTACTCGGATAATAAGCTGAGCGCCTACTCGGATGGCCGCACGAAGACATTGAGCGGCGAAGGCGAGAGTTCGGACAAGTCTGACGACAAGATGGACGAAGGGAGCAATAGACTGAGCTCGAGCAACGAGCAAGTGACGGAAAAGGATGTGTATCCGATAAACCAGGACCAGCAGTCGAACAATGAACGGTACTTCGAGGAGAACAGTAAAAAATTCATCGAAGACGAGTGTAACGTGTGCAAGGAAACGAAATGTCAGATAGAGGTTCGAGCTCACATCATGAATACGTCTTCTGTTAAAAATGACAACGCCATTGATAGGACGGACGATAAATCAACCGTGCGATATAACGACGTTCCGGACGAATCCGGCTTTCGAGACTCGCGGTCCACCAAGACGCTATTGGAGAATCGATCGAGCTCTCAGGCGTTACGGAGGATACACACGGAGCAAGATGACGTGGATCGAACAGATGCGAAGCTCGTTGACGGCGCGCCGTATGTGAAGCCCGACGCAGAAACCGGGCAGCTTCTCCAGAATCAGGATCGCGACAGCAATGTGATAAAGATATGCTCAGACGCGCACACGGATCATGCGGTAAGTCACGACGCGGAGATCGTAAGATGCGAGAGCAAACAAAAGATGTGCGCTTCGAACAATACGACCAGAAGCAATTCCGCGCATAGTCAGGATATCAGTGATCACGCAGGGAGTGTCAGACTAAAGCTGAAAGCTTACAAAGTCACCGAACGGTATAAGAGCAACATAATAGGCAGGGAGACTAAATGTAGGAAGTGTTGTTGTGTAGTATCGTGAAACTCCGCCGTATTACAGTCCGCGTATCCTAGAATCCGTGCAATTAGTTCCTCGTTTTTTTTTTATTTATGGCGCGATACGCCGCATCGGGTGTTTTTGGTTGTCCTCTTTTTTTTTTTTCTTTATCTACTTACCTGGAGTATTCCTTCGTTCAACTTTCTCCCGATAGACTACTTTTTCGCGCTGTCCTCTCGATAACGCCGAAATCGGCGATCGAGATCTGCATTCTTAGCCTCTGTGCTTAGCGTAAGACTATATAATAATTTATTTCCGAACGAATTCTCCGGCGTACGCGTTCTACTGTATCTCGCTATTGACAATGAGTAATCTGTCGCGCAGTTCGCGAATGTGCGATTTTATATGGCTCGTGCGTGTGATCGCGCATTGACGTAACAACCGCGCCTATTGCGACAATGACACTTCGTGTATTTATTGTCGAGAATTATTTGTCACGCGGACGCGCTTTAGAAATAACACGACCAACTCGTGACCCGCCTGATACGGATACAGAGAGAAGGATGCGATTTTAGTCACAGACGGTCTCTCTCGCGATGGAACGCGCGTCTCTCGCCAGAAGCAGCCATTCCGCGTGTCGCCGAGAGAGAGAGAGAGAGGTGTCAACGATTTAAAGTGATTCCCTCTGCATGTGCATGGTACTCTAACGTGTCTCAGCGCGCGTAAACCTCCCCCGAGGAAGTTACTACCCTCTCCCGAGTGTGATAACCAGAGGAACTCCTTTGCGATTCTTCTCTCCCCCTCCTGGCCGTTGTAGTCGTGTAATTTCGTAAGCAGTATAATCGCACGCGTCACGTTACTCGCTGGGACGTAGTGTACATTTACGTTACTTGGAACGTGTGTGAACTTGGACGATGGTAGTGGTAATGGCGATGTGTAGTAGTTTGCGCCGCTGTGTATAGTGTTAAAAGTAATACGTATAGACTGATAAAAGATTGTTACCAGTATACATGTGCACTTTCACGAGCAGTGCTATGTTATCCTATTACGCTATTTTATGTAGAAGCGCGTCGTCGCCGGACGCCCATTTTCTTCTCCCCCTGATACCTTGCACACACGCATGGTTAAGTACTCTTTCTTTTTTATTTCAAGAAAATTCTTACCTCGCATTGCTCTTGTCGTCGAATTTAATATCACCTGCATACATATGCATACATAAATATATACATACATATATAAATATTTTATTTATTACGAGTCGCTATTCTCTCGCAATTGTGAATAAGTATTGTCATTATAATGTTTGGCGTTTTGCCGTTTCGTATATCACCTTCGCCCCCATCGACGTAGCGACGAAAGATCCAATGATATCGCCAAGAACTCGCGTATCTCTCCTTTTTTTTTTTTTTTCTTAGTTTTTCTCTTTTCTTTTTTTCTAAAGCGTTACACACGAACGTATTTACGTCGTCATACGTACTGCGCCCTTGCCCGAGGAGAGATCTGTCCGTTGGATTTTCTTACGCGCGCATTTTATAAGTGGACTCTACTGCCAAAGTTAGATTCGTCGTAGCGTTAAGCGAGAAGATAATTAATTTATGTGTTGGACGTGGTCGGTCGCGGCGTGGTCGCGCGGCAAAGTGTTAGATGGGCGTTTATTTCGAGCCTTTGGTATGTTATGTTGTATGCGGACGAGCGAGTGCCATCACTTGTATCGAAAGTCGGAAATGCGGCACGAAAAGTCGCATCGCGCGAACGCAAATGGGACGTGAAGAGAATTCATAAAGGGAGTCCCTCGGCGCGTGTGAAACGCGCACGGGGAGGTTTGAGCTTACATGTGATTAATGTACATTACTCCATGATGCATCGTGATTCGCAATTTTATATCTGCGATTTTTCTCTCGTAAGGGAGAAAATAACACTTTATACGCGCCGAAAAAGATCGTAAGATAGACAAAATAGGTAACAACGCAAATGTATCTCGCGGAGAAAACTCCACTTCGTGGTGACAGCAAGTACGAAATCATTTTGATATTTTCATTAGTTCCTATCATTTGAAGTAAGAAAATTGTTGTTCGTGTCGGCAGTCCGATGTGTTTCCAAGCTCACAGCCTGCTGTCACGCGTAAGCATTTTCGGCTCTGATTAATAATTTTAATTTTTAACTATTTAATTTTTTAACGCTGTAACGATCGCGTTTAGACTGGCGCTTCTTCTCTCGAGCGATCGAATGTCTGATAGCTTTACAATTTTTATCGACCAGTTTTACTCTGTTCTTGCCACATGAGATACGCGAGACGTGGAGTAATGTCACGAAGAAATTGTGACTTAACATTATACCTCTCTCTTCCTTTCTGTCTCTTTATCTGCGTTCGCTGAAACGATCCCAGGTCGAACCGGGAAATCTACTTTGCGGAACACGGCAGCGCAAAATGTCGATAGATTCCCGTTTGCCATATTAGTTTTAACAAGAATGAGTTCGCGTGCGGACTCCGTTACTGTTGTACTGCATTTGTTTTATTTTCCTATCGCCTAGGTTGAATTAGAACTGTATTGCGTGTTCCTGTCGTCGGGACACACGTATGTAAATAGATCATCGACGAGACCCTATATACATATATTGCTCTTATTTTGTAAATATAAATTTATTTTTCATACACGTTAACGCTGCTTTCTTTATTTTTGTTTCCTTCAATTGCCACTTTTCTTTCCGTTTTGTACAGATCGGCTCACCATTGCCGTAATAAGCACAATTTAAATAGTATCATTTCAATAAGAGAGCGCACACTTTATTTTCATCTATATCTTGTACGATATTTTATATATTTATTTTCACCTATATCTTGTACGATATTTTATATATTTATTTTATTAATATATGTATTATTATAGCGCAGAAGGGGGAAATTGCTCTGATAAACACATACGAGGTCTCTGAGAGAGTAAACATACATGCAACTTACCTTGTTATTATGTTTATCCTATTTTTAGTTATTAATAATCTTTACACGTAACAATACGCATCTCTCTCCCATGCAGAAAAAAATACGATCGTCTACTTGAAGGAGTTTATTCACTTAAATCAAAATGTTTAAAATTGTACAAGAATTTAACGTAATATTTATCATAGTAGAATATATTCATAGTTGAAGTTTCATGCGATTTCGTAAAAAATTTTATACTGTAATTTTGTACATATAACCTTATTATTCTATGGTAGAAACAATATAGATGACTATTATTCCAGTATAACTTTGTAAAAAGTGACACCATTCAAATAAAAAACTTACTGTTATAAATGTTACTTATTAGGAGACACAGCATAGAAGAAAGAATAGTATTCGCTATATTCGTGTTTTTGTAGTGGTTTTGTAATGGTAGGCCAGAAAACTGTTTTACGCTTTGAGTAACATTGTATTGGATAAAACGTGGCAAGGTAGTATCATGAAATTAACATTTGCTACTTAGATAGTGAAATAAATCCATAAACATTTAATTTTGTTCGATAAATAGCGAATTTATGAGTAACTTCCTTGACGCGCAGCTGAAAATACGTCTGTTGGGCACCCTGAAAACACATACCTGGTGGTGAATAAACTCCTTAAGACAATTCTCCGCACACGAAAACTCTGCCCGCAATGTTAGAATCGCTGTGAGTAAGATATGAGCGCAAATAGAAATGCGAGAGAGTCGGTCAGTCAGTCAGCGGGAAGTACGCGAGTTCCGTTTTGCGAAGATTTTCACTTCGAGACGCGAAGTTTCCTCGCGTATATTTACAACAGCCGAGAGACGCGCTACATTCGTCCCACACAAGTGTGTTACCCGCTGCTGAATGGCGATTTTGCTGCACTTCCTTTTTATCACGGGTTACTTATCGATTATCGCTTCATGCAGTGTGTGTAGTCTCATTTAATTTCACGCTCCGCACGTTGCTGCCGCCGCACTTTCAATAATCCGCAGCCGCAGATTTTAATACTGGGGCGCAGTATGGCAGATCTCCGGAGGAAGCTGAGGCTTTAAACGATAATCCACGTATTCTCCTCATTATTTCTCACGCGCTACGCATCCACATCAATATTCTTTGCCATTTACGACATATTATTACCGTATTCGCATACATGAGCGCGACGAATAACAATCTTACAAAAATTCAATCTTTACTCTTATATATATATATATATATATATAGATATTTTAGATACGAGCTTTTAAAGATATATTCAGCGATTTGTCCTCTCTCTTTCTCTCTTTCTCTAAACTCTCTTTTCGCTTTCTATTGTATTACTTACGCTTGTACATAATCTCTCTTATTATATACGCACATTTGTCTCTTGAACATGATCGCGCTCTTTCTTGCGCAACAATACAGTTGTAATCTACTGCAATCGCGAACGAGACGAGACGCGACGTGACGCGATTGTGTACGGGGAATTGACGGTAAGCATCGTAAATATACGAAATGCAGGCATTTCTGCGAGTCTGCGATCTGCGCTGCTGCGTGTACAGGTGTCATTGTTAACCACTGATCTTATAGCACACTCGGTGTAACGTGGCAGGCTTAGTAGGGGAACACGAACGTGTACAATGTTGCGTTTTTGGTGGCTTGTGATCTGTGTGTTCTTGACACCCAAATGTACCCCGCGCACTCCACCATCACCCGCATACGTGTGTGAGTGTGTGCGAATGTGTCTGATATTTGTTTGAGATATGTTACACCTCCTTTGCCGGAGTGATAAAATAATTCCTCACTGTCGTCTCGCGCACAATACTTACGCAACTAATGCGTCGGGATGTGCGAGACGACAGTGAGAATTGTTCACACGGGAGACTGAAGCGCGAAAATTTCCTCCTTCCTGGGAGATTTGACATTCCCTCCGACAGCGAGAATAACTCGCGAAGTTGTGTAATGTTTCGTGATCGGACGAAACTGTAGAACCGTGAGAAGACAATCCTTCGATTTCTCACTCGGAATCGATCGTCACTTATACCAGCCGAGCTCATGAAGTCCCCCGGTGTTAATTGGACATGTCTTTCTCTTTTTCTTACGACAATGCATGATGAGATAGTTGTCACTCAGAAGAGTATTGTCGTTCCTGGCCGCAGAGACGGCGAGGGAAACGCAAGCGGAGCCGCCGGCGGCCGGGCTGAGGAGGAGCGGCGACGTATTCAACGGCATTAACAACAATAACAACAACGCCGTGACGACGATAACGAGATACGTGCACACCAAGCACGCGGACTCGTCGGTGAAGATCTTCCGGGAAACGACGGTCTGATATCGCACTCCTCTCGATGACGTTTCTTGTCGCAATGCGTAAGCTGATGTTCCCGATCATCGACAATTGTTTAACCCTTTCGATACCGCTCTTTCGTGAACGCCGAGCAATGGCATGAAGTGGGATTCTAGTGAAAAAGCTCAGTTGATATCGAATCAATTAAGTTTCAAGTCAAATGGAAATTTAATATAATTTTTCTCAATTTAAATTAAAAGTTGAATTTGGATATCTTGATTTTAGAAACATCTCATCAAACCAATCTTGATCTTGTCACTACATCCATATATAGGCTCTCAGAAGCCCTTGACATATCAATTGAAGGATACGAAGTACTTACGATGTACTTTGAGATGTCAATAACGGCGAAGAATACGAAATTTTCGCCAGCATTCTCTCCTTTTGCAAAAATTCGATATGTTTCGTGACAAATTTAATCAGCCTCATACATTTAGTTCCGATATAATTGTTCCTCGAACGATATGTTGACATTAAGAGAAATTAGCACGTTGACTGCTGCGCTTTTATCGATTTCATCGGTCGAAACTGAACTGATAAATGAATTATCAAAGATACGATAAATGAATGTAACTCGAGACGCATATATCTTTTATCTCATTGGTTCCTCATTGGCCGATTACTCAGATACAAAATTCATTATATTTTACGCGAAATTTAATGAGACTGTGCCTGTCGTTCAACGTGTTAAATTTGGATCTACTTTCGGAGACTTGTACCATCGAGCGACGAGATCTCGAGTTTTGCTTTTTATTTCCCAGGCAGACCGATGCGATTTCCCATGTGTATCGAAAGGGTTAAACTCGGGACGACCGAGCGCAAGAGTAACCGACGAATGAACGAGTCGAGTGGAGATGAATCTCACGCGGCACGTTTCAGCCGCGACGGTATTTCAATCCGATCCACCGAACGCTGTTCGCGAAATCGTAGCTACATTCCACTAGCGTAATCGATCGAGGAGGCGATCTTGCAAGGCCCGAGATGTCTTACGCGCGAGGTGCTTGAAGCCGCAAAAGCTGCTCGCGCTGCTATGTAACTCCTCGGCAGTAAGTAACGAATGGGCTGAGCGAAAAATCCCGAACGCGACACACGCGTCTCAGGGGAGATGTCGAGGTCGTTCCGAGCTCTTCTTCGCAGTATCCCCGGATGTCTTCTCAGACGTCTGCTCTGAGACCTCTGTGTCGTTTGTGTTAGGAACGCGCCGGAGCGTGAGTTCGCGCGACTCCGCGAATCACGTTCCGCGAGTGTAAGCGCTTAATCACGATGTCGTTATCATTTACCGATCCCTGCAATAAACCCAAGAGCTTCCTTACTTTTTGCCAAAGGTATATTGTACCGTTGTACGCGATCGCGAAAATCCTCCCACTCCCTCACTGCCTCCGTTCGCGATTACACACAGATGACCAAAGAGATTTCGTATATTTATTATATTATCTATAGATATATATGTATATACATATACCATCGAGAAAGACAATGCATATATTGCCTTCCTCGATGGTGATCTTTACACAATATATGAAACGTGTTATATAGCCCGACTGTTGTAATCACATTGTATAAATTTTTAAGTGTGATCGATGTGTTTGTTTCGCGACACAAGTCTCCGGGATCTTCGTACGTTTACCGGTTCTTCGTTCTCATTACCAGTTCTTCTTATACTAAGCTGTTTATTCGTCTTATCTTCCTTCCGTAACGAAAGTACGTAGGATGCAATAATTTCTCACTCCGGCTGCTTCTTGTGGGTCACTCGATGCGCGCAATTCACAGTGCGCGTGATCCTCTAACTCCGTAAACTGAAATCCATATCACGCTGAGGATTTGGAGATTTATTTGTGTGGGACGAAGATTTGTTTCGCAGAAGTGAACTTCGTTTCACCGAAATAAATTCTATGTCCCACGAATAAATGTTCAAGTATTTTTTCCTCAGTACATTCGTTAGGAAGAACGATAATTGAGGAGTCGCGAAGTCGAGGAGAATTGACACTCGCGGGCTCGAGGAGGAACGAAAGGACCGTCGATACAGAGTACGAATTGCGTTATTACAAATTGAGCAATAATTTCCTGAAGGAATATATATATATATACTTGGGCGAGTCACGCTATTCCGAGGCTCACTCGGCATCTCGGTGAGAAGGGAGAATTATTTGGATCTAGTACGCTTCTCTGTGGACATATCGGAACGTATTACTCGAATATCTACGTATATGTATGTGTACATGTAAGTGATAAACTGATGTTAACCGATGTTAACAGATTATAGGATACGGATGATCGAGAGAACTTGGTTGTCGATAGTCTAAGCGATGCCGCGATCCGCGCGAGCGCGAACGACGTTAAGAGATATTTCTCGCGAGTCTCGTAAATACACGCGCGACTCGCTGTGCCAATCCGTTCCATCTTAGAATTTTGCACGTTTAATAAATATAAATGTGAAGGCGCTTGCAAGCGAGGCGAGCCAGACCTTTGATTTGCGCGACTGAGAGAATTCCGGAAGTCTCGGGATACGCACTTTCGTACTTAGATTCGCATTTGTGGGCACAGTATGTCTCGTAGAATACGGTGCAAGGGCTGACACATGCCTATTCCACGATTAACGATGAATAGATCCGCATTTATATTCGACTCGAATGTCGTTCCCGCAAACGTCGGGGGAAATTAATTAAGAGTCTAAGCGATTCTTCGCCTCTTTCTATTTTTAGCTGTAGGGAGAGACGGAGAATCGATCACTCTCGAGTCGGTCGGTCGGTCAGTTTGCGGGAACGGAACAGTCCAAATATAGTAGTGATGTTCCGCACGCTGGGGACAGACAGCTCCAACGATATCGCACTTCCGTTGACAATTTATAGACGTCATAAACTCGACATGTCATCATTCTCTCTCTCTCTCTGAAAGTGTACGTTGAGATACTTATCATGGCATTCCACGGAAATTAGCCGATACGTTAATTCAGATCGATGTGCTATTATCTTTGTATCGTAGACCTAAGCTATCTCACGCGCTTGGCTAACATAGAAATCGATAGGACAACCGTTCTGTTTGTTCTCTTTCCCTTTTCTCTCGTTCTCTTCTTCGCGTTGTCGATTGAGTGCTTCTCATAGTGTTTCTTATGAGCGTTTCCACCTCGACATCCTCCGGAATTATTTTTTAGAGATAAATCGAAGGATCGCGCGCGTTATATCGGCGATGTATAGGCCGAGCTAAATCGCTCCTCAACACTTGAATCGCTGAAGACGCGATCTCCGTTTCTTGGTGCTCCTTGCTGCGAGAAATTCGAATACGGAAGGCGGAGGAACGAGTGACGACAATTTAGCGTTAGGTATGCGTGTATATGCGTGCGATGGGAACTGTCGAGCCTTCATTTCGCCATCGCTTTCGCTATACGTTGTTGAATTTTGATGTATATGTTGTTGAAGACATATTATATATATATATATATATATATATATATATATATATATATATATATATGTATATGTATATTAATATCTTTCGATAAAACTTAATCTTAAGTGTCACACAGTGTGTAAGATTAGATATTGGAAACGATCGAGACATCACGAGGATCTTCCCCGACCTACCTTCGTCCCGGATCTCATACGCCTTTCGGCATATTTGAGTGTTGTTTACCTCACGGAATTGACGGGTAATGCAATTTACTTCTGTCCAAACGTAACAATGACGTAACCAAAATACGCCTGCAAGCAATACCGAAATAATCAGTTTTAAATAATGCATCTCGTTTTCGAGCGGCATAATTCTATACATATATATTTTTGTCGCACCGGATATTCGTTGAAAAGTTTCCAGGGAAAAAGTCTCCAGTTACTCCTGAACCCACTCTCCCTCTCCCTTTTTCTCTTTCTCTCTCTCTCTCTCTCTCTCTCTCTCTCTCTCTCTCTTTGAATTGTTCTTAATGTTAGTATTCCTTAAATGTATCTTATTCTCCCAAGAGCCTCGTACAATGTTGAGAATTCTCGTTGAAGAGAGAATAATGTCAATTGCGCGTCGGACAGGTCGTACAATTCATCGAGATATTCGCGACGATCGTGTTTTCTGAGACGCGTGAGGGACGTATGTCGTTTCTCGTATCTTGGCGAGTGGTTAATGTTGTACTTTTATAAACACTTAAGTACTTATATTTTGTACTGACGGTATCTTACGTCTCGCGCGCGCCGAAGCGCATGATAACAAATAAATAAATTATTCGACACGGGAGAGCGGCTATACATGTGTATTGTACGTGTTACATATGACTGTCAATGACTCGTAGGCGCTTAGCATTGCTGTGACTCGCGAAACAATGTGAAAAAGAAAGATATTTCGTTGAGTAATCGTCCCGGAAGCTAAAGCGACGCACTTATTTCATGTACCAATGTTGTAGGAGAGGAAATAAAGTTACGATTCCATAAAAATATTATTGTTCTATCACTACGTGTTCTCTATCATGGGCTTAATTATTTCCTTTCTCTTTTTATTTGAAGTTGTATTTCAATGAAGCCTTGTGATATTATTTAATCAATATTTGGTTACACGATCAACATACAGAAAACACGTTCTTCTTGATTAGCAGAGATTCAAACTCCACTTAGTCGAGACTCAAACCAACTTTGTTAGTTTCTGAGTCTCCGCTATGAGTCGCTATCGACTTTAGTGCAGATTGATGTATAAGTACAAACAGAGAGAAGCCTGAGAGCGACTACCAGCTTAATTTTAGTGGCCAGAGCTAAGCGCTAAAATCATTTGATATAAAAGTACCGCAATCATCCGCCATGTTTATTCCAGCCACGCGCGATTGATTCAAAACGTCTAAATTTATATGAATATATTGCGTAGAGGAAAACAATAAATAACATTTACCACTTTTTTTTTTATTTGTAATAACTTTTAACATTTATAACACATAATTTCATAGCGACTGTTATTTGCATTTACTTCGTTAATATAGTTTTTTTTTAATAAAAAAGGAATTCGTGCTACAACAAAACGTTTTATCAATTTGCGCATTGTATTTTGGCATGATGGAATCAATAATGTTGGATGACTGTCTAAAAATACGTCAACAAATTCGGTAGCCGTCAACGTATTTGATAGTAGGTTTACTTCATTTTGTCGAAATGATAATTCGCACTTATACATTATATTAAATACATTATATTAAATACATTATATTAAATACATCAGTGGTTGGAAAAAGTAATAAGTTGTCCTTATACTTTCGTAGTTATGTATAATAACATACGTATCTTTTTTCATATACATGCACTCGTCACACGCTTGGTTTTAATGCAACAGCTACTTCATAGAATTACACTTAATGTGTAGATAAGTTACACGTTTGCACTAGGTACACTTCCGACGCCACATTTTTATTCCAACGTCGTAAAGGCCATCACACACAAAATTCCGTACGAACTTAAATCGTAAGCGTAAGGAAATCGACCAATCCAAATCAAGTATTCGACTCTTCGTAATAATGAAGGGGTTACGGAGAGCCGAGTGTTCGATTAGGAATGGTCGATTTCTCCACGCTTACGTTTTAAGTTCTTACGGAATTTTGTGTGTGATGGTCTTAACCACGGATTACAGTACTTTATATATATAGTGACTTTAGCGCCTATCTTTGGCCATTGAAATCAAGGCTGCGTTCCAAAACTTTACTCGACGGGTAAAGTAGTATTTAATTGACCAATAAGAACAAAGATAACTAGGATTTCTTTATCATGATTGATCAATTAAATGTACTTTACTCACCGAGTAGAATTTTTTAACGTAGCCCAGGCTGGTGGCCGCTTTCATGTTTCTCTCTAGTACTAAGAAGACGGTCAATGGAGCTAGTTCCACGACAATGACTGCGTTCCGAAATTCACTGCTAGTACTGAAAATCTATAGTTCATGTCACGTTTACTATAGAATTTCAGCAGATTGGCTATAGATTTCAGCAGTGAATTTCGGAACGCAGCATAAAGCCCATTCTACAATTGCGTAAGCGTAGTCGTGATCGTAAGAGTCAACCAATCCGAATGTTTTATTTACTGACTGCTTTATTCTGATTGGTGTCGTAATCACATACAACCACTTATCCACGTTCACACAATTGTAGAATGGGCTTAAGGAATACCAACAGCAACAAGAAATAAGAAGAGAAAGAAAGTAATGCTGCGTTCGGAAACACACACTATGTGCACACTACTAGACGATAACCGTTGGAGTGAGCGAAATACAAGAGTGAGATAAAAAGAGAGGGGGAGTACTTGAGTGATGTTTCCGAACGCAACCCTAATTGAGCCGGTGATATACAACGCGTGAACGCGGGTAATAGAACAATATTTTTTAATTGATAAACGTGAAATATCGTAATCGCAGCAGTTCAAAATGAGCAAAGCACATCCACCGGAACTCAAAAAGTAAGTGATCTTTTTCACTTTATGACGTAACCTTCTGCAACATCACTTTTAGTCACTGAATTAATATTACATTAAATACATCATTTTCTGTATAAATATTCTTCTATTTGTTTCAGATATATGGATAAAAGATTGTCTTGTGAGTATTATATCGCTAAAATGCGTTAATAACATATTAAAGGAACAGACTAGAGTTTAACTAGGTTAGATAGGTTAGATTGAAAAATGTTATTTATCCTATGATTTTATTTGAAATGTTTTGCAGTAAAATTAAACGCAGGACGGCACGTTACCGGCATATTGAGAGGTTTCGATCCATTCATGAATATGGTTATAGATGAAACCATAGAAGAATGCAAGGATGGTACTAAGAATAACATCGGCATGGTGGTAAGTCACAATTTACAAAGAGTATGTTATACAAACTGAAAGTTTGTCAATCAGATTAACGTTATCATCAAGAATCAATATTATAGATGAATTGTATATTTTTAGGTAATCCGTGGCAACAGTGTCATAATGTTAGAAGCTTTAGACCGAATATGATTTGTACTACTAGAACTTAAGAGCTACTTCTATCATATACTTTTGAATAAATAATCATGCTTTTCTATGAAATGTATAGATACACTTTAATCCTTAACCTTTTGTGTAACAAATTATACAAACAAGATTTAAATGCAATTGGTGCAACTGTCGTAACAGTTTTTTTATATTTGTATAGATATTTTTCTGTGAAATCTCACAAGATTGGTATTTTATTATTTTTCTGTAATTAATGTATATTAATAAATTGCTATCAAAGGAAATATTTTATTAATGAATTTTCATTATAAATATAATATTTTATTATAAATATCGATAAAGGAGTAAAAATATGGAATTTTCTTAACTATATTAAACATCTCTTAAATATTGAAAACAGAACTAATACTTATTATAGCCAAAATATCCTCAATCGTTAATTAATATGTCCATTTCGTCATGGAACTTGCAATAAAATATAGCCTTTTCTTTTTTATATTTGTGTTACAGGCTTTATGCTTGTGCATTACAGTGTTGTAAAGCAGATTGCAAAAAAAGACGCTTTTATATTTTATCTTATAACAAACATTAAAATTACATCGCAAAGTGCTTAAACTTCAGGAACGTGTACATTTTACAAATGAAACATATATAATCTATTCGCTACCTGGAGAGATTCGCTGAAACACTAATCTAATCATGATAAACGCCAAATGACACATTTTTACTATATTTCAATATTTGCGTTGCAAATATATTTTCGTTTCCTTAATTGCAGAAGAAAATGTGAAAAGCGCATATCCCAATAGAATTCATTGCTACAGGCGTTGTGTCAATAAATCTATAAAAAAAATAAATATGACTATATCAGCAAAAATATCTCTCGGGTCTCACAAGGCACACAATTCCTTCTCGAACTATCGCATTCAGGAACATTATTTACATCATTAAACAAACGCACGTCGCCATTGCACACACGTTTGCATTGTAACAGCAGGACAGAACATTTCATATTGTACTTCACAAGGCGTCACAATGTAAGAGGTCACATTTTGCCGTCAAACGCATCTCACAGTTTCACATCATTCATACCGTTTGCGCTAAATGTTCCGTAAACAAAAAAACTCACCGAACGCAAGATATCCGCAATTAAACAATAACGCTTACTATTCGTTTGTTTCAATGCTAAAATGTTTGCCGTATATGATTGTCTCTAAAGAACGAATAATACGTTGATACATCGCACAAAATAATTATAAAATTATATAAATAAATATACTTTGCGCATATATCTATATCACGATATTAGAGAAGAATGTAGTCTGTTTTGGGCCACATTTTCACAATGCATTGTAATGCATATTCTTTTCGAGTAAAGTGAAGCGCACTGTAAAATAAAAAGGCATCCAGTGTGATCGATTGCAGCTAGTGTCATGTTTTTTGGAAAATTTATAATTTATATATAATTTGTATAAAATCTATAACTTGAGAATAACGATTTGTAATTTTACGTTGCGTATCTTACGTAATACACAACGATATGCGACCTCCGATCCGCGCTAACACTTGTATGAACGATGTTATACTTTGATCACTCAAAGCTCTTGGATACTCGCTGTGCAATTCTGAGTTGTTGGAGTCAAAAACAAGAAAACGAATACGTGAAATGCTAAGATTGCGTGCCATTTCTAAGGAAAAAAATAATTTTATGCGAAAGACTACTTCTGATCGCTTAAACATATTTGTAAAATATTCCGAAAAGTATTTTTCCTTGATAATAAATTTAACATGGAAAAAATATTTCTCTAACATATTTTCCCTCATAATTCTGTCACGTTCATTTTATAACTATCTATTGGCTGTTGAAAGGAAAAGATAGTTTTTAGAACATTTTATAAGCATGCTCAAACGATCTAAAGTATTCTTTGATATAAGTATATTTTTATTTATCAATGTCGCACAAGAATTTTCGACGTGTTATTTGTTACTTTTGACGTCACAATCAAAAATAGCTGCAGCGAGTACTTAAAGTCAACTCGGTGAGTTAAGTTATTACGTTGAATGAGAATAAAAAACAATGTAATATACGAATATGATGCGCTTCGAGTGTCGTACTACATTTCAGCATATCAAACAAACCTAATATTTTTTCTACATCGTATATATCGTTAGAAAATAGATAAAATTTACAATATTTATATAGCAGAATTTTGAAATTATAAAATCAATTTTATCATCCTAGAAATTTGTTGATCTCCTAAAGTTTCTTTTTAAACGAGTATATTGTTTAACAACGGTATTTCTCATTATTAAAACTTTATACTATTGAAAATATACAATTACAATTTCTTTCATCCTTTATATAACTACATAGCTATGTTCAGAAATTGTTACAAAAAAATAACATTTCATCATTAACATTCGTACACCATTACATAAAATATATTAAATTCGTCATACTGAATTTTTTATATATAGATGCATTCCATTATTCACTTTCAGTACTGAAAATTATGTTTTATACATACACTATAAATTTTCAGTGAATATCAAAATGCAGTTTAGGAATGTAAAAGAAAGTATTACATTAGTAATATAGGGACAACAACAATTTACAAAACAATTAATGAGACTATGTTTAAGTGTACAAATAAAGTTTAAAAGACGTTCATTTGGAAAGGCAAAACAAATAATTCTATTTTCTTTTTCGTGTCAAAGTTTCTTGTGTAATTTAAAATTTACCTATGCTTCAAGGCCTCTGTTTCTTCGCCGTGGCTAGTTTGGTTAATGGCAGAAAAACGAGAAAATATATGCCCAAAATTCTTGCCAAATACAGTAAAGTGAAAAGATATGTCCATCGAATGGCATTTGATTGATTGTGTACATTTTTGTGACAAATTAAAAAACTCTTTCAATAATCAATAAATATTCATTTACAATTAATGTGTCAAAATCACATAGTAGAAGCTAAGTTAGATGTCATGTTAATTTTAAAGATATTTATGGAAACATAAATTATTGGAACAAAGGAAGAGTTCTCGGAATATTTTAAAAATGTGATTATATAACATATATACTATATAATAAATCATGTTATTTTATAATATCTTTTTATATATTTCCACGTATTTTGCAAGAATTTTGGGAATTTTTTTACTTCTGATGTCATCAACCAAGAAATCTATGGCGAGCAATTAAGAACTTTAAAGGAGGCTCAATATTATTAAATCATACAAGCAACTAAGAATACATTATAAATGAATAACTATATTAATATATATTTTTTTGGTTCGATACATTTTTCTAGATGGACACGTAAAGAATGATAAATAAAATGGGTCGATTTTAACCTAAAAAGTGTAATATAAGTAATATACATGTAATTTTACGTTTTTTTTTTAATCGCTGAATACGATAGTAACATTTTTATCCGTCTAAACGCATAAGAGGAAACAGTCAAAATTTGCCTTAAATGAGTTGAAATAAGTTACTTTAAATAGTAATTCAGTGATGATTGTTCTAATTGTTTAATTATATTTAATTGTGTATATTATAGTGTTTAGTATTATAGTTTAGCATTTCTGAGCATTTTTTAATTTTCTATTGAAAAAATGATAAAACTATATTATAAGTAATTCTATAATTGAAACAAAATCTTCACTGACCGAATTATTATTAAAAATAACATTTCAACTCTTTAAGACGACTTTTAACTACTTTCCCATAGGGTTTTTTATATGAATAAAAATACCATTATCATATTCAGCGACCCGAAAAAAAAACGCAAGATTACATGTACAGTTCATATTATATTTTTTAAACGAAAATCAGCCCTCTTTTGCTTATCCTCTTTTGGCAAAACTTTCATGATTATCACGATGTGAGACAATCAATGATTGAAACTTTACAGTTACTTTTATTACACATATATTTGAGGCAAACATAATGCATCATTAAATTTATCTCATATAATAATGTAAATTCTGTATTATATTGACACTGCATGAAATATTATTTTGATTGATTTCTTTTAAAGTTCATATGCACTTTTATGGTTCATATGCACTCATATACATGGAATTACATTTATTACATGGAATGACGAAATAGAAATGCTAAAGAGATAAGAAAAAAATTATTAAAATTTGTTCTGAACAACACATCATGTTAAATATATGAAAATTTGAGTACAACTTTTAGTAAATTTGTTACTGCATCCATACAAAACATTTCATTGAATGACGTAAATTTAATTATTGATGCAGTATATTTGCTTCATAAATTTAAAATATTTTAGAGTTTTTATTATCGATTGTTTCACGTCGTGATAATCATAAAAATCTATATGGGTTTGTGTTTCCAAATTTGATTTAACAAGCGATCTTTAAAAGTATCAGATGCGCAATACCTTGATGATTTCATCTCAAAGCATTCTCCTCTTACAACTTATCGAAGTGTTCGTTTCTGTCAATGTTTCCTACAGAAACGATTGTGAAGTTGTTTTCCTCCGTGTTATAATTTTCGTTGAACGACGACTCTTCGATATCGTGATGTTCCGTGAAAAATGAATCTTCGAAATTGACATCGTCTTGCGCTTCTATTTTAATACCGTTTCTAAATATTTCTATATTTCCGTTCCAAATGTCAAACGTCTTTTCGCATTTTATTTTCTTCTTTTCTACTTGGTTGGTGTCACCAATCGTAGTACAATTCGTTTCGTTCACAAGGTCTCCGTCGCAATATTCAGTATCATATTCCACCTGTACTTGCGGTTCTAATTCGTCGTTTATTCTGTCGGTGGAACTTTTAATCGAAGAAGGTGAATCGCAGTCGTAGTCGTAGTCGAGCACTTCTCGCACATCTTGTTTCTCACTCACATGAGTCTTTCTACCATGCTTATCATAGAGAGACGTGATGGAGACTCGAGGAGTGTGTTTCTCCCTCTCGTGTCTCGCGACGTGCTTCTTGAAGTACCACACAGTGCTAAAATATTTACAGCAATAGACACAGAAAAACTGCTTGTTGGGCTTGTTGGGTTTGTTGGAGAGGATTCGTTTCTGTGGAAAGATGCGTCGCTTCTGCGTGGAAGGATGCGTGGAAGCCGGTGGTTTGGCTTTCTCCGGAATCTTCGGAGCATTTTCCTGTTGTGCGACAATATTTGCGGCAATGATAGATTGAATAGCCTGTGTGTTCGGCACGGTTAGCGTGGTGATCACATTTCCCGTTATGACGCAGAACTTGGGAATACCCTGTTGGCGATGTAACAGGGAGGGCGCCGACTTCAGGTTGGTTATAGGTATCACTCGTATCGGCGCCAACAACGGCTTAGGCTGATCCGACGTATTCGTCGCAACGTGAGGTTGTGACACGATCAAGTTGCTCATTGTTGTAGGCTGTACGATTGCAGACTGCACGGTCGCAGACTGCACAGTTGTGGGTTTTACAGTTGTAGATTGTACAGTTGCAAGCTGCACAGTTGCAGGCCGCACGGTCGCAGGCTGCACAATTGTGGATTTTACAGTTGCAAGTTGCACGGTTGCAGGTCGCACGGTTGCAGGCTGTACGGTTGCAGGCCGTACGATTGCAGGTTGCACAGTTGCAGGCCGTACGATTGCAGGTTGCATGGTTGCAGGTCGTACGATTGCAGGTTGCACGGTTGCAGGCTGCACAGTTGTGGATTTTACAGTTGCAAGTTGCACGGTTGCAGGCCGTACGGTTGCAGGCCGCACGGTTATAGGTTTCACGGTAGCAGGTTGCGTTATAGACGAGATCGAGTTTGGGCGGCAATTGTGCCGATTCTGTGGAAGAGGTACAGCCGATATAGGAGTTGTGTTGGACGACGTCACGATGTACATGTTCCGCTGTGCATTGGAGAACAGCGCTGGACCCGCCTGTTGCGCTACATTCTGTTTAGGATATAACGACGTGCCACTAGAAGACAATGTGGCATTGCTACGAACTGAAGTCATGATCGTATTATCGACGATATTCTTCGGCTTGCTCGCTTGAGAATTGACCGCGACAGCTTGGCTGACGCTGGCCAGAGCGTTGCTAGATACCGTGGTAGTCGTGACAGCCGGTTCCAGATTTGGCCTCGTCCACGGAGTAATAATCAGTTCCTTGTTATTCCGTATGGTTTCTAGTGCCAAGGCGGGCCCAGTGACAGGGTCCAAGTAGTTGTTCCTTCTTCTTACGCTCGAGTCCTCTAATATCTGCAGCTCTCGCAAGCGGAACCTGTCCTTTAGCAGGTGCTCTGGTCTCACATTGTTGTGCCTGTATTCGTTTTTCTTCTCGCATCCCTCATGATACAGCCGCGATTTCCAATCCTTCATAGTTTCTTGACAAACGTCGCATACATCCGATTGGTCACATCTATACAGCTCGATCAATCCTCTCCGACAACGGTCGTGGTCGATGTTCAGCGCATCGCAGTATTTGTCGTCGCAATGCTTCATCACATGTGCATCTATTTCTTCTTCTTCGATGTTCATTGCCAACATGAGCGACACTTCATCCTGATCCACATACTGCTGCACTATTACTTCACAAATGATGATCTCACATGGTCCAGAACAACCACACACTTTTGCTCCAATAGGGATCAAGGTGATTTCCGACATCTTGTTGCCTCTCTTGGAAGGCAACAAGTTGGCATCTTCAACCTCCTCATCCAGTGTATTTATATTTATTGCAGGTATTTGGGATTGTTTGTTGCAATTAACATAGGATCTTTTCACTTGTTTCCTTTTTCTGAAGTCTTCGACTTTGAATTTAGAATCTTTAAGATTTTGAAATTTAGTTTCTGACACAGATGGTGTCTCATAGCATAGGTTTTGTGGCTCAAGTTCACTTTTGCGTATTAGGTTAGGCATTGTCAGTTTTTGGTTTTGGACACTGTTATTATTTGGTTTTGGCAACAGCAGCTGTAAACAAAATGGATTATATTAGTCAATCAGTATTCTCTGAAATTGTCTAACTAGTCAACAATAGAGATCAGATATCTTTATTGGAAGGAATATTTTTTTAAGATAATGCTTATGTATATTTTTTCTTTTTTTCTCCTAATACTACCTTTAACACATATAACACATACTCTTAATCCAACACCATTTCTTTTTCTTGTTCCTGGCGAAATATTGAGATACATGTTAGACATGTTAGACTTTATGGGTATGAATTTAGGTGTTGATTGATACTGCATCTCCACCATGTCAAGTCACAAATTTGATACTGTTCACTGCAATTAAAAGAAAATCAATGAGCAAAACAAACTCAATTGAAATATAACCACGAGTTTTGCACGCAAATGTTCAAGCCACAATTCTAAATTGTTATTAACTGAACCTTACAAATTTACTTAGCTGACGTTAGTCACACTAATACCGTATCACGCGTTGTCTAGAGCTACTAACGCGAAGTAGGAAATAACTTAGAGGTTAGTTTAACAAACTTACACAAATGACCGTTGAAGCTCTCGTGGCTTCGTTAAATACGTTCATATACGCGATACAGCGACGCGCCACAATTCATACAGTCGTACTTACCAGTTCAGCTCATACTCGGCATTTTGCTCCAATAAAAAGTGCGTCCTCACGATTTGTAGTGACAGGAACGAGGCGTTTTTGTTCTTTCCTCTACGGCGGTCGATTTCTTTTTCGGATAGGCACGGTAAGCATAAAAATACACTTGTCGGTTGGCATAAGTCGAACGTTCCTGCGAGTTGGAGCGTTCCGCTCATTCGTTCGGTCACACGTGTCTTGGGTGCGTTCGGGGAGTTCACTATTAGCGTTATTTAATTCTACTATGTTATTCTATGTTATTCTATGTTGCATATCTAAGGAGGGAGATAAAGATAGAAGAACGCGATAGCGTTGGTAGTTTATTTTTCGAACGCACCCCTTAAAACCTGTGTCACACGGAAACGGAGGATTGCGAATTAAAGATTGGAACTTGACCAATTGGAACGAAGCAGACTAAAATTCGTTGATTCGTCGAAATCTAATCTTCAGTCTGCAATTCTCAATTTCTAATTCGTAGTGTGACACGGCCATATTAACTATGGATCCATGACTATGGATTAGATACTGATATTGCAGATTAAATTATAACATTAAAACATAAAATATTAACATATGTAAATTATAACTATACACTTTTTAAAAGGAGAATGAGTTTAAATACAATTCTGGTACGCCAAGTTTATGAGTCCCGAAGTTAAATTTTTCTTCAATTTCCTACCTGAATATTTCATTTAGATATTTAGTTATTTTCTTTAAATCTTTATAATATTTCTGTTGGAACATACATTAGAAATAAGTATTAAGTAACTAGGAAAATGAAATTATTTTATTAAAAAACCAAAAGAGCAGAATAGACTAATGTATCGCAAATTACGAATTAGGAGTTAGGAATAAAAATGACGCAATATTAGATATGAAAAATAACTCATTTTAAGTGTAAAATATGCTTAATACTTATTCCTATCTTCAATGTTTTCTTCATTGTGCGCAAGACCTAACTCTGACTTTAAGTATTTTGGCAACGGTTATCGAAAAAACCACATTAAAACTGCTTGTGTCCTACGCATGCGCACACCATTTCGTCGCGAATCGAGTTTACATTGCGCTTTCGAATAGTCTCATTTTTCTCCTTCTTCTTCTTGCGCTTTTCTTTTTCCTCGCCGCAGTCTGTCTGGTCTATTTTGTCGCCGTACTCCTAGATTTTCTTTTTACCGCTGGTTTCCTCGTTCCTTCATCAGCTAACTCGAGTATTGAAATATTTTCAGTTTTCCAAAAGCATCGTGGATATTGCGACCGTCTTTTGAGTATCGTGTGTTTAATGAAAGAAAAAGAATATTTAAAATATACATAAAATATTAAAATATCCAGAAAAAGCTACTATTTGGCATGTATAACAAATACATGATTAGAAGTTTCTGGGTATTAAAATTTTAAGATCATGGTCCCACGGTGTGGAGCTCTAGATTGATGATGTCAGAAGCGAGAAAACGCATGTTCAAAATTCTCGCTACTTTCAGGTAAAATGATCAGATAAAATAATAATTTCTGATCTCTTAAGCATACTTGTGAAATTCTCCGAACTATTATTTTTTTTTTAGCAAATCAATTCTCGCTTCTGACGTCACAATCCAACATGACTGCGATGTATATCCAAAAGCCTTGAGGGAGAGAAATCAGAAAAATACACATAACGTATTTTTACGCTTATCAATCCCCAACATGATGACGTCATTATTGTGCCATTTGACAAGTCACCTCGACACGTCATTGACACATCATATTTGTCGGACTTCTGTCGTGCATGATACAGCTTTCTTTGTAAATATTACACAATATTCGCGGATATTAAACGTACGGATTATAAACATATTAAATAAGCTGAAGTTTTAGATTCGTCGACGAACAAAGAAACGGCGAAGTCATGAGAATCTGCTGTCATGAGTTCTAATTTTTAGACGTGCGAAACTTGAAATCTTCTCTTCGCTCGCGTTCTCCCGCTACGTCTCAGCATGCACACGGATGATAGCAGGACATAGAGTTTATAATTGGAATAAAGACTTTATTGTAACATCGTTATGATTTTAGGTAATGTACACGTTATCGTAAACCGACGGCTACGCAATTATTGTAGTACTTATCTCAGCAGTGTGTGTCATAGGTAGGATGCTACTTATCTTTGGTACTGAATGTACAATGTAACACGCACACGCAACGATGCCGGGGGCACATCGCGTGTTTTCTTCTTTTTTTTTCATACCTACTAGACGGTGTAAGACGAAGCGTTGTAACTCAATCGTACAATACATCGTTATAGGCTGTACACATATACCGCCTGTGCGCGACAACGATCGTTGTATGCCAGATTTCCTCGTGCCAATTACTTCTCTCGGGATATATTCCTCAATATTTTTATATTTACGGTAAAGCAGTAGGCGGACACGACCGCTCGTTGCACTTTAGTGGTGTTTAACATCTTTTTTTCTTTTCTTTTTTTCCTTTTCTCTTTTTTTGTTCTTTCTTCCTTTTAAAGAATCGTGCTCTTACCAGTATGTTAACTTATTCATTAATAAACGCGAGCGGTATTCGCGTCGCTGAAACAAGCCACCTCCTTCTCCTTCCCTTTTTCAAGCAGCGTACGCTAAACGAATGTCTGATTGTCTCCTCATAACGAAGCAAACACATACGACGTCACGTCACGTACGGAGAAACAAGCGGCAAAGGCAACACGCGATACACATATGCGCATACATACTTACTTACACCCATACACATACACACACACGCGCGCGCGCGCGCGAATGAACAGTCAAAAAGCTTTATTGAACCTCGATTGAATTTCGCAGTAATAGGACGATCTCTGTCTGAACGCTCGCGCATAGGAACTGTCAGCTAACGAGCTGAACGCTAACGAATCCGCGGTATTTGCCGACAGGATTCGTGTGTGCGAGAGACACGCACGCGCTGCGGGGTAACGGCTGCCTTCTTCCGTAAAAAATAAATGCACGAACACATAGCCAACTGTTTGCAGTTCAATCAAAGCTTTTCTCACGGGAGTTTGCGCCCGCGCAAAGCGAGCGCGAACGCGGAAACAATGGATCCGATACTCGAGAAGTATCAGGACCATTTCTCGCAGTCGCATAATGCGTTATAACTCTCGTACGCTCCTCACAGCACGTCTCGCTCATACGCTCTCGCGATTCTCTGCGCGCCGAAACGGCGTGTACGAATGGCTACGTAAGAATGCGGTGACGAAGTAACATATCGAGGATCTTCATGGTCGAGGCTTGTGCGAAGATGTGATTCTCTTTCCTTCGTTTCTTAGTCAAGGATCGTACGAGAGTCAAGAGGAGAGATATAACTTACAACTTATAGCTAATCCAGCGCGGAGGTACATTGTACAAAACGTCACTTAGCACTATGCGCGTATTCTTATGAACAACATATTTACACGGATCAGTCAAATAAATATTTTTTTTTTAGTCTTTGCATCTCTAGCGCGGCCCTGTAGACGAAGGAGCAAACGACCTCGTATCTTTTTTTTCCTTTTTTTTTATCGATTTACACGCACAGGAGGACGACGAGGGAAAAGTAAAGGCGATGCGTGTGATGCATTGCGCGACCGAGGCAAAATACATCTTGGCGTGATTTCTTACTTTAAGATTCTCTTGAAAGAATATCACCTTTAACTCGGATTTCGCGGTGTTACGTCGCTAGCGTTTTTCTTTTTCAATCTCTTTAATACGTGCTAACATCTAGACTCTCCTAACTAATGGCATTTCGAATTTTGACTCCTACGGAATCTCGAAGGTACACGATTTGCGTTTGTAATTCTGAATTTTATATCATTGATCTTTGGAGAAGAAGAGACGTTCTGGCGTTAATGTAGAAGTTAACGTCTATCGGACACGATAGCTCTTTTCCTTTTAACTTAACAACGCGCGAGACTTCCCATATATAATCTGTTTATGTAATTACGGTATAAAATAATTTGGTCGCATCTATAGCCCGCTAGTCGTAACAATGTGGCGTATATAATGTTATTCTTCTTCTTCTTTTTTTTCTGTGCACAATATCTCTTTACACGTACATATCACAGAGGTCAATAATTTCGTACACGTCCTTTCAGTTTTTTAAGCGAAGGTCTCGAAAATAATGTCACTTACGTCATAATATCGCTTATAAAACGCTTAAGATAAATATTACGGTAATTATTGGCTTACACGCTGCTTACGCTCGAACGTCGGCAATGGATGTCTCTACAAAAAATATGAGAATTTTTAAGTAGATATACTATTTACACAATTTTTTTCAATGCCGTGTCCCCTATGTGCGTCCACGACGGTTATTATTATTACACGCGCCTATATGTATCCTAATATCCTGACAAGAAATATATAATATTCGTTCGTAAAATTTGCCTTCTATAGATCTTAGAGGGAAAAAAGAGTCAATCCTTGTACTATCTTTCAGCTTCCGCATTATGTCGCTTCTTTTTCTTCTTTAGAATCCTTAAGATAGCTGGCCCGTGACAATACTGTTAAAAAGATAATGGTTAACCCTTAGAATACTATGAGCATATATATTTTATCAGCGAAAACCGTCGCTATGGCCTGCGGGCAGATACATATTTTTGCTCATAATAGGAGCAATTAGATGTGAACATCGGCCATACAGAGCGTTCAGCTTCGCGCTGTTTCGTACTTTAGGGGTTAATGTGACACGAAGAAGATAGACCAATTTGTACTAAAGTAATTTACACGCCAATTTCTCAAAAAACCAAGCGCTCGACGATGTTGTAATTTTTCTACAAGTTTCTTTTATCGTCTTTCTGTTATTTATTAAAATTATAATTTTTTAGTCTTTGCATCTCTAGCGCCGCCCTGTAGACGGAGCAAACGACTTCGTGCTTTTCTTTTTCTTTTTTTTATCGATTTACACGCACATGAAGACGACGAGAGAAAAGTAATTATATAATAAATATAATTTATTATATAATTTGACTGAAAATTATTTATTAAAAGCACGAGAGCAATTCTTGAGGTGGATCTTAAAGCATTTTCAAATCGTACATGCGTGTAAATCCATTAATATGCTAGCTGCAAATCTGAAAAACTAAATCCGACAAGATTCCTAAGGAAATGAACCTACGAACCAACCATCTTAAGGTAACAAGTCACAGAGACATCGCCTTCGCGCGTAACCGCGTTTATACTTGTACGACGCCGCTAACAACCGCCGGTACGAACGCGTTTACCCGTTTATACAGTTTCGTATTCTCCTAAACGAGAACGAAATGACGGACTAGAATGTTTCAAGTATAGAGATTCCTTTCGCTTGTCCTGTGCCGCGAGGTGCTAGATTAATATTCATTTCCTCATGCCGCCGCCGCCGCCGCCGCTCACTTCCGTCGTCCGCGCCGCTGCCGCCGTCACCGCAATCGGCTTTTTGTTATTCGCACTTGAAATCGTCCTCGCGATACCACCGATATTCTTGTTAGCCTCGAATTTCTGCTGCAACGACGCGACGTTGGATTTACCGCTCGCCGCCCGCTGCACCGGATTCATCTTCGCACCGTTGTTGCTGTCCGCGCTTTTGGTCTCCACTTTGCCCGCCACCTTTGACGCCAGATGCGACGTCAGCTTGGTGGTGACCGTCGTCGCCTCCTTGGCGGACGACGGCGACAACGATTTGGCGATGCTCGCATTACCGGTTGGCGATTTCTTCCTCTCCGACAGACCAGCCGCTTTGGACGTGACGCCTAGGGGCTTCAACGGCGTCGTGGGCGTCTTCGCACCCTTCGGCAGCGCGGGTGTCTTCTGAACGGTCTTTAGCGAGAGACTGAACTTGGGATTGCTGCCCACGACGTCCGGCGACTTGGTGCCGCACTGATTGGAATTGGAGCAGCTTGAGACCAGGTCCGGGCTATTGAACTTGCTCAGACTATTCTTAGGACTACAAGGCACATTTTTGACAGATACTCTATCGACGGTCGTATGCGAGTCGTCCTTACCTAAGTCGCTGTTCGATTTGTTCGCGTTCAGCTGCGTCTGCCGCGCGATTGGACTCGCGTCCGTCGTCGCGTTCGATTTCGAGGATCTCGAGGACGACAGGCCGCCACCACCGCCACTGTCGGGATGCTGCTTGCTCGACTTTATCGTATTATCTGAACTTTGTCTCGCGAGCTTCGTGTTCGACTCGGGCGTCTCCTTGACAGCCGGACTCTTCGCGATGTTCGGAGGAGTTTTAGTCCTGTTGAACGGCGGCTTCGCCGGAGCTTTACTTTCAGCTTGGTCGTCCTTCTTGATATGTATCAAATGAGTCGGTCGAGTCTTCGTCGATGCGAACGGTTTGTATCCCGCGGGATTCTCAGGCGGCTTCATGCCGAGTTCCTTGGACAGCTCGTCGTTTACATTGGGATTGTTGGAATTGAGCGCGTTCAGTTTGCTCTTATCGACCGGTTTTAGGTTGTCATTCGCATCCGAGGTGTCCTTGCTCGGTTTTCTGTGCACCTGTGGCACATTGATCGCGGACGGATGAAGGTAGCCGGAGCTGGTAGTGGAACTTGACGAGTTGAACTTACCGGAGGTCGAGTTCGAGTAGACGCTACCGCCGGGCGTCTTGTAGTGACTGGAATTCATGTAGCCGCCCAAGGAACTGTTGGAGCCCATATTATCCGAGTTCTTCGACGCTCCCTCTCTCTCCTCCTCTTCCTTCTTTTTCTTCCTGGCTAATGTTGAGGTGGAGTATATCGAGTCGAAGTTGCGGTTCGATATTTCCGATACGATTTCCGACAGCAGACCCATTGACTCCAGACTGTTCGTGCCGGACGTCGTCGTCGTGTCCACACGCTTTGGCAGTTTGTATTCGTTGTCGGCCGACGCATCCGACAACTCCGCGTTCTTCCTGTTCTTCTCCGGCACGGGTTCCTCTATCACCGCGTAGATATTGTCGTTTGTAGGCGACTCTTCCGTGATCCTCGTCAAGGATGACTCCGCGATCAAGTTCATGCAGTCGTCGTAGGTGTTTTCCAGCGGCTTTAGCTGAGCCGCGGTCTTCACCGGCGGATTTTGGTAACCGGGCAGCCCCGGGATCTTTATTGCGCTTTCGACGTTCTTGTCTGCGTGCACGGTGCTTGTCGGCGGACCTGGAGGCGGCGAGGTAGGTCTCGTGCTCGTTGGGATACTGGTGGGTCTCTTGACCGGTGCCGCTTGACGCATCGAGCCGAACGTGTGGATAGATGGTCGCGGTGTGATCTTGCTGTCCCTCATAGATTGTGCGCGCAGCACCACATTTCGTTTCTCGACCTCGGTTGCCGGTATCACGGGAATAACCGGTGTCGCGATCTCGATCTCCGTCTGCGGTATGGGATGTGAGATCTCCAAGTTCCTCAGAATCTCCTTGTCGAGCACCTTGTTGGCTTTGTGATGCTGGCTCCTCGGCAACGAGTTCGTACTGCTCTTGTCGTCCCGCTGCGAAGCCTGAGAATTGCTTCTCATGATTCCGGAGCTGGGACGCAGTATGGACGCGATTCTGTTGAGAGTGCTGCCCTTCTCCGGCTTTTTCTCGCCGGGATCAGTCATAGGCACGATCACATTCGTCAGTGGCGTGCTGTTAGGTCTCTGCGGCTTCATGGGAACGGTAATGGAAGCAGAAACGGAGGAAGCGACGGTCGGTGGTGCTGGAGCTGGACGTATTGGCACCTCCGGAGCCGGTCGAGTGGGTACTTTGGGAGCTACCAGTTCGACGGACGTGCAGGTAGTGGCCGCCAGCACAGGGCTGCTGATCAACGGTCGTGCCGTGGAGCCGGGATTCAGCGGTGGCAACGTCGGCGCGATCGAGTTGTCGTCGAAATTCGCGCTCAGCAGATTGCTACGCGGCGGCGCGTTACACTTTTGCACAGGTTTCACGTTTGTCTTTATTGCGACAGTGGGTATCGTCGGCGGCGCTGGGGCCGGTTTTGTTGGCTCGGCGAGCTTCGACTGATTCGGAATCGGCGTGATCGTGAAGCCCTTAAACTGGCCGAACAGATTGTTGTTGTAACGTTCATCGGCCTCTGCTTTCGGCAGTAAGCTCGCACACGCCGGGTCCTGACTCAGACTCGAGTCAATCGTCTCGATGTTACGGGACATGGGACTGGAACGATCGATCGTTTTGATTAGCAACCCATTGTGGCCGCGATCGGTCCTGAAAGTTGAAGCAGAATTATAAGCAGAGGAACTGAGGTTGTAAGCGCAATTATATGACACGTAGTGTCTAAGTATACAAATTGCTTTGCAGCGGATTAAATTTATCTGTCGAGTTTCTGTTTCGCTCGGTCAATTAGAATGTAAATCGTGTACATATACATATAACATTCTTTTCTTTTTGTGCAAATCTCGATAATAAAGTGTGAGATACATGCGTCAAACTATTAAAATGAAGTACTACGGTGATCGCACGAACTTAAGCTCTTCGACTACATACTGTTGTTTAGTATGTATTGTGACATATTTTGAATAACGCATGCCACCTGTGTTTAAATTGATACTGCTCGAGGAAATAATCGTGTGCAGACATTTTTCTCAATTAGCCGTTCACCGCAAAAATCCAAATGCATGCAAAGGCAAAACACAATCGCGCAGGGGGAGATGTTAGTTACAGATTAAAGTATTAGTAGCAAGCACTGGAGAAGAAGGAAATCATTGATTGTGAAAGAAGACTCAAAAACACTTCTTGTCAATACTGCGTATTTATTCAGTAATAAAATCGTACATTTCGTTTGTCTAAGTATGAGTAACATTGTCGGATATCTGGTCTTTATATCCTATTCTCTATTCCCATATTTTCATATAGAAATGAGCAAAGAATTAAGAAAAAATACTTTATTAATAAAAATTAAGTACTGCTTAGGATGATCATTAATATAATATTAAGTAATAGTTAAAACTGACCCTTTTTAACGACTGTCGGTTTTCGTAAAATGCAAAAGCCAGTAAGAAAAGAATCTTCAACCATGCTTCATGCCCACGTTAATATAATCTTCTGCGCATGCTCTATTACGTTACTAACAATCTCCTGCCAACAATCTCCGCCTTTTTATAGCGCAATATGTATTTTACTTGAAAAATATGAAATTTGCGAATTTCATATCGTATATATGATAATTTTTCATTGTGAAAGTTGTGAAATTTTTCATTTCCAAAGTGAACAGTTTTGTTCTACAAGGGGTTTAATTAATTTTGTTTAACGTTAATTTTGACGTGTCTTAACAAATTAATAATTACCCTCCTTTAACAAGAAAATAATTATTAACGAGTTAATAATTCAAAGATGACCGTGAAAAGAAAAAGAGAAAATAAAACATATAAATATTTGGGTTAAGTGAAACTTTCGCGACGAAAATATATGCATTAATATGCTGTGTAAATATCAATACTGTGCCAATCAATTGCGCTTATAAATTCTATTTTGCTTATGTAAAACATAATTAGTAAAATGCAGTCCTAAATTAAATAAGAGTGTAAATTGTTTTTTCGTGTAATAACAAGAGCGTGTCGACGAGAACAAAATGCTGTTCACTGAATATCGCGTTCTTAAACTCTCGAAACTAATCACGTAAAGATCAATCAATGCATATTGCACTAAGGAAACGTATGTACTACAATTTAATTGTAAGTACACTTGATTTAATAGTTGAAACACTTGTCTTCCATACAGTTTGAGACACAGTCGACGGTCTAATGACAGAATTTATTTTTAATTAACTCGCATAAGATCAGTTTTCTATCGTTAAACTATCAACATGTTTCAAACTGTATCGAGAAAAAAATGTTCAAGTCGTTGTGTAAACGAGTATATACACTAGTAAAATTTTTTAATATATATTAATTAAGAAATTAATATATATATATATATATATATATATTAATTTATATTAAGAAATTAATATATATATATATATATATATATATATATATATATATATGAAACCGTGTCTCTTATAACACTTATTATATACGAGAATCCATTCTTAATAGACTCGATCACACGATAGACGATATACGTGATATTTATATTAAAAAATTTCATTTGCATTCTTAATTATTATAATCTCATTTTTGACAACACCTAATTCGTGTAAAAATATTATAATTTTGGCTAACGATATCTCCGAGCATATTATTACGACTATTATCAGTTGCAATCACAGTAGGAATTACTTTATCGCATTTTGGCATCAGTAATATCCAAATATCATTTCTATATATATATATACCGCCACCATTTGCAATTCCCCGTATATTATAATGCAAAAATCATAGCTCGTGGAAAAAAGCGCTACGATGTTTGCACTATGTTGAATAAAAGTCGCCTTTATAAACACGATATATTTTATATTTATACTTAATTAGATAAGAGAAATGTCTCTCATAATTAAATTATCATAACATTTATACTAATAAGATCTACGATGTTTTTGCTTCTATTTTTGCAAATACACTTGAAAATAGGCCTTCACTGAAATATCGTTGCCAACGTCTACAATATTTATGAAACAATCTATTGCTGCAGAGAGAGAGATTCTTCAAAATATTCGATTTCTATATCGCATTACACTGTGTAAATTCAAAAGTTGCTGTAATGTGTAAAATATTTACGTAACAGGTCCGTGTATGACGAGATTCCTGATTTGTATAGCGGAACAAGAAATCCTTCAGATCTTTGGTTTTAAGCTTTGAGCAGGTGCCGGTGGGGGTGGTGGCTTTTTATTATAAAATGGAGCGGGCGTTTTTGTATTATTAAGCAGTACTTCTGACGACTTTGGAGTGGTGTCAGACGTAGTACACGGGCTCTCGTTCAAATGTTCGAACCTGAGCTCCGTATTAAGCATAAGCCCTTTGACATTCTTAGGTGACTTTTTCTGTAATTGTTGGATACGCTCCGATATTATAGAACCTAATTCCGACTTGAACGGAGCGGTCTTCCTTGACTGAATCTCAACATCGGGCACTGAAAGAGTCGCGACGTTGTCCTGCGTTTCCGGTTTCGCGCTAACGTCCGGACTCTTGTTGCCGAACAACAACGACTTTCTGTACTCGATATTGTTGCTACACTTGATAACGTCTGTATTAGTAGTATATATTAAATCACTCTTGGTTATCTGTAACGGCTCTTTATGCGTGACATTGTCACTGATCATAAAAACTTTGCTTGGCTCTCGAGAGCTATCTTCCTGCTTCGGCACAAGATAGGCGGATATCATTCGAAGGAATTTGCTACCGGCGCTGTAGCGTGTCTTCGACAAAGGAACACTGAGTGACTTACTAACATGCGGTTTGCGTTTCTCTTTAAAACAGTCGAGACTAGATACGTACGTAGACATCACACCCTTCTTCCAGTGTTGCCTGGAATTCCTCATCCAAAATCCGAGCAGTATTAGCGCTACAATGGGCACCACTCCGAGGAAAATAACGTAAAGCGCAATCACGAAGTCATTCCTCGCTGAAAGCACACAAAATATAAATCACATTATACAATCGGCACCAATTAATCGTAGATCTTAGATGCAACATATTCTTAATGAAAATAGCTCTTTGGTGAGGCCGCCAAAGTAACTTTCGCAATTTGAAATCATTCAAGATGTCAAATATACACGTTACGAATTTCTACATGTAAACAATGGTATTTTTATCTAGAGAATAGATTCTTAAGAGTGTTGTATTATTAGATTCAAGTGTCATATAAAAGTTATACTCACCGTTAGGATCTTCGGCTGGACCGCTATCTTCGGAGCCTCCTACTCCGGGTTGAAGACAATCAGGTGGCCGGAAACCGCGGTTGCAGTGGCAGTGACCGAGATTGTTACATACCCCGTTACCATTACAATTGTTCGGGCAAGGTTCATCGACAAACGTGGACGCTCTCAAAGCCGCTACCGAAGTGCATTTCTGATTCACACACATCTAGACAATATGAAGAAACTGCAATTACCCAACAGTTGCAATAATGGAACACGCGTGGCGTCTTTCATGTTTCACAAGTATGAATATTGCGATCGTTGCAAGTTTATCCGCGCCATTACATTGTATGTATTAGCGCGTTGGAAAGCGAGAACTCGGTCGGTTGTGTTATCTTAGGTAACTGCGAACGCTTTACCTTTTCAGGCGCGCACTTGGCGCCGTTCGGTGTGAGTCCAGGATCAACTTGGTTCAAGCCAAGATCGATGATGGCCGTGCGGCACGCTTTCATACTCCCGCCGACGTTGAGAAAGGAGTGACTCAAAATCGCGACCGACTCCATACCGAACTCCAGTCGTTCGTTTAAGTGAGCACAATGTAACATACCGCAGAGGAAATTTCTGCAAACGTGCCGGAAAACACTCATGAGAAAGTCACACAGTGTGTTAGGTCAATCAAAAGGTTCGGTTCTTTTCTCGATGCTATCTTCTACAACTGAGTTATACGAATCTTGCCATAATCTTGGCAAAAAATCATAGAAAGCTAGACGGAGTGACTGCTTGTTTGATGAACGATTCGTTTCCATTGAATGCAATATAGTCAAATTTTGCTCAAGAAATCTAACCAAACTTTTTGACTGATCCAATCTTGGCCTCTCTCACTCACTCCCTCATTCTTTTTCTCTCTTTTTCTCTCTCTGCTCATATAATCAACTTACTGATCGTTACATCTGGCGTAGGTCTTGTCGATTTGATTGTAACCGCAGTTACCCTCCTGCGTGCCCCTTTTATTCAGCTCGTAACACTGCATGACGGAAGACTCGCCGCTTGGGCCCCATAAGAGCTGGCATTGATCCTCGTGGGTTTTGCACGAGCCATGGTAACAGAAGGCCTTTCCACCATTGCACGTCTCACCGTCGATTTTGAAAACATCGGCCGGACAATATTCGCTCTGACCAGTGCAGTATTCCGGCAGGTCGCATTCACGGTTAGCGTTCCTGCACTCCGTGCCGGCGTTCTTCGGCCTGCACGTCTCCAGGTCGCAGCATTCGCCGGTGGCGCAGCTCGCGTTGCTGTGCAGCATGCAGGTGGTCACGTTGCAACAGGGATTGTTGCAATTCTCCTTTAACCCGCAATCACACTGCTCGCCCGGCTCGACGAACCCGTTGCCGCATATCGGACTGTCGAAGAGCTTCAGCGGTTTGTTCCTCAGGCAATAGTCCATTCCATGCTCGAAAGCGAGAGTCAGGTGTTCCCACGAGCACGAGGACCAATGTATGGGGCCGGACGAGCCACTCGACGACGCCATTATGCACCTGCAAGATATAACACTATCAATACACGAAAAAAAGCGATTCAATTTGCATCAACAACGTTTTATGGTTAACTATATTTTTTATCCTTCGGACGCTTCCCAGCGAGGAAGAAATAAAATATTCTATCGGGCGAAATTCTTTAAACTCCCCGATGATTCGCCGAATGTCAAGAAAGATCAAAGTGAGTGTCACGAAACGAGTCAGACGACGTACTTCTCTTCGGGACACTCGCAATCCGACCCGTCGTGCTCCATCCCGAAATTGTGGCCCATTTCATGAGCGACGGTAGCGGCAACCAGGCCGACAACATTCGAGTGATCCATGGAGACGCCGCCGGAGAACTGGTACGTGCATATCGGTCCCTTAAGCGCCTTCCCGACCACGCCACCCTCGAAGGTGATTCGGCTGTTTGTTTGAAAAATTAATGTTAAGCTCACGGTGTTGCTTTATTGGTTCTCGCGCGCTCTATAGCTAGCTAGCTCGCTCGCTCGTTCGGGCATATCTAGCATTCACTTGCACACTCACGTCAGCAGCTGCGCGTTGTCGTTGGGGATGTCCAGGAGCAGCTTCTCCCTACGGTAGCGCAGGAAATTGGACAGAGTAGTGTCGCCGTTCGGCGACAGCGTTATCTCGTCCGACTCGGTCCACACCTGCACGCCGACCAGGGCGATGTATATGTTCAACGGCATGTACAGCTGCAAACACACGTAGATACGTCCGCGGGGCTGTTTTGCATGGAGATCTCGCGGTGAGGTCGGGCTCGCGCTAATTAATCTCGCTGTCTCTCCGCTACAGAGAAAACGGAACACACGTGGAACGCCGCGCATATTTTCTCGCGTATTGTGAGCGCATCGAACTAAAATTAATCGCGATGTGTCAACATCAATGTGAAAAATGACAAAATATCGAAGCTCGAAACACATAATTGACAAAAATTACATCAACGTGAATTGCCTTGTAAACGGGTGTGTTATTTTAACAACAGATTGTACTAAAACAGCGATATTGTTATTGTTATAATCGATATTGTATAATCAATATTGACCTGGAGAGAGAGAGATACACCAGAGAGCGAGATAATTTCTAGAATATAAGTGATATAAATGAGATACCCGCGTAAATGGATCATGCGTGATTATTCTGATAAGATTAAAGTAGTCTCGCTCTGGAAATTCTTCCCCTTCCGAACAAATGAAGGCTTATACGCCAATGAATGTGATTATGCGCTTAACGACGTGCGGATGAAATAAAATTCCCGGAATAAGTGAGTGTAAGTAGAGTAACAACGGTTGGAAACGAGTTTCAGCGAATTTCGGAAAAGGAAACCGCGAATGTTCGAATCGCGAGCAATTGGATAATGCAGTTATCAAATTAGCGTTGCTCGTTTTAAATCGTTCTTATTGCGGTCTGGGAATTATGTAGCCAATTAAGTCATAGCGATATATTACTTACGGCGTTGATAATATTGGCGATGTCCTTGCAGTGTTGATACACCTTGTTCAGGTTCTCATCCAGCGCCATATATTCTTTCTTGTCGATCACGAGCACCAGCTCCACGTATCGCGAATCCCTGTTTGCGTTGTAGGGTCCGCGAATAACTTCAGCCGCTCGTTTGTGCTGTGAATAAAATTTACTGTAAATTTTACGGCTACGAAGAGCAAACCGATGTCAAAAGTTCATCGTTTTCGACATGATTCGACGAAGTTAACGATTCAGTGGGAAACACACGGAGAGAACATTATAATTTTTTTTTTCATATAAATTATTTTCAAATTTACTAAGTTAAGCGTAGAAATAGACTATCAGTAAGGTGTATCTTGCTGAGCAACGCAGTAAATTTCGTCAGAAACATAATAAATTTTTTAATAACACATAAAATGAAAGAATAATAAATTATTGCGGAAAATATCGATCTATTCCTCAGTTAAAATTCTATAATAAGTTTTACTATGATATTCTGTCCACGTAGGATTGCCTAATAAAGTAAAACGGGAATGATTTTTCCAGAATCGCGAGTTTCTCGTCTCTAACGAATTCGTCAATAATTAAAGACTTCGTTTAAGTATTCGTTTAAGCATAAGGCGGTTTTGTGAACCATCGCCAACGTGAACGCGTATGATTCCTGATTCGCGCCTTTTGTCGTTTCGCTCCGTTAAGGAAGAATCTGATTCCTCCAATAAAGAGGATGAAAGAACGGAACGAGGACCAGGAAGAGGCAGAAGAGAAAGAGGAGGAGAGCGCGGTACACACGCGAGCCATTGGTGCAGACGCCAAGACTGCTCGCGACTACGTTCTTTGAAGTCATATAGTTTACCGGGGGAAGAGTATAGCGGACCTCGCGAAATATCTTTCCGGCGTTCTATACGTACCCTGGAGAGCCCTTTAATCTCGCGACGATCGCGAACGGAGACATGGTGCGGCGGCGTTCCTTCGTAACCTGCAATCGAGGAAAAACGTCAAACAGGGATGATGATCGCCGGCCAGAGGTGGATTCCCGGTACGGGAACGAGGGACAAAGAGTCTCTCCTCTCGCGAGTCACCGCGAGTCTCGGGGCCTTGCTCTCACATTCGTTAAGACCGTTAAGGAGAGACCAGTCTTTCCGAGGCGGGTCTTTGAGCCTGGCGATGGAGCGCGCGTGCCTCAAAGAGAAGAACATAAGCAAGGGCACTGCCACCGAGCAGAAGGACGAGAGAGAGAGAGAGAGAGAGAGAGAGAGTGCACCCGAGGTTGCCTTCGCGTCATCGTGCTGAAGGTTGAGCGTTTCTGAGAGAGTTAGACAGAAAGAGATAGAAGATGCGAGGGAGAAAGAGTCAAAGTGCTCTCTCTCTCTCTCTTGAATATCCCAAAGAAACCCGGCGGAAATTGCTTCGCCGACTACCACCGACAGAAATTCTCCGCGACAACGACGGATACGATCTCGGGAACGAACGCGTTGCGTTATGAATGTTAAGTTCGGAGTCAACTTATTAAAGTCACGAGACTTTGCTGGATCCGGTTCGTGTAAAGCAACTCGTTTCGCTCAACTGAGTACCGACGTGTGTCGTACATCTTCTTCTCGATGGAATAATTATCCCCCACGCGCTGTCTAACAGCACGTAGTGCAGAAAAAACGTTGTTGATTAATGTACAGATATATACAGATATATTGATGCACAGATATCTCGATATTGACACTACTAATATTCACATATAATTAGTATTGTTCCGCAATGTGTCAACATGAATATTAATGTTGTCATTACACTAACAATATATACATATATATTGCTTTCCGTTCGCCAAGCAATTTCCAATCTCGTCGAAATTTTGATATTGCAACAGCACATGTGTGCACGTGTGTAAGTGTATGCGCGTGCGCGTATAGAAAGATCCAAATTGAATAATAATGGTCGCAGAATGCTCACCGCAGGTATTATTGGCAATGAGATCGCTGTGCTTGTAAAGATAATGGTCGGAATCCAAGCTCTCGTCTTCCGGATGGATGTGGTGGAGGTTCTCGCCGTCGAAAATGACACCGCGCAGTCCTCTGCATGTGGACAACGCCACCCACGAGTCGGGAACATCTCGAACGCTACCTTGGTAATGACAGAGTTCCTGCAACATTTCCACGCAATTTTAGCGTTACGGCGAAACACACACCGCTAAGAAAAGAAGCTCTCCTTTCTTTCATTTTCCTCATTTCTTCGAACTTTCAAATTCTATCGCCGACTTACGGCCAATTCGATCTCACTGCGCGCGGCTCGCCCTTATCACTTCACGTGTGTATACAATACGTTTATTATTAACTTTCTTCCGTACAGTCGAAATTACAAAGTTACTAACTGCTACTTTCATTGCGAATTCACCGCCGCGAGCGGAGAAGTGAGTGTGTAAGTAGTCGTTCGTGGATATAAAAGCAAACTTTTAATTGGATTTATGTTTAACTTTAGTCGCTCTCCTCCGTACACTCCATTCGTCCTCTCCTCGTTTTTTCTCCTCTCCTTCCCTGCCCCTTTCTCGATCTATCTATTTGCACGTTTAATTCGATCTTAATCTTTGACTTGATTCGTCCACTTAACGTTTATCCGACCGGCGACGACACGTGAATGCGCGCGATAACGCCGTCGAGAGAGCGAGGGAGATCTTGGCGCGCGATGCGGTCCGGTTACAGTGAATTTCGCGGGCTTATCTGGGGCTTCTCGAATGCATCGGAATCGCACCGGTACAAATATAGTTGTCCCAGATCCGAGGCGTGCACGCGCCAGCCGTGGGCGATTTTTCACGTTCTTTTTTCCGTGCCGCGAAGGAGAAGGAGGAGGAGAAGGAGGACCCGTTACTCCAGCGGCTTTCGGGCGCGTTACTCTCCCGAAAGGAATTGCTCCAACAAAGGAGCACGATCTCGCACGGGTGAGGTATCGGGATCGTCTCTGAAACGGGACGCGCTTTCTCTGTTACGAGAGCCATCGATCGCGGTCCATTATTCGATTGCTGCATAGAGAAGGTGTACATGCCGCGGCGGCGGGCGGGATTGAATTAACGCCAACGTGTCGATATCGTTAAGTCGTACTATCGATTATTTAATGCAGCCATCCCTTATTTACCTCGGTGACGCTCTCGCGTTCGTTCCACCCGAATAACTGGGTGTTTCGTTAAAAAAAAAAGAAAAAATAGGAAAGAATAAAAAATAGCTGACATGATCGAAATTTGATCCTACTTACTTTCAGCCATGCTATTCCATTCAACATCTATTTTGATACTCCAAAACCTGCACGAACCTCTTTTTATTCAACCTACTCGAAATTTTGATCCTACTTTCAGCCTCATTATTCCGTTCAAAATCTATTTCGACGCTAAAGAAAGTGAAAGGAGAAATTTCGGGCATCATTAGTGTCAAAGTAGAAACAATTCTTCATTAAAATTAAACCTACTTTGCTAACTTAGCTCTTACTGCGTTATGGAATTCAAGGTTTAACATAGAGCCGAAATTTCGATTCGGGACAAAGTCTTATGTAAATGGCTGTAGCCAAAGTTTCTCGTCGCGAAATTTGAGTCTCGACAACGTTTGAAGTCCGTCCCGCGGCGGAAATTCAATTTCGTCATTAAGAGAAAATCGCAGCGTTCCGGAAATCTAAATATTCAACGACGTACGAATCGAAAAAGTCCGATAAAGTGTGCGTGCTTGGCATTTGAATATTGAATGATCTAGGAATTCAAGGATTCAACCGCATATTTGGGCGACGAGCTAAGAATTTATATATCCGAGAATCCATCTTTATTGGATGCTTGAGCATTCCGAGGATCTACGCTATTACGACCGCGGTAAAATTTTTATTGAGGAAGCGGTATGTCCGGTGGACATAACGCCAACCAAATCCTCTCCTCTCGCAGGTGTACACATGTGGTTTTCAGGAAATTGAAGACCCAACGCAAACGAGATCACGAGCGTTCACATTTTCCGCTGGAAAAAACGATACAAATCGAAAACGACGCGTACTCAGTCGCTAAACGGTTTGCACATTTTTTATCGAATGAAGTTGCAACGCTTCGAATTGTCAGAATTGAAAACCACTGCTGACATATATGTGCGCGGTAATCGGTTGTGACAAAAACCGAAATGACAGTACTCAGTGAGAGAAAGAGAGAAATTTGTGTGAAATATGGAGGAAAGAATTTATCTTGAATTAAGAGACTATTTTGAGAAGTTGGAGAGAAAATGGAGCAATCGAGAGATTACTTTGAAGAAGCAATTTTTATATATTTATAACCGATTATCGCGCACACATACGCATCAGTCAGCAGTGGTTTTCAATTCTGACAATTCGAGCCGTTGTAACTTCATCCGACAAAAGTGTGCAGATCGTTCAATAATTGAGTACACGTAAGAGCTCTCAACGGAAATTCGCGCGGTCATATTTGAAATACAAAAATTAACATGATTTTGAAATGTTATTTCAAGAACAGCGCGATGCGTTTGCCCGCGCATACACCTGTGTGCGGGAATACTCTCTGACGCGTTTATATTTTATATTATAATTCAAAACTTACAAAATATCCATATAATCATCACACGTCTATTTACATCCAAGGATATAATCACCGGGTCCCGTTGATACGTACATAAAACGAATGGATAAAGTGTACCAGCTTGATTCATTGTCGGATAAGAGAAAAATTTCGCGAGAGCGTAACGTGCTCCATGGAAAGCGCGTTACGAGGCGTGTCGGCGGAATATGAAATTTTGTATTCGCCCTCGGTAAGCTTATCCTCGCTTCTATTAAATGTAATATCGCGTGTGCGCTGCATCGAGGATTATGTAGATTTGTATCACGAGCGCTGAGCGAAAGAAAAATACATTTCGTAACAGCCGCGTTCTTATTACCGGAACCGTGAATTTCAGATCTAAAGGGAGGAGAGAAAGAAAGAAAGAAAGAAAGGAAGAAAGAGAGAGAGCGCACCGCGTAACAAGAGTACGAAGCACCCCGTGTATCTTGCGTAATAATGGACTAGTAATAGTTTCTCCCTCAACTCGTGGAAATAATATTCGCGCCGAGTCTCTCGCCGACTATCGCCACGGAAGACGGTGGGAGAGAATGTGAAATGTATCTACTATCATTACACTTCTGTACCTAAAATTTTACTCGCAATCCCGTTGCTGTCCATCGCTCCTCCTGTTGCGGTCTTCACGCGCATTGTAGTTCTCTTTTTTCCTAATCGACACACTGCATTTCCATGCAGTCTGTCAAATTTCTACCTTATCGTCTGCATCGAGTCGCCGGTGCACTTTCCCTCTCACTGCTGCTCTCGTACGAGCTCAAAATTAGTCCATCCGCGCGGATAATGTGTGATATTTATACTACGAGCAACGCGACGACGGAAGGCGGGGTGTTAACTAGACACGGCAATTAATTAAACACAATTGCGCGAAACATTAAATACGGAGCGACGCGGCGCAACGAACTCCGCGGCCGACCGCGGCGAGTTTTACGCATTTCCCGCTTGACTTTTGTCCCACATACCGGCTCTTTTTCGCGCTCATCGCCAGCCGAGCACACGCGGTTGAATAGGATGTCGCAACCGACGGGCGATCCATATAACGTTGACAATTAATATTATTATTAATCTTGTTATAAGTATTATTTTACACATGTATTATCACGTCATCGATATTCGTTTTGTTTCATATTGCATGACGCATAAAAAAGTGATATATTTGTATTTACAAAATATTTACACCGCTATAAAACAATTTTGTAATATTTTTCTACCTTTTTTTAAACAAGTTTTCATGGTTCACAATAGTGGACGAACGTCATTTTTAATCTACTAATTGACTTTATCGAGGTATCACTTTTCTTGCTATCCCGATAAATTACGTTTTTAAATATGTTAATTTTCCATGTAATACATGATCATGTGCAAACATCATGTCATTAAGCCGATTATTTAATCAATTAGTTAAGTCATCAATTAATTAAGCCGATCTTTAGACTGGAAGCTCCTATTTACGGATTGACTGACAAATTTTGATAAGCTCAGAATCAAGTTTTTCCTAATTAAAATATAATAATATAATAATAATATAATAATATAATTGATTTTATAATGAGAAAGAGAAAGAGGGACTTTCAATCTCAGCTTGCGAAACATCAATTCTCGTTACCGCGTTCACACAAAAGTTGCCACTTTCACCGGAGCGATGTAATCGCATAATTTCGGACAAAACTTGTAATTAGACGAATAATTCAGAAACTTTCGCAATTTCAGCAAAACATAGAGAAACGCGATCATCGCTGACTTGACGCGAGCAGAATTTGATATATTCAGGCTTTCTCGATTAACACGCGTATGTCGGATGATACAGTGCCGAATGTATCTGAAATATATTTTTCGTTTTCCTATGGACAACGGGATTAGATACGTCTAGAAAAATATAATCTCATTCTTCACCAGACATTTGGTTAATCCAATCAAACTTCTTTTTCCGTGTACAATTTCAATTCAATTTTACAAAAAATATACAATTTCGACATAATTTTTGCTACAATATTTTCTACGCGTTCTGTAGAGACGAAATTCTTTTAACTTCAAGAGGAAATCCTTTTGGGAGCATGTAGAAAAGAAGTCCATTGAGGATGAGATGGGATATTTTTTGCGGTACAATTAACGAGGACGCGCGCAGAACTTTCGCATCCTCAGACCGTTGCGCAGTTTGTTGCGCGCGACTGCTGCAAAGATTCAACGTATTCTGAACGTTCCGGTAGCTTTTCCCCTTTTTACTCTTTCTCTCTCATATCCTTCCTGTCTTTCTGTCTCCCACCGCGGCGCCGTTAAATTATAAAGCGGAAACGTGCCGTTCATGAACAGCGGCTGACGCCGGGACTAACACGTCTCTACGTTCGCGTGTGTTTACGGCATCGTGTTCTATTAGACATGCAGACGGCAGACAGAGTGAGTCACCCCGATCGATTTCGGTTCGTCGTAGTCGTCGTTACACCTGCCGATATCTATCTACCTCTATCCAGTTACCTTTCCAGCCGTACAATGACGACCGGCAACACGACGAGAGAGAATACGAGATAAACAGATAGATAGACAGAAAGAGAGAGACGGGGAAGGAGGGAGGGAGAGAACATGCGCGGACACCCGTGGAGACTTTTAATTTTCGAGCGGCCGGAAGTTTGGACGCGGAACGTGGAATCAAATGGACTTTTCAAATAGATTTCGGCTCGCCGAGAGAGCAGCTGTGACGGAAAGAATAAGCGAGAGAGAAATATGGGTGTGGCTGAAACAAGCTCGAGATGAAAAACGACGTCAGTCTCGTTTAAAGCAGAAATCGCTTTTCGTCGTGATATATATATATATATATATATATATATATATATATATATATATAT